CACTCAGCTTAAAATAAAATTAATTACTTTTTCTCGAAGTGGATTTTCATAAAGTTTTAAATCAGACCAACTCCATTAAATGTTGATTAAACGCTTGTGTAGCTTATAAAGCTTGTGTTAATCTCAAGAATAATACTCCAAATGAGCCAGAGCCTTTATTGCATTCCAATTTTTAAGATCCCTTCATTGTCGTGTTTCCATTTAAATTCATTGAATTACTTGTATTATTTGCTTGTTCTCATGCTAAAAAGAATTCGACCTCAAATATTCTGAGGGAGTATAAATATTTAACAATTTTATTATTATTATAATTATTATAAAAAGTATTAGTCGTTGTTTTACTATTATTATTTTTATTACTATTTACTCTTGTCTGATTAACACAGACTAATCCTTATCTTCAATCAGTTTCATGAAAGTTCTTGAAGTGAAAAAATTTTACTGTAAATCAAATTCATTGGTTAACTCGTTTCCTTGTTACTTAAAAGCAAAACTTAATTATCGCTCAGCACCGGGCCAACAATTAGCTGGGCTCCAACGCGAAATGCAACAAAATGGAAAAATGAAAAAAATGTCACTTGACTGGGTGCAGGCGACAACATAACTAACACTCTCTGCATCATGCAAAGTCAATTAAGCGTGGCGAGAAAATGGCCAGCACACGTAACTACACTCACACACACACACACACGCACACACACACAGTCACGCACACACATCCATACACATTCAAGCGAGGAGGCGCCATTTTACAGACTGCATGCCGCCATTCACAAAGTTGATGAAATTTGCCACATGCATTGCAATGAAATTAAATGTATAGCAATGAAGGCTGACTTTTTTTTCTTTTTAATTTCTGCGCTAGGGTGGTACTGGCAGCGGCTAATGGAGGTGGGGGTGGTAGGGAATACTGTTATGCAAAAGGGGCACGGCTTTTTCAAACTTTTCAAAATTCGCTATAGCGAGGTTATTGAGCCAAACGCGTGTTGGCGCCAGAAAAGACTTGCACACTTCTATGGCAACTACTTATGTGTATGCTTTCAGGCAATCGAAACACACAAACACACACACACACACACACACACACGCACACTCAGTGTGTTGTACACACATACAAATAACGAGCTAACAGCCCAAAATGACATATCCGGTTAGCATTGGCGCAAAATTCCAACAGTGTCGCATTTACTTTTGGGCACACAAGGCTTACACGCCCATTGAATGCTTACGCCCTCATTTGGTTGTTGTTACTCTCTTTATACCCTGCAGCCATAAAAAGGGATGTAAAGTGTATTAAGACGTTGTGGATGTGGATATATGTGGAACAGGCAGAAGAAAACATCGCCGACCACATTAGGCAGCTTCAACCTACAAGTTGATATAGCTATTCCCATCCCTGTACACAGAAAGTAATTTGTTATACTCTGGTATATAAATTCATTTATTTCATTTTATCGATAACTTTCATGGCTTATATTTAAACTATAAGAAATCACTTTCTGAATACCTTTTTTTCATATCATATCTTTAAGTTTATAGAGGCATGTTATTCCTAACCCGAAATAGAAAATAATGAATTTTGGTTTATTGCAAGTGCAAAGCTTGCAGAGTATGTTTTTGTTTTTGTGTACACCTTGTACAGAGTATTTACTAGTTGATCAGTCCCGACTAGAGTACTCTTAGTGCTTGTTATTTGTAGTTGTTGTTGGCAACGTTTTTGTCATGCAATTTGTGCGCTTTCTTTTGTTGTTTTTTATTTTCCTTGACGGTTTGCTCGCTGTTGCATAGCCGAAAATGTGGGCGTGGTCTGAAGTAGGTCGATTGGTCTGTGGGTCATTTTTAAAGACCGAATACGACTGCAACGCGGCATGAGAATGTATTCGTGCATCATGTGAGCATGTGAGCAGTTGAGCATGTGGACGTAAGCGTGAGCGTGTGCTTGAATTTGTTATAAAGTCAGGCACGCTGACAGGCAAAAGGCGTGCGGAAATTATATAAGCTCACTTTATGGCGTTAAGGTTGACTTAGTGCCCTGGCCCCAATTACGAGCACTAAACATATACATAGATATATATCTAAATACATATATGCATAGGTATAAGCAGCGATTCGATTCCGTGCTCCATTTCTTGGCTGCTTCCTGGCACCCAAGCGGAAGTGGGTCACAACTACAACTAGTATAATCGTTGTCGTTATAGACTGCCTGGCATTTGATAAATAGTCAACGTCTGATTCTTGGCAGGCTGCCGGGCAAATATTTGCCCTGGCTTCAACTAAAAGGTGATAAACTTGGCATAATGCAATATTTAGTGTTTGAACAGGCATTTAAAAGGCTATGCAAACTTATAATGCATTTTTCCTATTACTGCACCGCCATCATCAGCATCGCATCATCATCATCATCATCATCGTCAGCCAGTGTTTGCCCAGAGTTGATAAGCTATAAAATATTTTGCACACTTTTGCATATGCAAATGTGTTGCCATGGGTAAGTATCTAGGCACTGGGCGTTACTTCAGCGGATATATAGACAAAGTAACACGCACGCACACACACATACATCATAAGTGTATTTGGTATGTGCTTAAAAGATTGACTTTGTTGATTAATGTTGCATGGTCCTGCTGTAAACCTTTCTCTGTGCTGCCCTGAAGCGGTCACTCAGCTGGAGATTGAGTAATGCCAAGTCTTTTAGTCTGATAAATAGTCAATGGAAGTTGGATGTTTGCCGACCAAAGTACAGTAGAGATACTGAAGTTTGGATCTTACACACGCTACGCTATGCAAATTCTGTTTTGCAAACGTTTATCTTATGTGAGAAGTAGCAATTGTATTGTTCCCCTAAAATTTGTTATGTTAATTGTTAGAGCAATGACTGTGTCTTGATTCGGGTTATTCACCTATTAGTTAACTTAGATATCAATGAATCAATTTACATAACTAAACGTTCTTCTAAATTCTTTTCTAGTTGCATATTATTACTACCATTTTTTGTTCGAAATTGAATAATAAATTTGGAACAATTTGACATACAAGTCATAATTTTCTAATTTTTTTAATATAAATAAAAACATTTTGTTAATCTGTCTGTTAAATTTGAAATATTCTGACAGTTTGACAATCTACCATGAATAGTGAAACGACTTGATAATGAAAATGGAGCAACTTAATAAATTACAAGTGACAATTTAATAATTAAATAAGTCATTTGATTGAATTTAATATTTTTTATGAGACAAGACGTTTATAATTGAGTTCTTAATAGTAAAAATAGAAATCTCGGAATTGATGGCGTATTAAAGTCTATTATCACTATATAGTATAGTATGCATACAATTTAAATGTATTTTTGTGATCAATAACTAATTAGTGCTAAGCATGCTTATAAGTACACACCGAGACGACGAGTGCCAAGACTACTCCTAGCCTGTCTGCCCCTTTGGTGCTTTGGTGCTGTCGGCTGAATTCGCAGAACTGACAGAAAATATTCAGTCCTCTGTGGTATTCACTGTTTCTGACAGCAGTCTTTATGCTGGGCGCAAGTATGTCAAGCAATTGAGCAGCGTAAATACACTCATTAAAGGATGGTCGATTGTATCTCATACTTTGCGGTAAAAATTAAGCTTTCCTATTTGTGTGTAGTTTTTTTTTTCTTCTTTATGACATTAATAGCTCTCACTTAAAGTGAAAATATAAATCGATTGTTAAGCGTGTTCCTTGGAGGTGAAGGTTAAAAGGCTAGACTGAAAATATATTATATATAAATATATATTGCGTTTAGCTGGGATATTTTTTTCTTTAGTCAATTTAATAAACCTCAGAAGGTAATTTCGCCTTACTGTTGCCTGTAATTTCCAACAAATAATAACATTTGTAATTAACTTGATGAAAGATTGATTATCTATCGACACAATCGATTAGAGAGGTAGAAATGCATATATATTCATAAACTTACCTACCCTCAAGGCACTTTTGCTAACTAGACGTTCAGTTGAGCGATAAATTATCGAGTGTAGACTTCCCTGTCATATTTAACACGAGCAGTTAACGTCAGCTACAAGTGAATTAAACTGGCAACTGCATTTTCTGATATTTATGTGTATACATATGAAAGATGCTTGTCATATGCAAACACTGCTCTCTCTCTCTTCACTCACACATCATGCATTTGAGTATATATATATATATTTGTATATATAAATATATATATGTGTATATGCATATATAGTCGTCGTACTCAGCTCTGATCTGTATTGCGGCATTAAGCAAATTATATCAAAATAAATCAATTGCTCATTTTTGGCTGATTTGTGCTGCCTGCCATAATGGTCTCTGGTCTCGCAATCTGCCCTAAATGTTTATACAGTGTATATAATTACATGTACGTTTGTATGTATGTATGTATGTAGTTCATTTGTATATATATTTATATACATATCGACAACGCACTCGCTTATAGACACGCCAAATCCAATATATATGCACGATTGTGATTGCGATGCGATCGTTTCACACATAACGCATATGGCACGCGCCTCGCTCAAGTCTCCCCCTGACGCACGTGAGCAGAACGCACGAGAGCACAAACTCTGCTCCTCACACAGAGGGAGAGAGAGAGAGAGCGAGAGAGAGAGAGAGAGAGAGAGAGCAATTGTGAGCATCAGAGTAAGAGAGTAAATGAACATACGTTGAGATCTTGCAGTTGAGAACAGCAATGTGTAGATTTATTTTTAGGATAACAATGCCGCAAGAGCATTTTGGGTAGAACAGGAGCAAAATTCAGCACTTTAGTATTTTGGGGAAAATCGAGGAACATTTTTCAGAGCTACAACCAGTCGACCGGATAGAGCAACGCGAACAAGGTGGCAAAACGGCAACGGCGGCTAAAGGCTAGTGCGCGAAATATTTGTACATATATATATATATATCTATATATATATATATAGACGCAATACATAGATACAACATATATGTGCATATATCGAGAGAGATACATCCATATATACAGTATATAGCCCATGGTATATAAATATATATATATAGAGGCACAGATACATAAGTCTTATACTATATATGGAGCAATATTTAAGTGAAGAATTCTCAGTTTGACAAAAAAGCGAAATGTAAAAATTGACGTTGTGCAATTCGTATTGGTGTGTGTTCTGTGTATACTCTGTGTATGTGTGTATGTGTGCATGTGTGTGTGTGCGTGTGTGTGTGTGTTTGCGACTGTGTGTGAGTGTGCATGTGTGTGTGGGTGTGCTGGTCATGAAAAATTATTATATGCATCACGGTACAATCGCATAAAAGAAATCAAATTAAGAAGCATACAGAACCGAGGTAAATACTAATATACATATGCATGCATATATATGTATGTTCATAAATGCATACCCATGCATATATACATATATTTATGTCTGTATGTCTGTATGTATGTATGTGCATATTTACTTACGGAGACAGCAGGAGTGCCGACTGAATACGCTTGCATTTGCTGTGCGAGATGATGGTGTATCTATGTATAACGGTGTTATCCCGAGAAATTGCCCCGCTTGATGATTCTTCTTCTCGAGAGAGGGAGAGGAGACCGACCGACGAAGTTGCTTCCTCGTTTCGTTCGTGTGCTATTTAGTTGCGGCGGGTATGTTTTTGTCGCTGGCGCTTTTACTTTTCGTTTGCTGGTCGGCCGTCGGGTCTTTAGCTCGAATAAAAATTCCTCTTGCGTGTTAGCTGAAAGTTATTTTTAAAAATTTCTTTTAATTTTTTTCTCATTTACGAGATACGAGATTTTAAATACAGACGACGTCGCTGTCGATGCTGTTCTATAGGAATTTAGTTTTTCAAAGAGGAGGAAAACAAAAAAAAAAACCGTTTTCTGTGCCCTCGCTTGCAATAACACCAAAATTTCCGTATCTTGTTGACAAAGTGTGCAATGAGGAAAATCTACACACAATAATAGAATTCAATTCATGTGGAGAACTTATGCAAATCATTTAAAACAAGGCGATTGAATCAATTCACATGCATTATTCGTATGATTAATGATGGTATAAGGGATTAGCCGTTGCCGTTGAATGAATAACTAATTATTAATTATGTGCAAGCATTCTACAAATATTACGAGCTAAAATTACGTATACGTAATGTAACATGCAAATAATGTTCACCGTATGGATAACATTCGATTCCTTTGTTCATTAAAGATGTGCAATTATAATTGAAATTATGACAAATGCTGCACACAAATTCTAATGATTAGAACACGCATTATTGCTTATCTCTGAACATTGAGCAAGATTTGCATGTTGCATGTGGATTCATCCATGATTATTATTGCCTTTGGCCAATGATTATTAAACTGATCGGATGTGCCAAATAACTGACTTTCCATTGTTAATGGCCAAATAAGCATTCATTGCTGGCATTCATTTTGAAGTACGTTTTCTCCCCCCTACTTAGCAATCGGATATTTGCATGTACATTAGATTAGCTCATTTAAAATCTCCTGGTATTGTTGTTCAAACATTTTCAAAATGCCAATTAGGCTTAACATTTATTTGGCTACGGACAGTCAAAATGTAGTATCCGTGCAAGTGGACAGCACGTCGAATCTCAGCTGCAACAAGAGCCACAACAACGAGTGTAGCAACAACAATGCTCGCTGGCAATGGCAACAATGTCACAACTCAAGTGTCAAACAAAAGGCGACGATGGCAATGACAGCAAAAACAACCCAAAACAGCAAGGGAGTGAGAGGCGATATATATATATATATATGTATGTGCATATATACCCAAATCGCATGTACTTGGGATAGAGAACAGTTTTCAACTATTTGGGCAATTCTAAAACAATCTTGACTATCATTGAATAATGCAAATTGCCATTGATCAGCTCTTGATTTCAATTGAAAGAGTTATTTGCGTATTTTCACTAAATAGCTCATAACTAATATGGAAAACCAACGCAAAAACTACTAAACACACACACACGCACACACACACGCACACACATTACAAATTCAAATTGCAAACAACAACAAAAGAACAGAAAACCAAAAACTAAAAACACCAACAAGAGCAACAAGAGCAATACAGTGCACGAAAAATGAAAACTTTGCTCAGTGCTGTTTTTGCACCGGCATAAAGAGCTGAGCGTAAAATTCTCGTTTTCCACACACACACACACATACACACACATATACACAAAGCAGACACCCACACACACAAAGCAGACGGCTGACGGCGCTTTCTGTTGCTCTTGTTGTTGTGCTCAGGGCTAGAAAAACTTTTTCAGCATATGGCGGCAGCTTATTGCACGTCAGTTGAGGCTGTGTGTGTGTGTGTATGTGTGTGTGTGTGTAAGAGTGGGCTTGTGTTGGTGTGCCAACTTTAGTGCAAGTAAAGGAAATGCTTGACATGTCTTGTTCGCTTTGCTTCCTCGTTTCTACTATTTTATTTGTTTTCACAAATATTTTTGTTTTTTTGTTTTTGTGCTTTGCCCAGTGGCATTAACAACATATTTTGTTGTTGCTTATTCTTTTTCTTTTATTTTTTTGTGGCTGCTCTCAACATTTTAATTATTTACTTCTTGGTTGCTATTTACTTTTTCCGCTTGGTTTCCTCTCAACTTTTTTTTTGTGTTGTTGTCACAGCGGTTACCTGAGCTTTTATTATAAACGTCGGCCTATCCTTTTTTTTTTTGGTAAGGACAGCAAATCCTGCTTCGTCCAATTGCGCCGCCTTCTACTCTGAGGCCTGTCATATTTCAATTTCATCGCTGCCAAACGAATAATAACAATAAATTGTGTGATTTATTTAACACAATTAATGTCCATGTTTATTCGGTTTAAATGGTTCATTGATCGTAGATTCTCGAGGCCAAGATATTCTGACTTATTGACACATAAAATTGCCAATTGTTTGGCTTAATTGTTGCAGGAGACGTTTCATTTATTAATTGACTAGCCAAGCACATCTTGGTATGTGTGGCACAATTTCAAGCAGTTTATACATATTATTTAAATGAATTCACCGTTCATTACCGAACGAGAAATACTCTGTTCTTTAAAAATTAGAAATTATATAGAAAAATATATACAATGAAATATGAGCAATAGACAAACAGAAATTTTTACTTTGAAAACAGTATTTTTGATTTTTTTTATATTCCCTTACTCAAGAACTCAAATAAAATCATATATTGTATTTTTATTAGGAACATCATTAAAAAATGACCTAAAAAGTTTTAAATACTTTAAAAGTAGTAATATAAATTTATGTTGAGTAGACAACACCTTTTAATAAAGGCCATTAAGCATTAGCTTTGTAGTGTTAATTAGTATTCCACTTGTGTTGTAGAATAACAAGTGAAGTCCCCTTCAGTTTTCGAATTGTTATTTAACACATTCAGCCACACAGCAAAATAATTGCTTTTTCACACTCCTGGTGGACTCGCAAGCAATGTTGATATGGTTATTTGTATGTGCATATATAAACACCGCAAAGTACAAATAACTTGTCAGAGCTTCAACTCAATTATATGATAGAATTGATTTATTTTCGCAAAGCAACCACAATTTTGTATAGACTGATTACGGCCATTGATTAATTTATGCGATTAAGTGGAATATTTCTCGCTTGAATTGATGGGCTCATCAGTGAAAGAAGAAAGGCTCTTTGTGTATTGAGCATAAGCCAATTTAAATATTTAGGGATATTCGAGCACTGTGATGAGTAAGTGGTATAAATTGAACGCTCGTCATAAAAACTCCCGCATCAGCAAGTTTAACACTCGACTTGACCCACATTAAACATTTGCATATTTATTTGAACGTCAGTTATTTATATGTATCTAAAATAATTCTCTTGGCTGCTGTTGTTGTTGTGGTTTTTGCTGTCGTTGCTCCTGCTGTGAGGCAAGAGTACCGGCATTGGTACCAAAAACACAAAAAAAAATATATATATATATATATATATAAATAACTGAGGAAAATATTTTCCCTTGACGTAAACGACAACGATGCAAGAAATTCCAAACTGACGGAAAAGCAAGCGCAGATATTTCAGCAACTTTGCCTTGAGTTGAGCTGGCATGAGCCGGGAACGGAGGGATCGGGGTAGGAGGAGATGGACGAACGGCGCTGCTCGTGTTTATCTCTCTGCTGGTTGTCAAGTCTGTCTGCCTGTTTGCCTGCCTGACTGTCCAACTGTTCTGTTCCTCTTCCTGCCCCCACTCCTGACAATGCGCCCCTTGTTTGGCACGTAGTTAGTTGTTACGCTATCAGCTCAATGACATGTGCTGAGTTCTCTGTGCCAAAAAAGCCAAAAAAAAAAAAAAAAAAAGAAATACAAAAAAAAACACAAACAAACGAGGAAGACTGGACGCCGCACATTATTGTTGTATCTTGCAGATACACAAATTGAATTGCCTGATGTGAAAATGAACGAAGCGAGTTCAGCGCACTTTAAAAAAAACTTGCAACACAACACACAAATGCAGCTAGTGCCCCAGAAGCGCGCTGAAGATAAATGAACGTTAATACAATTGCGTGCCGAGATTAATTTTGTTATTCCCGTTGATCACGCGCCCCCATCACATTCGTAATGCATGTGCCACTATCTCACAGATAAACCCCCCGTATTTGGTATGTGTCTGACTCTGTGTGTGCGTCTGTGTGTGTGTGTGCGTGTGTGTGCGAGTGTGGCTCGTGCCAAGCAGTGCTGCACATGGCTTCTAGCGCACTTTGAAGTGGTTAGATGTCTTTCTGGCTTCTGTGTGCACCACACATCTTTCTCGTGTTTTGAGTAACTCTTAGTACTGGTTCTGTTTTCTGTTTTTGTACCCTTTCGAGGGGTATTATAATTTTTTAAAATAGTTCAGAACACCTGTAATGGATGTCTTCGTTCCACAAAGCTGGTCCGTTTGTCTGATTCTATGCCAAGTGGAGTTTCTCAGTATTAAATTTTATGAAACTTTAAATTTAATTGTATATATGCTGCAGGCGTATTTATTTTCGATTCGACTGCATAGGATCGCTATTTAGTAAGAAATGAAAGCTCACTTTTTATGCTACTATTTTATTTATTTATTTAATGCGGACTTTGACAATTAAAATTACATATTAAATTAAAAGAGGCGTACAAATAAAGTAAAATAAATAATAAAGCATACACCATCATCACATAGGTTTGGTTAATTTAAAGTGCAATTTAGATGTCAGCTGATGGACTCCAGTCCGTCAAGGGTATCTAATCTGCTACGTTCCTCAGTTAGCCGTTATACATTTGCTTGTTCTGTTTTGTATCTGTTTGTTGTGGTTAGACTCTAATTTAGTAGCCATCAAGTGTACGTTTATAATTGGAACGCAGCCAGCCAGCTAAAGAGCACGTCGAACTCTTTCCCTTATCCATGGTTTAGCTTCGTGCTCCCGTTTCAAGTCATAACTGTCAAAGGCAAGCGATTAGTTTCTGAAACTCACTTGTACATTGTGTGTACATATGTATATTATGTATATACACATACTCCTCTCTCTGGCACAATGCTGATAGATTAGTTTTTGAGAAAGCCAACACAATGGGAGCAATCATGGGGACACCGATACAAGTGAAGACTACATGTCAGACACTTGACTTTAACCTGCTGGTTCAACCCATCCCAACATCTTCTCTGGCTTCATGCAACTTAAAGCATGACAGGGCAAAGCAGTCGCATAAGCCGACACACACTGCACTGCTGAGTGGAAGTGGCATGGACGTGGGCGTTTCTTGTCTGGTCTTGGCTCTAAAACTGTCTAAATGCTTCTTAAGCGATGCTCAGATTTTGTGGGCTATCTTGAGCTTAAGCTTAAGATAAGTACAGCTGATGTCATCGAATAACATTTCTATGTTCAAGAATTTAAATCGGGAAAGTGATGGAATTACATAGCAACATGCAAATCATACTTACACAAAATTTGTTTGTATCAAATTTACTTTTATTTATTTTTGTTTAACATTTATTGACTGCGAGATAAACCAGTTATAATATGTAGTAATTTATTGTTATAAAATTTATTAATTTATAACACATCTTTTTGAACCATACTCGACTAATAATCAAATGAGTGATTTTATTTATTATCCGTTTACATCTTACATAATCCATCTTTAAAATTTTAAAATAAATATTCATCCATTTGCATTTGAACCTGAAATACACTTTTTATAGGTTTCGTTTGTTTGTTTTAGTTCCACGATTTTGACTCAACTCAATTATATTTTGTGGGATTTCATCTGACGGAACATTTTATTTATTTAAATATACAAGCGTGTGCACTTTTTTTATATATATTTTTTTATGTATGTTTTTCTGTGTAAGTTTTTATTGTTCATTGATTCATTCGACATGATTATTATGTTTGGGTGCCTTTCCGCAGCTCTTTTAAATAGCGCTTATATGTCAACGATGGGTAAAAAATAGCGCTATGTGTTGCAATTGTGTTTAATCTGCGTCAACTTTTTCACTTAATTTCTTGTTTTCATTTTCTTGGTATTTGTCAAACAGACTCATCTTTTATTTGTGGACAAATAAGAAACTGATGGGAAATCCGATGGCATTAATCCTTCGCTTTTCAAATGGCAGCTAAAGCGCTTTGTAAATCTTCTCGTCTCTCGGCACATTTGTCGCCTGCCTAAGCATAATTAAGAACTAGGTCGAGTGCGGATATCAGGCGGCCCTGAAAAGCGCAGCATCGCTAAAAGCTGCCACTGGTTTCATCTCGGCTGCTCGTGCTGCTCCATTCTCTGTTGTGTATGTATGTGTGTGTGTGTGGGTGTGTGTGTGTGCATGTCTCGTTCAACGTGGGTAATTAATTGATTGCCCATTTGATAGAACGTTTGATGGATGAATGCAGCGATGTGTGTGTGTGTGTGTGTGTGCGCGCTCTCTGTTTTTGCCCTGTGGCATACTACATATTTGCCTTTGGTGCACATGGACTATTTGCTAACGGGGCTTGTCCTCTTCCTGTATCCTTTGCAGTAATTTGCGTCGACAACAGACACAGCCACAGCAACAGCCAAAGCCATGGTGATAAGCAAACCCGATTCGACGCCAAATGGGGGGGCAGCGGCGGCGGCGTCGACAGCGGGGCCGGCTGCAGCCGCAGCATCTGCTTGTCTGGACTCAGCCGCGAATAGTATGGCACATCGATCGGGCATACCGCAGGATCAAATAGACAATATTATGAGCAGCATTGCCAACACGGGCAATGTCAAAATGAACAATCATCGCAAGAAGCTGCGTCAAAGGTAAGCACTCTCTAATATCCTACTTCAATTTGAATGCAGCGTACTCACATAACTTCGCCTTACAGATTTGATATTATTAAGAAATTAGGTCAAGGCACTTACGGCAAAGTGCAGCTTGGTATTAATAAGGAAACGGGCCAGGAGGTGGCCATTAAAACGATAAAGAAATGCAAAATCGAGGCAGAGGCGGATCTGGTGCGCATTCGACGAGAGGTGCAAATCATGAGCTCAGTGCAGCATCCCAACATTATCCACATATACGAAGGTATTCAATTCAATGCTTACAATTAATCTTATCTTATTTAGATATACTAAACTAATTTCGTGTAATTCGCTTACAGTATTTGAGAACCGCGAGAAAATGGTGCTAGTTATGGAGTTTGCCGCTGGCGGTGAGCTATATGACTACCTGTCAGAACGCAAGGTGCTCTGCGAGGAGGAGGCACGTCGCATCTTTCGTCAGGTTGCAACGGCCGTCTACTATTGTCACAAACACAAGATTTGCCATCGCGATCTGAAGCTGGAAAACATACTGCTTGATGAACAGGGCAATGCAAAGGTATAGTTTAATTAATACAGCATTAATTAAGCACACACAAATCACACTTGACATTCAAAGATGGAAGGAAACATATCTGGCCACATATAGTATACAAAATTATAGATGTATTTATTGATATCAACAGTGTATTTGATTTAGTTTGTGTTGATTTTTTGAAGTGCTCTCAACCTTTAAAATCCTGAATTACAATGCACACAAAAATAACACTAGAACAATGTTTTGGTTCAAAGATATAATTTTTAATACGAGAAAAAAATGTTTTCTATACAGTAGAATTGAAAACTCTAAGACGATTTTTTACTGTGACATTACAAATTAGTTGTCATTAAACTTATTATTAGAAAAGCTACTTTCTGAAATTCATAAATAAGTAATAAAATTGTCTCTCGACTCTATGTTACAGTTTAGCTGTTGTCTATCTGAGAAGCACTTAAAATCGCCATAAAATTGCTAGTTTTTTAACTGAATTATATGATTTTATAAACTATCGAGAATCCTAGACTTATATGTGATATCTTAACATACTAATGTGTAAGCATTCATATTAAAAAAAAACTGGAAATTAGACATCTTGTTTTTAAATTTAATCAAAATCGTTTTAGAAAAATACCTCATAATAATTTTCAAAATATTAGGGATGTTTTTCTGAGTTTACTCGAATCTGAATATGATTTCGCAAGCCGTGCAGTCTTATCTACAAACAGTAATAAAAACAAGAAATAACTTCTGCTTTAGGCAACCTGAAGATTAGACCAGATCGGAATTTATTTGCAGATATTTAAATTGTCCGAATCCGCTCTTTTCCAGAAACTTTTCGAAGCATAATAAAAATCCTGTACTAGTGATACAAGAATATATTTGAGAACTTAGTTCTGGCACTTCCGAGTTTAGCAAGCTTACTGTTATTTACAAAACATATTCAGGACCTGTCTAAATGTAATAATTGTTATTTTTAATAACGAAGTGAGAATTTACCCAAGTTTCTATTTCCATTTCGATTTCACAGATTGCCGACTTTGGTTTGTCGAATGTGTTCGATGATCAGCGCCTGCTTGGCACCTTCTGCGGATCACCGTTGTATGCCTCGCCGGAGATTGTGGAGGGTACACCGTACCAGGGACCCGAGGTGGACTGCTGGTCACTGGGCGTTCTGCTCTATACTCTAGTCTACGGTTCCATGCCCTTCGATGGCTCCAACTTTAAAAGACTTGTCAAACAGATCAGTCAGGGCGACTACTATGAGCCGCGCAAGCCGTCGCGTGCCTCCACCCTCATTCGGGACATGCTGACGGTGTGTCCGCGGAAGCGAGCCACCATCGAGCAGATCTGTTCGCATTGGTGGGTCAACGAGAATGATAATGTCTCCTGTCTGGATTTGGCCGAGGATTTGGCCAATCAGACACCAGTGCGCCTCGATGTCCTCCTCTCGCTGACGCCGGTTGCCATCACAGCGGATCAGCTAGTGGTGCCATCGGCAGAAGGTGCCGCAGCAGCAGCAGCGGCCAATGAGCGTGTTCAACGCTCGCATTCAGTGGGCTCCATACGTGATATGGGTGCGCCCAACACGGAGGCAGAGCGTCGCATTCTGGACATGGTTGCTGGTGAGTTGTTTGCCGACTATCGACAAAAACATCATGCTTGTAAAGACCATCAGACCCCGAGAGTTCCTAAGCGCACAATCTATTTCTGTATATATTGTTTATTGTAAAGTGCTGTGAACTAACTTGGCATACACACAACAATGTGCCCTGCCCTCATCATGCCCACTAACTAACTGCTGTTGATCATGCGGTCTACCTGTTCCGACCCCTCCTCGACCCATCTAACGATCGATATGGATCACACTCAAGTGCACTAAACTAAACTTGATACCAAAATCCATTTAACCACGCTCATTAAAAACCACGCCTCCCTTTCTCTCTCTCTCTCTCTCTCTGTTTCCCTCTCGTTCTCGCACTCTCGCTGTGACGCATTCCTAGCTGGCGGAGAGGCTGCACTGATGCCATCACCCACACGCACCATAACGCCCGCCCAGAGTCCCGTGCAGACGAAGCGCAAACTGCAGCCGACTGTGTCCACGGAGAATGCCGCCGGCACCACGGCCAAAAAGAAGGAGAAACCGGCAAACAATGCATCATTTGTCATTAGCGGCGAAGCCACAGTGCCAACAACCACAGCACCATCAGTACCATCATCATTGACTGCGCCCCAGGCAATGGAAACTGAGAGCGTTCTCTCTGCTGAGGAGTCGCCAGCATCGTCATCTTATTCGCCACAGGATATGCAACAAGTGGGCAATCTTTGCGAGCAACTCATTGGCGAACCTGTTGCGTCAACCACACCACCCGTCACTTCAGTGCCCCGTCAAGCGACACGCGCCAAACTGGACGCTGTGGCGGAAACGCCCGAAGAGAAGGATGCCACCAAAGTGATCAAAAAGTTTGTGAACAAACACAAGACCGCCGATCTGGTGAACGCCATCAATGAGAGCACCACGAACAAGGCGGTCGCGACCACGCCCAGCAGCAATACAACTGCAGTCGCGCAGCAGCCACCGCCCTTCATTCGCAAGTGTAGCCTGCAGGACGAGTCCACGCTGAACAAATTCAATGCCGAGCGTCGCAAGTCACGCATCCTGGAAACCGCGGAAAAGTTTCAACCACCGCCGCCAGTAACAGCGGCTGCCGCCGCTCCGGAGAAGCCGAAGAAGCTCAGCATACCCGGCGTCAGTGTGGGCAGCTTTAAAAAGGAATACGAGCGCAAGGCAACGAATCCGACACCCGTGAGCGGACCGACGCCGGGCGAGCGTCGCGCCCAGGAGCAGGTGGCCGCCGCAGCAGCCGCTGCACAAGAGGCTGAGGCCCAAGAGGCCCTAAACACGCCACCAGCATCACCCTCACCGGTGGCTGCGTCTGGCAACTTGGAGGGCAGCGATTCCAAGAATTCAGTAGCCTCCATATCACTGGACGAGGCGCGTCGCTCCATGGAGAACTCAATTGCGCTGCTGCGGCAGGCGCAGAACGAGTCCAGCAAAGAGCTGGACCAGCTGTGCGCCCAAACCGAGACGATTGGCGTCAGTGAGCCAACGCCGGAGGAGCGCGAGCGTAAGTTGAAGAATGCGCGCGCCATTATCGGAAATGCCATACAGCCGGGTAAGTGGCGAATGCAACGAATGCTATTCGACTTAATATTATTGGATGAATGATAAATCAAGCTAAGCCCCGCAGCGCTTTCGAGTTGACTACCAGCACTTCTACTCTATATAAACATTACCAAGCACTACATTACCAATAGCATCACTAGCATCTGACACAAGTCGAGCGGCTAGGCAGTTAAGCGAAATCCTAAAAAGATTTTTCACAAAAATTGTTGTTTAGAATATGTTTAGTTAATGCAAATCTGTTTTTAATGACTTTAAATATTTAACACTAAATATTTAGACTAAATTTTCGTGGGTTGAACAACTAACAATGAAATTATATTCACGTATTTTTGGTATAATAATAATTTAATAATTTGTTGAATATTTACATAGCCGAAGGCCAAAAAATGGTTGCATTTAATTACTTTGCATAATCGATGTAAAACGTTCTAAAACTGGCCTTGATTATTTTGCAAAATTTATGGAAATCATGCAGCTTTTTTAATAGGTTTTTAAAAGTAAATAAAACGTATTGAAAATAGCATTTTCACGTAATTTTTATAAGCTCTCAATTAATAAAAATAAAATTTGTGCACTCTACATGTTTATTGGACATAAATATTATATAATTTCCAAAATAGATTAAAAACTTATTTTGCATGAGCGGGTTCAAAAAATCCGATTTAAAACGCAAAAAATTAATCCCAACAATTTTCCACACATTTTACATTTTCAAAATCGGTATAAGACTTATGCATTAGGTATTTGAAAATGAGCTTTATATAGATTAATTGCACTTATCAAAGCTGGTTAACGACGTATTTATTAAGTTGGTTAGGTATGTAAAAAAAGCTGAACATCGATTAGATCAAGTCATATGCAATACTTATTAGATTACATTTTCTTTACATTTGGTGTTCTCTTTTTTCAACCAACTTGAAGAGTAGCGTTTAAATCAGCAAACTATCAATAATATAGTACAAAAAATGGTACAATTTAGATTGTTAAATAGTATAATGAATCCGTTCTTATCTGCCAAACTGTTTGAGACTTGTGCATTGCTTTAAGTTTATGCGTCTTGTATTTCCACATACTATATTTACATAACTATTTCCCACCACTTTCGATGTGTTTGTAAAACGTTTTGCCAGCGGAGTGCTGCATGGATTTAATTATAATCAGCATTTGTATCGATTCCAAATGCAATTCGCTTGGTCATCATAGTTCCCAAAAGTAAACAGAGCATATGCCACCCACACTCATTTTTCTATACTCTTCATTGTCTCAGATATTCACCTGTCCCACTCAGTCTCTCTCTCTCTCTCTCTCTCTGACTTTCTCTCGCGCTGTTTTGGTTGTTTTGACCATCCGCTCAAAGCACATCAACATCAACACTTACACAAACACACCCATCCATTCTCATCATATTCATTGAATCATCATCTTAATTTTAGTGATACGCAGGCCAACACCATTATTTGGCATCGGCAATGGCTTTGGCAGCGGCGCTGGCGCTGGCGCCGGCGGGGTTGGGGGCGGTGTCTTTGCACCGATGCGCACTGAAAGCAACAATAATTTCATTGGCAACATGAACAACAATAACAACAACAACAACAGCAGCAACAGCAACAGCAGTAGTCCAATCACTGCATTGGCAGCCGCCAAGCAAACGATACAGCAGCGTCTCTTTGCGGCCGGCTTACCGGGACCCACAAGACCAACAATGCAACAGCAACAGCAGCAGGCACGAGCGGTCATTTGGCAGCCGCAGGCCGCTTACAGCACTGCGAGCATATTCCAACCCAGCTGCAGTCCGTTCCGGCAGCTGCAGCAGCAGTATCAGCAAAAATGCCAGGAGTTAGCGCAGCAGCAGCCACGTTCATTCAGCAATGCGTTGTTTACGCCGCCGCCCTCGCCGCTGTACGCCCCCAGCCATGCCCACGTCCAAGCCAGCAGCAACCACAACAACAGCAACAACAACAACAACAACAGCAACAACACGATGCCTATTATCAATTACAATGTCAGCTCGCGCACGAGACCATTTCATAATCAAGCTCAAGACACTCTCAATAATACATCTGCCTTGCCTGCGGCTATGTGGCTGAAATGTAAGTCCTGGGCAGCGGCTCCACAGTGCCACGCGACGCCCAACTGCCCCACCTGCCTGCCTGCCTGCTCCGTTTCGTTCCGTTCCTTAGCTGTTGCCATGGTGCTGGTTAGAACTGAACTTTTTCTATGTAGTATGTCAAACAAGTGTTGTGGCAAAGGACACAATTTCTTTTGCAAAACAAATTATCTTCTTATCGATTTACATTTCTTCTTTAGGGTTCTTTGATCTAGTTCGAAACAAATAATAACAAAATCTATTCATTTAAATATCCTTTTAATTAAGGTATCCAGAAGTTGCTTTGACTACCACTGTACATGATACTGATCCCTTTAGAAATGATTAGCTTTTACTGCGGTAAACATTATCGAGTATTTCTTTAAAAAAAAAAAGGAAAGAAAATAAATTTTCTTTGCAAAATAAGAATTTGTCTGCTTTGTTCAAACACTCTCTTGACATACTGTATCCATGGTCAATGGTGATCTCTTGGCCAGAATGAAGTTAGCCTAGTCAGCATCATGGCATCCCTAATCCAGCGATTTGTGTGTGCTCCTTTTTTGTTGTAGTCTCTGTTTCTCTGTTGCTGTTTCACTCACCATCACCAAATATGTTCTTTGTACTGGTTGTACATTCACTCAACTTTCCTTTCGCCTCCCATAAATGGAATCCACAACAAACCAAAACTGAAACTGAAACTGAAACTGAACTGAAACCATAGCTACTTATCTTTGCTGTTTACTACTGTTGTTGCAATTTCGTTGTTGTTGTCTTTGTTGCTGCTGTTGCTGTGCTCGTTGTTTTTGTTAGTTACATGTACATACATATATTTATTCGTATCTGTAGTCGCCTTAGTCGCCGCTGCAACTGCTAGTCGCTGTCGCTGCACTATAACCTTCCTAAACGCACACTCTCTCACTCACACTCACACTCACACACACACTCAGACACACATATCCATGCATATATACATATATCACACACTCCCAAGTCCAGACTGTTTGGCCCTCAAAATACTACTTTCAAGCCAGCCAGCAACCAAACCGCAAGTTGACATTTACAATGCTTATTGCTTAATTGTTTGTCTTACAACATATGAGCGACAATAAACAAAACCAACTTACTAAATGTTTAAAAATCTATTACACAGCTTCACCGGGCGGCGATGCTGGAGGAGCTGCAGGCGGTGCAGTTAAAACGTCGACTGCATCGATAACACTGAAGTCAGCGACGTTGCCGCGTCGCAAAATCAATGCCAAATCCGAGGTGCAGCTGGACATTAAACCACGCATTGCGGAGCAGCCGCCGCAGCCGGCGATGCGCTTCAGCACCGAGATGCAGCATCCTGTGGCCGATTTGCGCAGTGCACCACCACGCGAAGGTCCCTTGCCGTACAGCCCCATTAAGACGACGCTGCAGGCGCGAGCCACCAGTCTGGAGCCCAAAGAGCACATCATCACAATACAGCGGCCGCCAACGCAACAAGCATATGGACGCACTAACTCCAACTCCACGACCACACGGTGAGTTTGTCGCTGGCGGCATATTTAAATGATGGATGTCGATTCTAATTTTAATGACTTTTGCAGTTCCGGTTCGCTGTCACGTCAATCCACTGCTGATTCCGAGACAGAATCAACAACCACCATGCAATCGCAATCAACGATTGCTGGCGGCCCGGGCATCTCGCAACCGATTAAGAAGAGTCCACGCGAATTTATCATACCGATTGCCGTGGAGGGTGGCGGCTTCATAACGCCGCGTGAGCGCAGCATTGAGCCATCCGAGTCAAGTCACACAACTGCTTCCAGTCGCTCAACATTCAGCCGACTACGTCCATCGCATCGCATTGGGTAAAGTTCGCTCATGCAAAACTTACGCAATTTTCATATTGAATGTTCAAACTTTCATTTCGCAGTTCACTGCTCAGCGAGACCGGGTTCGATGAGGGTTCGCCATTCCAAACGATGCGCACAGCTACGCGTGATGGCGGCGACGATGAGTCGCTATTCACTCCGCACAGACTTAGGTTTGCATACGCCCATTCCAATTGCCATTCGCAGCCACGGTCCAGTTTCCTATATGAATATTTAACTCAATTTCCACTTTGTGTTTGTTCTTGTGCTTCTTGTTGCTGTTGCCGTTAACTATTCGCAGAAGTTCGAGGCCTGTCAAGAAAATTAGCCAGGATAACGACTCGCAGAGCTCTGGCGAGGAGGATGACGATGATGGCTTTGAGATACTTACTGCGGAGAACCTATTTTCAACTTTACTGCAACGCGTAAGTTGAAATCCTGTGAATTAAGTTAATATATAAAGATCACAATTGATTATTTAATTAATTTTTACATTTGCCCACATAATAATAATTATTTTTTGACTGAAAACAAATCTTTAAAATGTGGGATCTCTTTTAATATTCAATTATTATAATACCATATGCATAATGCTCTCTTCTCAGTGTATTTATTACCATATTGAATTTTCCATTTTCAGGTGCGTGCGCTTACGAATCGGATGAACGTAAACAGTGAACTGACAGCCGGCTTTCCCAGTCATTCTAGTCGTCTGCTAACGGATATTTCGAGGCAGGCACAAGGTCACCGGCCATTCTGGGGTCAGAGCAGTCCCTTCGGCAGGTGAGTGATTGCCGGCTTAGTCCGAAGCAAATATGTTGATAGTAAATAAGCAATTTCATTACATTCATGTACATAATTAATCAAATACTCATACGTATAAAAGTTGGCTAACAAATTTCCATCATTTTGTTATAAATCTCTTACATGCTGCTTTCCTTAAATAATAACTGCATTAACTTGATAAACTGCTTAACTGACTAACCAAATAGTGAGCATAGGTCGCAAGTCAGCTATAGCTATACTCAAACGGTAGAAAAGAAGCAAGTGTAAGTATACAAAGAGTAAACATGTATATTTATCTATCTATATGTATACATAATATATAGTAAAGCAGCACAGATTCAACTTCAACAACAACTATTGTAAATCATCATTAACAAAATCTAACTACTGCAATAATTCTAATCGAAGCTTTCGCTATGCTTACATTCTCTGCTCTGCTATTTCATCCCCCTGTGTTTCCTTAGGTGCAGTCAACGATTGCTAAGGGGCTTTAACATTGCGAACCGCTTACGCCATTGGCTGATTGAGTGGCCTGGTACCAAATGTTGCCTGTAAGTTGGCCCAATGTGAAAGTCCTTTAGCTAAACGTTGACCGACACAGCACATAGCACATTCAAACGCCATCTCAGATATGTTCAGTACAACATTCAACTGCAAAAATATCGATGTATAATAAATTATTTTTGGTATTCTCTTTCTCTCTCTCTCGATGTGCGACAGTCGCCTGAACAGCGCGAGCAATAGCAGCGGTCTTGGTGCGCCCTGGCGTCACAGCATGTCCCGGGATCTGGGCAGCGATATGGAGTCGATGTTCTCGCGCACGGGCGCCACGCTGCCAAGAGGTGAATATCACAGATTAAAGAGTAAATATTTAGATCAGTAGGCAGACAACAGGCAACAGATATCAAGCGAAACGAGGCGCAGCGAAGCAACTGCAATTCTCGAGAACACACACAACGTAAAACTAAATAACAGCTGCTAAAGTATGCTACGTAAATAAGAAAACTCAATTCAATTTCAATATATACTTGTATACACACTTCTAGTAGTTTGTTGATGTATGCTAAAAACAAAACAAAACAGAAACAAAAACAAAAAAAATACAAATACAAATATCAAAAACAGAAACAAAACAAATCAAGTGAATACCCACTACTACTATATATCTACTTATTTAGTCTTAACAAGTTTGTGCAGCCTGAAACACCCCCTAAAAAAACAAACAAACAAAAAAAAAAAAACAAAACAAACAAACATAAATCAACAAAAATAAGCAATTAATTAAGTGTCTACTGTAATTATCAAATGAAAATGCCAATTAATACTTACTTTGACAAATCCTTTTCTGTTCTATTTTGGATTTATTATTATTTTTATTTGAATTTAAATTTTGTGTGCGTGCACAAGTCTATAATAGCATATCCTTCTCAATAAGATGTGAACTATCTATCAAAAATAGTACTCTATATATCTATCTATCTATCTATCTTTCTATCTATTATATACTTATCTATCTATTGATCTATTGCTACCTGTCCCCTAGAGCACAACAACTTTTGTTATTAACCTTAAATGCTGCTGCCGCTTTACAATTTACATACATACATACATAAAAATGTATCTACATATATATTATTTGCTCTTTACCTCTTACATAGAGACATTTTCTAGCTCTCGTAGCCCAACGAACCCAACCGACTCAGTTAAATGTGCCTCTAATTGTTCTCTTCGTAATGTTTTGCACAGTTTATTATTTATTTATTTATATCTATTTATTTTTATTTAATTTAATTTGATTTTTTTCATAATTTGCTTAACAAGGTTTTTATTTTATTTAGTATTAAAATGTTATGCAATATTGCAATGACGATAATGATGATGATGATGATAGAAAAAATGTCAAAAGTCTAAAGAAATATCAAATCGTATTCAAAGTTTTGAATATCTGCGCAATTATATAGTTATTTATATAGAACTTTTTGCTTGGTCAATACAACAAAATGCTCAGCAAACAATAAGTATGTGCATATAAATATATGTATAAATATATTTATATATATATATATATTTATATGAACGACAGCCACAAAAAAATGATTTGGAACAACTGAATTTGGCAACACATGAAATTTCAATTAATTTACGTTCCCTCGTATGTTATTAAAAATTGTTAAAAATGATATTGTGGACAACAAGCAAGGATGAAAATGTACTTAATCTTAATAACAATGCAATAAACCCGAGGCGGCTAAATGAACAAATTTAACCCATAAATAATTTTATTACATTTTACAGTGAGAACAATTTTGATGACAATAAAGCGAACCACTTTTGTTTTGAATAATCTAAAAACAAACGAAACAAAAACATAAACAAAAGAAAAACAAACCATGGCTATTTTATTTCGATTTACAAATTGTTTGACAACCAAAAGAATTTTGTTAAATAAATATCTACATATACATACATAATATTATATTAATTATTGTTGTACAGTTTGCAAATGGCCCCGCTACCTTAAATTTGTTTTAGTTTTAATTATATATCTATTCATTTTTTATTACTACAAACAACAAAAAAAAAAAAACAATCATTGAAAAAACCAAAAAAAAAAAAACAATTAGAAAAGCGCTAACCAAGCAAGTTGTTTAAGTTCCAAAGTTATTGTTCATGTTTTAAGTTTAATAATTAAACCAAATTTGTGTTGTACAAGAAATTAATTTTTTATAACACCACTAAGCACACACACACACACCTACATTTACACACAAGCCACACATGCATTTGAAGCTTATCGATGTAGTTAATTTTGTCCACGCTGTTTAATGCTGTGTTTAAGCTGATCTATCAACCACCACAACCACAACCGCAAAAACAACAATAACTAACTTTGGCACAAACACCAAACACCAAATGATAATCAAAATTCAAATCAATATCAAAACCAAAAACAAGTTTCTGAGTTCTGGGCTATTTTTAATCAACAAGGAAAATTGTTTAATTTAATACCAACCTGCTTATGGCAATTTAAATAATGTAAAAAAACAAGCTATGAATTTTTTTCCATCAATAAACAGAAAACGCCGTTCTGAATAATTGTAGCAAACTTAAGAAGAACTAAAACAAAAAATGTCCAAAACTTTGAATACGATAATGTACAAAAATGTTCAGCTACTAATTGTTGTCATTCTCTAAAGCGCAAACACATTTTCTTTATCATCAGCAACAAACAAAAAAAAAAAATAAACACAAACCTTGAGCTGCTCTTTATTTTTATTATTATTATTTTATTTTAATTTTTTTTGTATTGTTTTTGTTTAACACCCCAACGCACTAGAATTTTCATACTCATAATTACTTACTTATCTTATGTAGGTGCCGCTAACTTTGCCTTATTGAATCTTACGTTATTTATTAGTTAGTTAACAAAAATTCATCAAGAATTGTTTATTTGCAAATTGCAATTGTTGGCCGTTTTACACATTTTGTGCTTATTTCGTTTACAGTTGGTTTATCTTTAACTACTACCACGCCCACAAAGCATGTTATAACCATTAACAACAGTCCGCTCAATACCACCATCAATACTACCACCAATACGAAAACCAATACGCAACTGCAACCCGCCATTGTTGCAACAACGGCCACAACAACGACATCAAGAAAGGTCGCCGTCGCCACAGTGCCGCAATTAAGCATTGGTCACCAGCAAGCTATCAAACTGCTGGCAACTGGCACACGAACACCACCACCACCCAAGACAGCAAAAACCATCAGCACCACCACCACAGCCACAATCACAACCACAAGAAACCTCAAGAAGCCATAAAGCAAAACGTTTCAAGACACACACAGAAATGCACAAATGAGAGATAGCTGGAAGAAAGTGCTGGAAGCAGCTTTTGGTGTTTTATGTGGTGCAGCGCAACTGATATCAATATTAATTAACGTTTATGTTTTCAAATTGAATTTTACATACTTGTTTTATAGTTCATTTCAATATCACCACCTGTAACAAATTTGGCAACACATTGAATAGGCAACACACATTTAACGTTCAGTATGCGGCCCAAAGGCATACTGCATTAAACGTAGTAAATGCTGTTTACTAAACACTAATCGAAGCTTTAAGCAAATAAACTTATTATTTTTGTTTTGTTAAAGTGATAACAAATTGCAAATCAATCGAAATTTAAGGACTGCCAACGGGCCAAGTGCGAGTGATGAGTGTAGACTCGTAAATGGCGATTGTTATAGCACTTGACACCTATTTGTGATTTTAAATTAATTTTAAACAATTTTAATTATTTATGTACTACTACTACTTGCTCAATTTGAGTTTGATTTAAGATATTCCTCAAAAACAAAAAAAAAAAACAACAAAAAATGAAACTAAAAGGAAATATCAGCGATAGATAACATTTACATACATATTCATGTCACATTCCGAACTCAAGCAGGGTATTCCTCCAGCGCAAATGCTGCTTCAAGCATTACAACTAAGCAATATTTTTATATACATACAAACATACATACATTTTAATACTAAACAAAAAACAAAAAAACATTTTTATATGCTGAATTGCAAATGAAATAAACAAAAGTCGTTGAAACTTGATTGCGAAATACATGAAAACCCAAACAGAAAACAAACCCAAAAATTGTTATTTTTATATAGTACTCCTGCACGTGAGCTAATCATTGTTGTTGATTGGAACGAATTTGTTATTGTTGTACTCGTATGTTGTTAATATGATATGATTATTATTTCTTAATTGTTTCCACTCTAATTGCTTTAACGAGCTAACCCCGCTATGTTACTCTAGATCGATCCAGTGTGCAAAGTTCTTTTGGTTGCAAACATACAAAACGTTTACAGGTGCATCCGGACATTGACTTGGAGTACAGGTACTGAGTAATGTAAGATGCTTGAACTGTATTTATGCCATACAGCCAAGTAAGTAAGCTTTGCCAATTGCCAATGCCCAACAGCATTTAACTCTTACTCTCCGTGCCGAGAGTCTCTCGGTTCAATGATGCCCAACACTTAGCCACACCTTTACCTCTACCTCTACCATTCACAGGCCACAACGCAAAGGGTTTAAATGCGAGCAGCAAGCCTCGATCAGCGGCCAGCAACGGTGAGGAGAATGAAGATAGCCAAAAACCAGTGAATGCAACAAATGCCACAGATGCCAGTGGTGAGGAGCCATTGGATCTGGCCGATTTGGATTTGTCGCGTTTGCGGCTGAGCAAAAAGGATCTCGAAACGCTGTCGAGCATCACACCTGGTCTGCCCAAATGCTTTCAGGAGCAACTGTTAGCCAAGCTCCCGCCCACACAGGCGCGCAAATTATCCCGGACACTAAGCGTCCAAAATGGTGCGACAAGCACAACCACACCCTCTATCAAGGTGTACAAGCGCAGCCAGAGCAGCGGACGTGGCTATCTGCCTGAGCAGCCAGAGGAGGATAGCAAACCGAAACCACTAACGGATGCGCCCAAGACGACAGCGGCCAGCACGGCCATCTATCGACGCAGTCTGAGTAGGGCGCCCAGCCAGGGACCACAGGGAACGCAGGAAGCGGCCAGTGCCACCACCAAAAGTCGCAGCAGCAGCGTCTGTCGGGATGAGCATGGCAAATCGTCGTTGTGCAGCAGCAGCTACACCAGTGACATCAATGACAAGTACAAATATTATTCGCCATATTTGAGCAAGTCCAGCAATGCGACGACAACGCTGACGAAGGAGGTGCCGGAAAAGCGTTATAGCGCTGCATTGGGGCGTCCACCGAGTGGCTACCTATCGCCGCCGCCACAGGCACCCGGTGGTGCCACCGTCACCGATGGCAGCAGCTCCCTGCGTGGACGCTCCTCGCAGCGCCGAATCTCACGCTTTCTGCGGCCCGACTTCTTCGACGAGCCACGCGAGCGCGACTCTCAAAGTGTGCTGCACGAGATACGCGAAAAGTCCAGCGATCGTATAGAGTCAACGGATCTGCGCCATCGCAAGCACAGCCTGCCCAATGTGGAATCCGAGGCGGAGGCCAGCCAAACAACGAACAGGCATGCCCGCAACAAGAGCATGGAACAGTTTACTGACGCCGACACTGTCACAGAGCCACAGCAGCCACCACCTGAGAAGCGACGCAGCCAGTCGCGTTCCCGTGAACTGGAAACGGAGCTGGACAAGCACGAATTGGCGAACAAGATACTACAAGAGCTGCAGCTTCTATCCGCAGTGCGTACCCAGACCGAGCAGACAGCTGCTGAAACTCCCAGAGTTGACAGATCCGAAGAGACGTCCACCATCAAAAAATTAAAGAAGACAAAGTCCAAGGAGAAGAGCGCGGAGCCAATTAACGAAATAGAGGCCAGCAAATCAATCGCAACCACAACGACTACATCAACGACGCTCGTGCGAAAAATCAAAAAGATTGCCAAAAAATCAACGGATGAAACTGCAACACAGCAACCACAGCCTGAAATCCAATCCACTGATGTGCCCGCATCGAAGGAGACTAAACTGAAACGCCCCAAATCCTATCCCATGAAGGATCTAAGTCTGAGTCTTAAGGCCAATGCGGAATTGCCTTTGGCCGAGCCAACAATTACGGCACTGCCCAGTAAGTTGCCCAGCAAGTTACCTATAGCAGGAATAGAAGCGTCTGTTGATGGAGCACCCAGGGAAAGCCGTCTGATGCGTCCCAAAAGCTATCCGGCCACCAAGCTGACTATGCCCAAGGATGTCCGAAAGGTTACGCGCAGCGGTGCAGCAATACCCAATATTTCAGAGACTCCACTGCCTACCGCCACTGCATTAAGCTCCAAGTCCACTTCAGAGGAGAAGTCACTATCGGTCACGCCCACTGGAACAACAGCCACGGTCACGGATAAGGACACCAACTCGTCATCGACAGAGTCGCGACCAACGACAATTAAGAAATTGATCAAAGTCTCCAAGAAATCAAAGCTGGTGCCTCCCACACCCGTCACCCCATCCACGCCAACAACAACAACGACAACCACGCCAGCGGACAGCTCAAAGGAGTCGAGTCCTGTGATTAAATCAAAGGAGAAATCACCAGAAAAGAAACCCAGCAAGGGCCTCCTCTATGCCATTGGCCAAAAGTTCGAGAGGCTGCGCGACTCTGCAATGAGCAAAGAGAAGAAGACAAGCAGCCCAAGTTCAACAGCCCTCGCCTGCACACAGAAGCAAGGTTCGCCCGAGGAGCGCAGCTCCCCGGAGAAGTCAATTGGCACGCTGCAGCGCAAGAAGAAGACCCAGGAGCCAGTGGAAGCGACGGCCACAACAGAGGATAAGCGTGTCGATAAGCGATCCCGTTTCGACAGCATGCTACGCTCGCTGCGTGAACGATCCGTGCCACGCACACAGCCCGCCTCCGCAGCGAGTGTCAGTCCCAAGCGATCAGCCAGCGTTGAGGAGCTGCACGCTGCAAGCGGCAGCAACAGCAGCGGTGGCAAACAAAGTGGTACGGTTAACAAAATGCTGGGCGGTCTGTTGCGACGCTTCGATCGGGAGAGCAGCGAACAGAGACGCGTGCGCAGCACACGTTCCACCAGCAACATTGAGCGACAGGTGCGCGAGGAACCGGATGCCTCGCTGCCCACATCACCCATCTACCAGAACGTGGTGGCCAAAACGAAAGTAACCGCTGAGGTTAATTGCAACTGTGAGACGATCTGTCCGGACTGCATACAGAATCGGGGAGCAACAGCATCGGCGAGCACAGCAGCAAGTACAACGACGACAACGACGACTCCGACGATGACGACGACGCTGCAAAGCAACAAGGAGAAGCGGAAGGGTCTCATGCTCGATCTGAGCAATGCGACAAGCGGAGCAACTGGAGCGAGCACTGCAACAACAACCACAACCAATACTAGTGGCAACTATCGGGGGGCCAAAACCAATCCCGCTCTGCCTAATGGCAATGGTTTGTATTCGAATTTGCCGCCATATCCGGGCGCGGTGAAGAGCGCCTCGTCAAACAACAGCTCGAGTCAGCAGTCAGTGGATAATGCCACCAACAACAACTCCATCAATACCAACAACAACTGCAGCTCACAGACGTCGGGCTACCGCACCTCGTCGGCGCATGAGATCAATCGGAATAATCTGCTGACGCCATCGTTTGAGAACATTGCCAACTATTCGTCGGATTCGCGCAGCTATCAGGACGACTGCGCTTCAACTTCGACGTTTATGTCGCCCACCGAGGAGCCGGAGTTGTACTTTGACAATTGGTCCATTTGCTCCGAGGATAACTATATGTTGCATGCAACGCCATCGCCGACAGTGTCGCGTCTCTCACGCGCCTCCCAACTCTCCTCGCCCACACGCTGCTCGGAGAGCTCCGATCCCAATGAGAGTGTCATCGATCGCATCAAGCGTCGCAGTTTCTACAGTCGTTTCAATGAGCAGAAGCCTCGACGCACCAGCAGCATTGTGGGTCCCTCGGCAGTGCGCGATTATTATCGGGAGCAGCAGGCCGCTGTGAAAGCGCGCTCCAGCCAGAAGTTGCATGCCCCCGAGGTGGAGACGCGCGCCCATTCGCCAGACATTGCACAGCAGTTCTTCAGGCCACTCAAGTTGAGTCCCGTCGGCACCGAGCTGAAGCCGCCCGTCTATCGCTCGCCGTTGGACTATTCCACAACGTCGTCGGCGGGTGCGACAAGCAAGCCACGCAAGAGCCTCAATGACATTCGCAACACATCGCCCTCGTTCCTAAGCTCTAAGCGCTATGAGACTCACGATTACAGCTCGGTGCCCATGCGCTACAAGAGCTCCTCCAGCTCGAGTCCAAGCAATGGTGCCGTTGGCGGCATCAATAGCTACTACAGCACATACAATCCCAAGCGTCGCTCCTCCTACACGCTAAACGGCAACGGGCATCTGGCATCGGGTAGCGCTAGTAGTCATCATCATAGCACTGCCGTCAGTAGTCATTTGGATGGCTATGCGACTTTGGGTCGTCGCTCCATTCGACCATATGATCATCGCACCATGTCACTGCTGGAGCCGCCAACCAGCGCCGGCACAAGCAGCAGCAGTGCCGGTGGCAGCTACCACAGACGTGAGGCACGCACCCCGGCACGTGACTACACCTCGAGCGTTTCGCGGTAAGTACTTTAATACTAATTACACTCCTTGCACCAGCGGGTCGATAATCGTTAAACGGTAATTTTATAATTTTCACATCATACAAAAATTATCATGTTTCAGCTATTTCACATCAGGTTGTATTAATTATGTCCTGAGGGAAAATAATACTAACAAACAATCTACACAAATACAAATTCGTACTTTTTGGAAAGGTTATTCGAGTACCTTTCATATCATATAAAATAAAAGCACAGGTTTCATATAGACAGTAAAAATCAGAAATATACTCGATGCTGAACTTTAAAGCCATTTTGAATACGCAAAGGTTATCAAAATAGATACCCACTGGCATAATTATTTTATTTTTGTCAGTCACATTACAAATGCAACACTCAATTAAATACTTAGATATGATTCTTGATGGGTCCATTACTTTGACAACTCACATAAATGAACTTCGTAAGCGAATTACAACTGTTTTACTGATCCAAATAAGGACTCTAATCCAAAGACGTTTTATATCCATCATTCTTCCCATATACAATTACGACATTGCAATTTGGGGTTTATCCTCACAATCACCACATTAACATAGTTATATAACATGTCAATGTCATAATTGAAAACATTAGTAAATAACGTAATTAAGACTTAAAGACCTTAACATTACGTGCCATGAACATATTTAATTCAAAAATCAATTACATTTTTCAAAAAAGACTTCACCCAGACGATTTCAACCAGACCAACTCCCTGCACGTAACTTCCTGTCTATCAAACCAGTCTCCCTTAATTAACATTAACTTTCAACTTACAAAATTCAAGTCTTTCACTTAGCAACACCACGAAAGAACACTTTACATAAGCGATTTATGTTTGTTTTGTTAATGGTTTAAATTATGTCTTTATAAAAATCATGATTTAATCTTTAATTTTTCTTGATTTGCTTTAGCTCTGGATCGCGTTATCGTACCTCGTCGGCAACGCGCAGTCCGACAAACATTTGATGTTCCACACCGCAGAATGGTTTCTGCATCTTCTGCTACTACTCCAAGCGAAAAAAGGCGGACCATGCCGCGGCTACTGGGAAGACGCCGCCAAACACAACTGCCTCCTCGTCGGCCTCGGCTTCATCCTCGCGTGCCAGCAGTGGCGGCATCAAGAAGCTGTTGCAACCCGCACAAACACCCCATCATAATCAGCATAGGTTCTAGGCGATTGTAGTACTTAATGCTGCCAAATTTTAGACACAACCAAATTATAGAATGAAGCCCACTTTGAGTGCACCCATTTTAGGCCTAACTAATTTTTGATATTTTTTTATATAGCCAAAGTTAAAATTTAGTGCAGGCTGCCTTGCAGCTCTGCTTCTAGTTGTCCCAGTAACTAAATCAGACACATATTGTACTTAGCGATGTTTCAGAAAAGAAAGAAAAAATCAAAAACAAAACAAGTATAAAAAATAAACCGTAGTTCAATAATGCATAATGGTATTGGTTTAAAAATCCAATGGCGACCTTAAAAAGCCGACTATTATTGCCATATACGATTTTCAAATGATTGTGCCTTGGTTCCTTCGGCGTTTTTAGATTTAGCCCTAGATATAAAGTTGATTTAATTCGTAAGCAGGGGAAAGTAACATAAACAGATAGTTGAGAAAAGTTAGTTTTTTAACAGATGTTTCAGAAATATTTTATATGCTATTTTTAAGAGCCTCGCGCCAAAAAAATGCGTTAAAATTTTATCAATAATTTTAACTACAATTTTTTTTGCAAATACAGAACTGAATGATTATTTGAGATTTTAAGAGTGTTGCGATGATAATGAAGCTTTCTTTCGTTAACTAGGACTATTGATGTTATTGCAAAATAATAGAAGATATGTACGTGTAGGAATAACGTGAGCGAAAGATTCGAATGTAGCGAAAACAATAAGCGAATTTAAAATCTAGTGGGTAGAATATTTCAAGTTTGAAAATGTAATAAAGCATGAGAATACAAAACATTTTTTAAAAATCAATAAACACCAATTACAAATACAATCTCTAAAGTAGCAAATTCTTTTATTTAATCTATGCTTTCTAATTTTGTACATACAGCCAAAAAGTTGGAAAACTAACAAAGAAACAAAAATAGTTGTACGACTTGCTCTATGGAATTCTATGAGGAAACAATCACTCAGTTTTCTTTCTTTAACTTGTAGGTGGGCAAAAATGGAACGTAATAGGTCCACTTCCATCTTCTTATGGCATCCATGCCATATGGGAAGTCATAATCAGTGGCAGTGCCATCGTTTATATTGTCATCGCCCAGCGGCATCTCATTGGCCCACTCAGTAAGTCCACGTTCTGCGGCGGTGCCTGTTGATTACACTATTAGTGAGGATCTGGCCAATTTAGTTTCAGATCAACTTACCAGGAATTATGTTATCCAGAAAGCAGCCAAGCAATCCACCCACCAATATAGTTGTACCCAGAAGCACCGATAATGTTGAGTCAACGGTTTCATTGCCCGTATTAATGGCACCCGGATTCTGTTGCATCCACGGGCACAGAACCATGGGGAAGAATATCGACAGGCCGAGTATATATAAATTTCTTGCGGAACGCAGATCCACATACTGCAGTGTAGAGAGGCCGAATGCTATGATCATGCCAAACATCACACAGAAAATGCCCCCGACCACCGAATCAGGGATGAGAATAAATATGGCACCAAATTTTCCAATAACGCCCTGTAGCACCATTATAAAAGCCGCCCATTGAATCACGCGGCGCGAACCGATCTGTAGTTGAAATAAAATAATATGATTATACAAAATTCATAATCCGTAGGGTAAGACTGCAACCGAAATTGGAAAATAAATAAATCGATAATATTGTGCAGCATTTCTTTATGACTTACTAGAGAAAAACTTTTATTCGAGTGCTTCTTAGATGTAAAGAAAATGAACACAGTAACTCCTAAAAACATTTTAGATTCATAATGTGAATTTGCAGCTTGTTATTCAATATTGTAATTTGTATTTTCTGATTCCCGCTGATTAAAATGAATAACTTAATATTTCACAACGAGAAAAAACGATTGAAATTGAAGATGGCAAACCCTTGTTGACCGGAGTTAATTTGCTGACATTTAAATATTAGACCAGTGTTCGACTTATTATTATGTTTTTGTACGTTTTAAACAAATTATAATACCCTCTATAAGGGTATTAAAAAGGTGAAAAATAAGAATAAAAAGTTGCTTAATTAATTTTTGTCATTTGTGGGCTCCAAATGAAGCGGATAATTTTGCCGACAGCAATATTTTATTGTCATTGCTGCATAGTTCAATCAGCCAGTTTAGTTTTCGTACTCACCTTGGTCACACCTATGGCGCCCACGTTCTCGCCAAAGGTATTTGTGCCATTGCCAGCACCCCAGAGCCCAGCGAGAACCGTGCCCAAGCCCTCAGTACCGATGCCACGATTAATGGCATGCAGCGGCGGTGACTGGGCGCCGGACATTTGCGAGACTGTCGGATAATAGCTTAAGGATTCGACCGTGCAGGCGAGCACGCCGGCCAGCATGCCCAGCACACCGGACAACGTTACTGACGGCCATCCAAACTGGCCGGGATATGGCACGTAGAACCACTTGGCACTGGTTAACACATTCAGACGGACATCTGTGCGTGATGGATGCGATGGGGGGAACACATCGGTTGCTGTTAGAATGCCGCAAAGGCCCCACATAATCATGATGGTCAGCAGCACGGGAAAGAGGCGAAACAGCTGGAATCGACGCACCTCCAAACCGTGTCCCTTTCTATAGGCAATCACTGGAATTGAGACGTCGCACATGATTTGCGAGAAAAGTGTCAGCATTCCCGTGGTGCTGTGAAAAAATGTGTAATCAGTGGATAATCAGTTGTTTGATGTGGCTTGTTAAACTTACCCCACAGCAATGCCCCAGTGCTTGGAGGCCGTATCCGCGGCATGCTCGAAGAGTGTTAGACCGACCAAGGAAACTGTTGGCACAATGGTCAGCGGCGTGACGTACTTTAAAATCTTGCCAACCAGTCCCGTATAGCCCAAGATGACCTGCACCGATGCTGAGACGGCAATTGCTCCAGACAGCTCACGCATTCGTATCTGCCACAACTCTTCGCGCGCGCCATCTTCCATGGCATCCAGTTCCTCTTGGGGCGGGCATTTCCATTGGGGCAAGGCAAGGATAGCCAGGGTGGGCACCAGAAATGATATGGTACCGCCCTGAACTATGGGCAGCCGCACCCCCCATGTCGCCTGAAAGTAAGTCACTATGCCGGTGACAAAGATCATTGTGGATATGATAATGCCACGGTTCGGGTCCTCGTCGGACATACACAGCGCCGGTGTTAATATAAATGGTATCGATACAATCGCCCCAATCATTGTCAAATAATGTTGGAACGCCAGAAATATGCTCAGATACCATTCTGAAAAGGATCAGTTAGAGATTACACAGCTACAAGGAAAAGTTATGGCATTGGATGTTTTTTCTTACCTGGATTCTCATTGATTGCATAGAGCAGCTGGGGCTTGGATCGCTCAACATGTGGCGCCGCCGGATTCGATGTGGGAGGGTCATCTCCAACTGGAGTCGCCCTGTTGTTCAAATCATTCAACTTGTTTGCATCGGTCTACAACAAATGACCAGCCAATCTTATTAAGCTGTTACCGCAAATTTATGCAACGATAAATCCCAACTTATAATTAAATGTAGTATATATGTATTAAATCAAATTTCTATTGACTTATGTTAATTTCGAATTGTTGAGAGCTAAAGCACAGGTTGCCACTTGCAACCGCATTTTGTCGAGAAGGGAAAAAAATGCATTATTATAAAACTTATAACAAAAAAAAACTTCTACTTGAATTAATTTGCATTGAACACCAATATGATTAGCCAGATCGCTGATTTTCATGAAAAACTTCCCGTTCTCGCGCCGCTCGCCAACACCCACAGAATGCGACGTTGTTGCCAATCGTGTCGGCATACTGATTAATTGAGCGTGAGTAGCAGACTAGTAACTTGTGAATTTACCGACTGTTCTCAGGGCGTTAAGCAGTCGGTATTATTAAGCCCATAAATTACGGACAAAAATACCTGACCGAGTTGAGTTGAGTGAATAAATCACCAGCATAAATTGTTCACTGAAAAAATGTGACAAATTGTGATTATCGATTGATCAGACAGTCATACGATATCATATAATTGGGTATCTTCCCTTAATTCACTGCCACTATATCCTTATATTACTTACACTGTTGCCAATATATATAATTAAAAGAAACTGAGCATATTACGCCCAACAATTAATCTGATAAGAATCAAGAAGAGCAGAGATGGCAATTGAGTGCAATTAGTATGCGGATTCCCTTCGAAAATTTACCACTTACATAAACCACTTAAAGGAAATGAATGCAGACATGCAATATATATATAAATATATTTTATATATATATATATAATAATGATCGTTACACAGCAAACACCAACAAGGAAATCTGTATTTAATAGTCACTCACAGGCAGACCGTCCCCAATCGCAATATTACTGAGCTCCATCATTCAGCTGAATAACTATTTATGCCCTGTATATTTGAATTAAAATTAAGCACTTTGTTATCCTCACTACTGCAATCGCCGTGAACTGTTGTAGTCCGCAGTTCGGAAGAGACTGATCAAAGAGAAAAGAAAACAGGCACAGCAAACATAGCGACGGCGACGGCAGCGTTGGCAAAGATCTTACTAAAATCTGTCGAAATGTACTCAATTCATTGTACAGTTAGCGAGTGCATATTTTGAGACAAATTAAACGATCAATCAATTGAAGAGCAATCGCAATTAAATAGAAGAGACGTCGAACAGAATTCGCTCGCCTCTGTTTGATTTATTAGTGAATTCCAATCAAACAATGTATCTACATTGAAAATATTTTTGTATAATTTTTTTTTATATAAATTTACTCTCTTTGAGTAATTTACTTATATTCAAGATATTCTTACTTATGGTAGGTAAAAGATAAAAATAGGTTTATGCCGTCAGTTGGTACTCTATAAAAGTGTCGAAAAAATCATATAGATACCGCCCAAACCGCTTGATAAACCATATTATATCTTCGCTCTATTGACAACTTTTTGGAGAAAAGTGAACAAAAATAATGCGTGTAAAAGATCTTATCGAGTGTGTATCAAATATTTACTAAGCCCTCAGCATAAAAATTAATAAAAATAAATGATGGTTTGCGGAATTCGCGATAAGCCTTTTTCCCAATTTGAAGTAATTAACACACTTAAATGCACAACTCTAGTCGGAAACAACCTCTAATTAAACTCACCTATTTGACATGCAACAGTCAGTTATGCATAGTATAATAACATATTAAAATCAAGTCTTAGTATAATTAAAAATTCATGTTAAAAACAGATATAATCAGTCATCAATTTAGTCACCAAGTCAGGTATTTAATGTCAACAATCGGAGTATTTGAAAATTGTTAGTAAATTATCAGTGTGTATTTTTTCCCCTCCACAAAGCCAGTGATACTCTGCTCAGACTTGTATTTACTCTGTATATTTATCATTTATAATAAATAATTATAATAAAATTTTAAATTAATGTATATGCATACAAATCTTTCTGTAGACTAAAGTAGCATAGTTTTAGGGATAGTTTATAGTTATTAAATGCATTAATTGAGATTTCCCGCACAGAAGTTTGCCTACATCTAGGCATAAAGTACTTAATTAAAGTTGACCATCCCAAAGGGGAATTCCTTGAGTATATCTGAAAAATGATACATCACCAATTAGATGCGAAGTTTGCCATGAATTCCAAAATGTGAATTAATGCTGACAAAACCAAATTACTTTTGGAGAAACAAAATTTATTTTGTGTTGCGTTTTGATTGTAAAAGTAATTCTGCACATTGTTTGTAAATATTTAACTAAGTCACTACATTCATAGTTTAATACACATAAATTTAGTTTTGGTGGTGTTGTTGTTTTTTTTGTTTTTTTTTTTGTTTAAGTTGTGATATTTTATGCTATACACATATGGTTAATTTCATTATACCGATAGATCCATTCAATGAAGCATTTATAAAAGTTGAATTACATTAATAGATTTTTCGAATAGTGTTTGTTTCGTTAGTGAAATGTTTTCTTATCAACATGCAATTGTTGGGGTGTATATGTATGGGAGCTTGATTAATATGTATTTATATATTATTTAACTAATTTTTCAAAAGGATCAAATCGATAACATTAATTATTACGTTTTCTTTATGTAAAGCACACCAAGTTCTGTTGCAGTTGCAGTCTCTCTTACAAAAATTAAACAAAACATAACTTAAAACGATAAATAAAACTGTCTAGTGCGCGAAAGCGGCATTTAAGGAGCTATTTATGGTGTATCCTCCTCTTTATCCTGCCAAACGCTGCTCTCATTCTCGGTATCACTTAGAATTTCGACAACCTCCTCCTTGAAGAAACTAGCTGGAATCGACATATCGCTATCGCCGTTGTCCACCATCAGATTCAATTCCGGCACCAGTGATTCATCGGTGCCCACCTGTGCATTTATCGTTGACGCAGATGCCGCTGTTGTGGACACATCCATAGGTGGCAGAGAGGCCACCGGATTAAAGGGCGCGTCAAGATCTTCTAAGCCCCGTGGTGGCTTCAGCTTGGCCAGCTCCTCCCGCAGATGCCGATAATGCCGTCGCAACACCATCGAGTTGAAGGAAATAGTGCGACTAGCACGCTCCGTATACTGTGGCTTACTTAGCTCTTCAATCCAGCCCTCGATTTGCGTGCAAATCTCCTCGCGCTTTAGCCAAAAGTGCTTGTGTATCACCTGGAAGAGCACATGGTTTAGCAAGATCATAAGATATTTTGAAATTGAAGCTTACATCTTTAAAGCAGGGATTGGGATTGCGTATCTGCTCCAACATTGCCCAACGTACGCACGCCTGATATATGTTGCTGTTGTATTCGCGCGACGAGTTGGTGCCGCTGGGCGTGCCACGACTACGCTCGAAGCCGGGTTCATTAAAGTACGGCTCCGGCACCAATATCAAGGACTGTATGGACACGAGTACCTGCAAAAAACTGGAGGTCTGCGCATTCCATTTCTCCTCGGGTCGCCCATGCCAGGTATTTAGCACTGACAGGCAAACTTTGCCATCATTGTAGAGATTCGGATTAAAGCGAACAGAATGACGACCTGTAGTCTCTAGGTTGATGAGCATGGGCAAGTTGGGATAGTCTGGTGGAAAGAAGACATCAAACTCGAAGCAGCCATTGGCATACGGCGTGTCCGCTGGGCCGGTTATAAGCACCTAATAGTTAATACAAAATTTAATATTTAGAATCCAATTTGAATAAAAAAATGTACCGAAATGGATAAAATGTAATAAACGTACCTTCATTATATCCAATCTGTCCGTATCACAGCGCACAAATACAGAGCTACTAAAACTGAGCGGCAAACTGGTGGACAACGTGACCGCCTCCTGTGCCAACCGCTTAACACGCGAGGGATGATAGCGATCGCCAGCTAAACGCACCATTTTCTCAAAATGATGCGAAACCACAAAACGAAAGCTGTTGTTATCTGACTCCACAATCATATCGTATGTATCGAACTGTCGTTTTTTCATCAGCTCCAGATAACGCTGCTCAACTGATTTGCTAAGTGGCCGCTCCAAGGCACCCATACCATCCTCATGCGTATGCAGCATATTAATCAGAGCATCTGCATCAGTCGTCTTCTGAACCAGCACGCAGGTCTCTTGTATATCCGGTATGAGCAGCGCAAGACCCTCGTCATCGCCGTCATCAATATTGAATGTCAATTGATGCGTTTGGCCTTTAATATTGGACTTTTTGTTGACTCTGTGTGACAGGAATGGAAACGGTTAAGTTAAGCAACTTATGTTGTTATTGATATTTATTTACTGCAGTGATGGTACTCACTTGAGTCGCTTGGCATACGTATCAACGCAGGTCTTCATGTTCTTCAGAAGCTCTGCAATGGGCGGAGTGCACTCCCCACTGGCACCCGACGACGGTTGCAGCAACGACACCAAATTCTTAGACAATGACAGCGCACGCAGCAGCTTCAGTATGGCACGATAGAGTGGAATGTGTCGTGTAATGTCTAGCACTGAATCGTTACGCAGGTAAGAGCTGAGTGCCGGTATCAGGCAAGATTGCTGGAGCAGTGTCTGGAAAATAGGCGGCAGTTCGCCAGCCATATCGCGCACATCATGATAGGCGAGTATATCCTCTCCGCTCATGTCGCTGGGTATACAATCTCTGGGATTTATGTAACTGGATAAAACCAATAACAGCACCGTCACGTGCTCCTCTTCACTCTTCTGGCGCAGAAGGGCCTGCTCTACATTCCATGACTGTGTCGTTGATCCGGTGCCAAAGCCAGTTCCCTTTGCCCAATAAATGTGACTCTTATCATCCGATATCGCCGTATTGGGCATGGCATCCTCTGCCGTGCTGGCTTTAGCGGAAGCACCATTGCCGTTGGTATTGCCAGTGCCATTTCCGTTCCCAATACCGTTGCCAATACCGTTACCATTACCGTTGCCATTACCGTTGCCATTACCATTGCCATTGCCACTGCTATTTGCACTGGTTGTCGGCTCAGTTATTAGGGCACCGATCTTGCTGTTATGCGATTGATGAGAAAAGATGCCCAAACAGTTAAGCACCAGATGCATAGCACCCACTTCAATGACGACGCGGCGCAGAAGGACGCCGTCGTCAGTGGATAGCGATACACTGTCCAGCAGCTGGCGGAATACCTCAAACGGCAAAGTGGGCAACGAAGGTGCAAGCGATAGGCTGTAGATGTCATCTACAGCACAAGAAAGATAGCAGAATTAGCAAAGCAAAAAATTGTGTTTAATTAAGCTGAACTTACTACCATCGCCGTCACCAGTTACGCCCAAGACAAGACGCAGGAGGCACTGAGCACGTTGTTTATCCCTGAGCAGGACATCCGAATAGGCTGGCAGGCGTAAGAACAGACCAAAAGCGGCCAACGAATGCTGGGGTACGGAGCTAACAGTAATCTGTTTGGCAGCCGGCTCACATATGGTATCTTCCAGATCTTCGTAAATCTCATCATTGGGCTCAAGCTTAACCCAATCTGAGAGTGGTGGGCTCTTCTCCTTTTCGGTTGCAACCGCGGCAGCCTTACGACCCATGTGCTCAGGATACACAGTAGGCAAATAGTGGGCCAACAGCGACAGACCACCGCTGCTGGAGAATCGCTGCAGCGGCGATGGCAGCGGCTCAGTGCAAACAGCCCTCACTTTCTTCGACTCGGCAGCTTCATCGCCCAACGAGCGCTGCGGCACCAGATCTAGAGTAAGGCAGGGTGCGGACAGCGAATGACCAGCATCCTGCAGCGTGGCCAACACCTGTGAGATGGTGGCATCACCAGCCAGCAGTATATCTGGATATTCCACTATCATCAACTGGCTGCCATTGCTGGTATGCGCTGCTTGCAGCAGAAATTCCTCAATATTGAAGGTGTCTGCAAACGGATGCAAATGATTAGTTAGCTGTGTTTAATTGTCGGCATGATAACTGCACTTACTAATGGGTAACGTGGCCGTTGTTTGGGTCTCCTTGTCTTTGTTAACTGCCGCCTGGTTCTTGGCGTCCTTGATGCGCTTGTCCTTGGCGGCGACCGCAGCGCCAACTGTTAGAAATTCCAGACTACCAGCAATATTGCTCAAGTTTGGGTAGCACGATTTTTCAAGCTGCTGCTTGTCGATTGACTTGGCGGCAGCTGGACTACTAGTCGACGCATCTCCACTGCGTTGATCTGTTGGTTGTTGGTACACTAAGTTACTATACACTGCGGTGGTGTCAAAAATGCAATTAATGAAATAAAATAGAAAATGAATTTAATTAAATAATAAATAAATAGACATAAAATCTATAAAAACATCGTAAGGGATAATTAAAACTTACTAAACGTCAAATATTGAGTAACTGTTATTGTTATTGTTATTTATACTCCCATATTAAAAGCTGAGCTCGAAATTTATTATATTCAATGTTTGTTTTAGTTTTTATCTGATCAATAATGCATGCGCTAAGTTAACTAGTCACGCGAAGCTCACATTAATAATCAAGATAAAAAAAAAAATTGAATGGGAAAAAAACTATTATAAATTCTACACGCTGCATAAATAAATGTATAATGAATAAAACATTTGCTTCCAATTCTAATTGAAAAACTAGTATAATTTTAAAATTAATATAGAATAACGATAGAATAACTCCTCTCACTTTTGACAGGAACCCCTCGTATAGAATTGTTATTGATATTATGCAGCTATAGCAGGCAAAATAACACAATCTATTTAAATATTATAAACATTCTACCAATCGGAATAGCTTACCGCTGACACAGTTCTGCATGATCTCCTGGCAGGTGGTACTCGTGGTCACATTGAAGAGCATTTGATGGGCACTGCTACGCTTCGCCGGATGATGATTGACGGACGCAACGGGTAAACTGTTGCTGGCACCACCGTTCCCGGTTCCGCCCATGATGGCTGACAGAGTGTCCCGACGCTGCAACGGCTGCTGGCTGCGCACACAGACCGTAATGTGCTCGTTCTCTAGCAACAACTGAAGCACCAATTGCCTAGTAAAGCCCGAGATAGTGGGTCGAATGCTGCCCGCTGAGCGTAATGGCTTGCAGATGACAGCGCCAATGAGCAGAGAGGTGAGCACCTCCTGATTGGCTGGATGGCATGCGCTTACACGCGTAAAGAAGTTAATGGTAGCCCGTTCCAGACGAATGAAGGATTGCTGCATGGGCAGGGATTTGCTAAACTGCGCCAAGTGTGTGTTACAAAGCAGCTGCAGCAGTGGCTTCCAAAACATTGAGCCTTGCAGTGTGCCCAGCCAGTCACGCATCGGTCCCTCTGCACAGCACTCTGAAAAGAAGTCCAGCACTTTGGGCACATTTGCGCTGCTAAGCAGGGGAACTGCGGGATTCCCGACATGCGCCTCCGCTTTGTCAAAGTCCGTAAGTGGGGAATCGCCACCAGTAGCTGCTTGACTGCTGCAACAGGCTGTGACAGTTGCTTGCACCACAGGTGGTGCCTCTATTGTGGGCAGCATATGTGTGCAGTATTCATAGATGGCATGCGCTAGCAGCTTGGGCAGACCCGAGTCCAGCATCTGATACACAGCCACCGGAGATTGGCAGGATAAGGCAAGCGTCTTCAGAAACGCAGGGTGTTGCATCAGCTGTGTAAGATTCTCACTGCCCTCGCGCTTGAACCAGGCGCAACCGCTCTGCACCTTGCTATCATCGGTTTTTCCGCGCGCCTGCTGCTCCAACTTGACGCCCAGCTTGACAAGCAGCTGATTGAATATCTCCGGCTTAATGTAGCACAATGCACAGATGAGCGCATCAAAGCTGCTCTTCAATGGCTCATCGTGCTCCAGCTCAGATATCCACTGGTAACAAGTCTCGAACAATGCAGGCGTAATAAGCTGCGACAGATCGGGCACCTGTTGTTGCCGCTGCACTTGCCACAAAATTGAGGCAATCACCTTGACAAACCCGCTCTGGGGATTATTGCAACGGGCCTGCTTACTATAATTGTCATGCAGCTGCATAATCCAGTCGAGCAGCACACGCAGCTTATCTAGCATGTGTGAGGTGGAACCAGTCACCACTTGGTAAATGAGATCACACACCGCATCGCTGGACAGCTTAAACACTGTAAAAAAAAAAAAAACGATTGTACAAATTTTCGTCAACAATTTAACTTTCAATTGCGATTTACCCTGTGGTGTGGTATGCCAAAGTAGAGTTCGCAGCAGCTGCAGACTAAGCTCATGATTGTAGGCGCCCAACTTGATCAGTATGGTCTCAAGATGCTGCTGGGCAAAACTCGGTATCATGGGCATGATGTTCAGAAGGGAACAACACGCCTCCAGAAATCCGGGATACGCAGCGGGATACGAGGCAATTAAATCGGCCAGCTTGCAATCTGGTTGCAGGGCAGCCACATGAAAGCATCGAGATAAGATGCGCACCCAACCTATGCTCGTCTTGGCAAAGGCATCATCCTCCGGCATAGCATCTACATCCATTGCCGACAGTCCAGCCGATGGCAGCGGCGTGGAGCAGCTCATGAATGCATCACCAAAAGTGCCTTGGCTGCGTAGTCCTTGCATGCGATTTCCAAAGATGGTCTGACCCAGTACAGCAATTTGCACCAGTCCCACATTGCCACAGTCCTTGGGTCTAAAATGAACAACGATTGTTACAACTCTGATTCTCTTGACGTAACGAGCAAGTTTAGCTTACTTGTAAAGTCGCAGCACAATGCTGGTGGCCACCTCAGCTTTAGCTAACTTCAGACGTATGCAGGTAAGGCCCGTGGTGGCCATGGGTGCACCCACGGGTATAGAGCCAACACCATAGTCACGAGATAGCTCCAAGGCAACGGCCGATGGGCACGACGCGAGACTAGAGGTATGCGGCACCAACTGCACCTCCTTAAGCAAAATGGCGGTCGGCAGTGTTATGGTCAAATCAACATGAGTCTCATTTGGATAGAACATATAGCTCCACGCCGGCGAGCGAGGTCGTCTGTGTGACGCATTAGGATTTGAGATTAGCATTTCGGCACTTTGTGCTGCATCATTCTCCGAAACAATGTGCGAGAAGGGAGCAAAGTTGATCAGTCCATCGTACTGAGCACTGTTGTTCCTCGATGTTTGAGCAGTTGTTGTTGTCGATTGAGCGCCTGTGCTTGTCGACGTTTTCTTGCAGGCGTTGGCGGCACTTATATGATTGTTGAGCTTAAGCCGCGTGTTCCGCGTCATATGTTGCATTATCATTGAGATCTGAAGATAGAAAACAGTAGATATGTTTCAGCTGGCGATTATGTTGCATCCCCACTTACCAATCCTGGCTGCATGTTAATAATAGTCTTGTTGAGTCGAACCAAATTATGGCAAATGATTTGTATGCCACCCAACTGTGTGAATATTTGCACTGCCGCAGTCACTTCCAGCACCTTGGATATGTACCAAAGGAAGGGTTCTGATAGCTGAAGGCGTGGCAATGTCGCATTGCGTTGTATGGTAGCTGTAAGCAAAAAGGTGATTTAAACAATTTGACACGGGTCACGATATTGAAGCAAGACTTACTCTCTTCGAGATATTGGCATATAGGTGCTACGACCAGGCGTGGATTGGAGGCCCTCTCACTTAGTGTGATCATCAAACTGAAAACGGCGTCTGCAATGGTCTGCGGCTCATCCAGTACCATGTTCGTTTTGAGTGAAAAGAAACAACTCGAGGACATCATAGTAAACGTTTTGGTCGAGCACTGGGAGAGCGCCCCAAACAATCGCTTCATGGTGGGAAACTGGCGCAAAACTGCATTCGAAATGATTACAAATAACCAATATTCTAAACATATAGCAAAAAAGGAAAGTACGCACCCCAATCGGCTATGCATGGCACCTTGCTTCGATGTCCTTCAGTGTTTAGCTGCTCAGCTTTGGTTTCATCCGTTTGGCTTTGATTGGACAACTCCTCCTCCTCGGGTATAGTTACCTCCTACAACAGACAAAGGAAATTAAAAACATTGATATGCACCTCTCTCGCTGGCTTAACATACGCTAGGTTGCCTGGGCATCTCAGTGAGAACCATGTGCGACGACAGCTTGAGTAGGTTTATAATTAGCGAATTGTCACATATGTTAGCATTTTGTTTGCTGGGATTCTCAGAACCCAACACATTGGCAAACAAATTACTAAAGTTGTTGCCAGTAGCGCTGTTCTCGTTGCCGCGCTGGCATTGCAGCTTCTCGCCATTGGAAATGTTGTTGAAGACTAGAAAAGCTAAAGGAACAAAGATAAAAAATGTGAAACTGCCACTAAACTGACTTTTCGATTAAGTTTACTTACAAACACTTTCGGTAATCTTAAGCGCAATGTTCAGATCGCCCTTGTCGTTGGGCATTAAAAGCAGATCGCGTACCAGCTGATTCTGAGCATCGATGGGGCCCTGCTGGTTGCTAATTGCGCCGCCGGGCTGCACCAGCTGCAGCACGACATGCAACAGAATGTCCTTGAGCCGGCGCTTGCATGGAATGAGTCCGCCGCTGCTTTCGCTCTTGCTGTGAAGCCAAAGTAGCAGTTCGTGAAGATGCTTGCAGATAGTGGGACCAGCCTAGTAAAAAGAGAAACAAATTCGTATATTCATAAGATAAGTTGAGGGTCCGAAGGGAGTAACTTACACAGCGATTCGTAATGATGGAAGAACTCATGCCGTAGCCGGAGAAGAAGCGCAGCAGCATCTTCTCAAAGTTCTCATCGTTCACAATGACCTCATTAATGCGCGTGCAATCGGTCACATCATCGCCAATTGGCAACGAATTGCAGGCGAGGAACAGACATTGAAAGCCCAAGCACCAAGTGCGCAGCTTGATATCATTGTGCCAGGCCAAAGCAAGGAGAAGACCCAGTACAGCATTCGCACCAAATGGAATTTTCGGAATATCCGTTTGAGTGATTCCAGACGTGTAAGGCTTATCGGCCAGTTCACAATTGAGTGTCAACCACATTTGTAAGACTTGCTCCAGATGCACCCACGTGTCTTCATAGTGCAGATCGGCCAGTATTGAATCGAAAACATTCTTTAGCATAATGTAGGTGTTGCGACCACTGTAGTCTGGGCCAGACCACAGCTGCGTGAGATACTCTGGCCAGGGCGGTGCGTCCGGTGGTGCGGACAAGAACTCATTGGTCACCACCTGAGGCATCGATGAATACAGATCCAGTGAGGTGCGGTTCGTCAGGCGCCGCAGCTGCGCTTCCACATGCAGCTCCAAACCAGCATCCAGCCGCGAATCCATCGCAATGGATATGGACTTACAAAAGAAGCTGAACGTATTCGAGCAGAGCCAATTTCTCTCCTTTTTAGTAGTTGGCTTTGTGCGCTCGATCATATCGATGTCGTTGAGCATTTCATCAAACTCGGTGTCCTCGCATTCGATTAGAGACGGCAAATAATTGTGTCTGACAGCTGGAACGGATAATAAGCATTTTAGACAGGTAAATAACTCTAACATTTAAACGTGGTTCGTTGTGGTCAAGGTAGCATGGTTGATATGAGCCTGAGCTTTGATTCAAGCGGATCGAAGACAACATATATTGTTAAATATTTAGTCTTCATCTGGACCAACCAAAACTAAAGCTCAAGTCAAGAGGAATATTTTTGTATGTGGTTATTTTATAATCTCTCTTTACCCTCCTGATAAAAATCACTCGCTGTCGGCATATGTAACCCAACCTGTGCGATGGGGGAAGAGTAGGATGCTAAAAAAATGAGAAATATATTTTTCATAAGCTGGCAGTGAACAAAGTGCAAGCTGCCATGCAATTGAGAATAGCAATGGACATCAATCATCGGCTAAATGCCGATGCTTTAATAGTACACCCTTGCTTTTATTCAAGGAAACAAACTATGAAGAAATTTTCTTTACAAATTTCATATTGTTTCTATTTCAAGTTGATCAATTCCATGAGGATTTAACTTATGCACAAGTCAAACGAATCAGAACGGAATGAATAGAATATATCTTAATTTTTTAAATTACTTACATGCGTAGTCACTGAAGATGTCGCGACTCTCCTGCATTGTTGTTGTGGCTATGGACCGAGCACCATCATTGGTGGGCGTTGCATCATTATCCCTGTACTGTTTGTCTGCATCCAACAGGTCCTACATACACAGAAATAATTTATCAAAATATATACTGACAAGTTGCATGAAATTAAATTACCTGAAGCAGACAAGTAATTGCATGCACCGCCCATGGCTGCTGCTGGTCATTCCACACGGCCAGACGTACGAGTTGTTCGAGCTGGGCGGTTGTCACAATTTTACACAGCCGCACCGATGGACGGCACGCAGCCACCAGACGAGCTATCACTTTGCATGTTAGAAGGAACTGATCCATATTGCAGTCGAAATCCATTTCCAACAACAGTGCGAATAGCCCACGAATTACCACTTTGATGTTTGCCATACTTAGCGTCTTGAGACCCTTGTCAAAGTTTCTGTCTCCATCTGCACTGGCTCCCAAACCATCCAAATGCTTGGGCGATGTTGTGGAATTTCCGGCGGCTTTTCCTGAACTACCACTACCATTGTCGCTGGTGCTAACACTGGGCGCACACACACCGGTGGTGCCCATATTGATTTTTCCAGCAGTTGACGTTCCTTTGCTGACGCCACAAGCCTTTGATTTAGTAGACAGTTCCATAAATATACCGGGGTGCTAATAGTAACCGATTTATTATTACTATTATATGCACTCTGAAGCAGTTCCTTCTGTCTTACCTCATTCTGTATCATGTAGATTTTCTTTCCCCAATCTGTGTAGGGCTGCACAGAGTATTTGTTTTGCTGTACTATTCGCTTTTTGAAGCAACGTAGTTGCTTACTATTGGGCGTATTGTTGGGTCTCGTCTTTGTGAAGTCGCTTTCGCAGCTCATGAAATCCCAACGTGCCGCCGCTGTGAATCGAGTAGGACAATATTATGATCCAGGCTGGTATTGGTACTTGTAGATGTTCACTCACATTTATCCTTGCGTTCATTGTTGTCGTCCAGGCAAACAGAAAGGAACAATAGCAGCCAAGTGATAAGCTGCAGATCTGACGTGCGACCCACGGCCGCACTGCGTTCTGCAGCGCTGGCCGAAGTGCTTGGCTGCTCCGATTGAAACTTGTAGTGCGGCGAAATAGGCGCCAGCAACTTGACTAGCGTCTTGAGCACAGCATCTATGACAATGGAACGACAAGCTCCCATTGCAATGCTACGACGCGCCAAATAAGTGAGCAGGAAGAAGATGCTGAAGAGTAGTTTAAATAAAATAAGTTTATGCGAAATATACGTGTATAGCACATGATTCACATACCGATCCTGTGGAAATGCCTTACAGTTCTGCGCTGAGAACAAACTACAGAAGGTATCAGCCAAAAAGTCACCCCACCAAGGCTGGAAGCAGCACATCCGCACCAACAGGGAGCAGGTTGTCAGCTGTAATTGGGCATCGCCATAAACAACTAGGGAATTGAACAGCGCCTTAGCTGTAACCACATTGAAACGGGAATGTACAGGCAATATGTTCTTGATGCCGTACTCAATGGAGAAATGCAACAGCACCTCGGCCAAACTGAGGCTCAGCACGCGCAATTTATCCCGCGATGCGGTACGCAACGATTCCTCGGGGAGTACAAGATTCGGTGGTGCTGGTGACCGGTGTGTTTTCTGCGAAAGGCCACGCTCCAAACGCTGCACCACATTTCGGATGACATTAATTTGGTATTGAAGCAACATGCATTCCTCGTATAGAGACACGACTTTGTTGTTCGTGTCCATACCACAGCTGAGCTCCTCGTCACGCTGCTTGTTAATGAAGGCCTGCAGATGGGCTACATTGGATAGCTCGCTATTCCGCATAGGCGACAGCAGTTCCATCAATTTGCAGCTGGCCAAACTGTAGCGACAGTGTACATCCTCGTACAGGGCATTAAGCGATTTAAGATGTGTCTGCAGCGACTGGGGTGGCTGCATAACAAAACGCACCAGGTGATCGCCGTATCCATCATGTTCTAGCACAACGGGATGACCAAAGAAACTGCCCAGCGGCACCTTACATTTGGTGGACGACATTCCAATACGACCGACGATCGTCAGCTTCAAATAGCGGCAAATGGGCGGAGGCTGCATATCACTGAGCACCAACGATTTTGTCTGTATATCGGAGACCTGAACAAGGCGCGTGCAGTCTGTTTCCTCGTCAAAGCACCAAATGTCAATATTCAAAGAGGTGAGCTCGTCGCAAGCGGGAATCACCACATCCGTAAGAAGTATGTGTTGGCCAAAATCAAGCACAACAAAACGGCGGGCTCCGGAATGCATGCGGTCGACAACAATCATGAGCTTGGGTGGCGGCGTGAGCAACTTGTGCCAAGCAATTGGCGGGCACGGATTGGCACTGAGATTTTCCATGATTTTCTCTCGCTCGAGGGTATCATCTGCCACACTATGTACGCTGTCATTGGTGCCAGTTTGTGATGCTAGCGGAGACTGTTCGGACGATTGTGATAGCGACACTTCCTCAGGAAGCGCGTCTAGCAAAGACTTTAAGCCTTCCTTTTCCCAGTCCTCCAGATCTCCAAATGCCTCGCAGGAATTTTCTTCGGTCATGCCAAGCTTTTTCTGTATGTAGCTATTATAAAGCGTAAGCTTTGGCATAAACTTTGATATTTTCAGTTTATGCAGACACGCCTTTTGCTCGTTTTGTATCTCCTCCAGATCCACATCGGTCAGATGTGATACACCTAAGCAAAATAACAGATGACAATGCTCGAACATAAATAAGCAAATACATCATATTAACAGCAACACTTACAAGGTTTATCCTTATAACCATTGAGCAAGTTCATAGAAGCTAAAGAACAAAAAACAGACTTAGCATCCTTATCCTCCAGCTCCTCTACTAGGCACTCTACATCGTTGACCAGATCGTTCAGCTTATAATTGAAAACATTTGAAGGCTGAAATATATATAATTCACATATAATTGAAAGTGATGGATGGCTGAGCTTTTCTACTTACCAATTCTTCATCCTTCCCTTTGGTGGCTACCATTTTTGGCATCATCATCACATCTTCAATGACCACACTCGCAGCACCATTGACTACGTTGTCAATATTATCGATCCGCGTAGCCTCTGACGCTTGTACACAATTGAAATGCAGTTGCACCACCTCCAAAAGACCACGTAACTGATTGCTAATGCTCTTGACACGAATCAGATGTGGATAAGTTCGAAAGTCGACTCCATCTGTAAAATGATTTATATATATTACTGTTTTATAGAATTTACTTACAACTTCAATTTTAGCACACTGAACATAACGTACCTATCGAACTTAATCGCTTGATATCGAGTCCGGTCACCGGCAAAATATTTGCACTGCTACGTATTACGTTTGTGAGCGCCACGGACGAGCTTGAGCCATGACGATTGATGTTGGGAAAGTCAAAGTCAAAAATTTCCGGCTCAAAGGGAAAGCCATAGAGACCAAAACGTGTACTAAGCAACGCGCAATGTGGATCCCATCGCTTATCAATTTCGGTGGCGATGTTTTTAAGCAGATTGATAGCATACTCAGAAATGCTGTTATGTGACTCAGCAGTTGAGGTAGCGCAGATTAGCATCGTATACCAGCGCACCACACTGGCGCATTGTGCCTGCGGCAGCTCATGGAACGTATTGCTTATCGCCATCTTAATGGTCGTATCCAGTGTACAATGTTTCTGCAATTCGCGGGGCAGGTTGGCCATGCCTCTGCAAGAGTGCCAAACAAAATTGTGATAATTGAATGAGTTCAAATATGCATAAGATTGTTATTGTTGTTGTTGTACTTACTCCGTCAGCATTATCAACAGTTTGACACACTTATGCGCAGTGGTCCGCTCACTATGAATGATGCAGTGGCGCATCAGCTGTTCGATGTGCTTCTCGGAGAGATAGATGCACTCAAACTGCTGCGCTAGCAGATCATTGATATTGGCTGCTGTCTGCTTATTAATCTGATCCTTGAGACGCTCTGATTTCGGCGAACGGAAACGATTGAGGCGAATGAAACAAATCCAGTTGAGCACATCAAGTGCCAGATTTTTGGTTAGCGGCGTTGAGTCCAGATCACTCGCAATGCGGAAAAGCTGCTCCAAAAATCCATTGCTATCCAGCATGGCAATGCGCTGAATGCGTCCATTGCTAATCCGACTGTGTGACTTAACAGTCCGCACACTTATCGAGATCTCGTGCAGCCAATCGCAACCTGCAGGACACAAAAGAAATGTTATGATTTTAATCAATTATTTGTGAAGATCCAGTAAAAGGAGCAGTAAGCGGCACGCACTACCTATAAATTGGCCAGATCTTCGAAGATCGACCGGACCAGCTGCAGTGGGTCTTGAGTGCTTGGGCGCGACGACAGTTTGAACATACGGAAGTTCCGAATTATGCACTTTTTTGTAGTAAAGCGTTGCTCTCAAAATGGAAGTCATTTTCATTTGTTTAGTTTTCCCATGGGCGTGATTTGCATTGTATAGAATGAATTTTCTTTTGGCGCCTCGCTTACGAATAACACAATCTTCAATTTGATGCGTACTTTTGTGTCGCACAGAAGGGGCTGCAATTGTTGAGTTAGTAATTAACTGGGCCAAATCCAAAACGGGCATCAATCATACCAAAATATCGTCGGCATATATTCATATATACCCCTACAACAACATTAATACTAAACTATGTGTAAAGCCTTAACAGATTAGCAATGTAATAAACTAACACCTATTCTCAATAATCAACATTAAACTTATTCGTATACTCATAAAAATACTCATGAGCTGCTGACCGATTGGATTATACTGCATTTATCACACTTTTGTAATACGATATGGGCTAATAAACCATGATTAAGTTTTCTCAAAAGTATTGGAAAAAGTTATTTGTGTTACGCGCTTCAGTTGTTGATAAATTTTGACCAAAGTCAAAATTGTATAATAGTATAACTCGATTCTTGTTTAATAACGTAGCCATAGACTTACCTCTCGTTTTGCTCTGGCCCTCCTTTGATGGATCCGATACGGTTTTGATATGCAGAAGAAAATTACGGGTGCGTGTCTTGAACAGCTTGGGTGAGGTGAGTGTGGCGGTTCCACCCTGATCACACAGATCAATGCACGACGACAGCTCGATGGGGCCGGCCAGCACTTCGGCATTGTGGGCCAGCAGATATTCTTCACTGAGAACCGGATTTTCACTGGCAACTGTAAAGTAAGGATGAATAGATAGATGCATAAAACGACAAAACTTAGGTGATTACTATTTGGTGCCTCACTGTAAGAGAAGTCGATGTTATCCTCAATAACGTTGGGCTTGTAGCTGGCGTGCGGTCCTTTCATTCTGTAGCCAAACCCGTTTGTGTTCTGCTTGAGCAGGGTGACCTGTATGGCTGCTGGATTGGAGCACTGTTTGTAGACCGTGAACTTTAAATCTATATGGCCCAATGAGACCGGCTGTGCCAGGTTCAGCTCAATGATGTGCTCGTCCCAGGTGGTTCTATAAACGAAAATGGCAATTAACATATGTGGTACAAAATTGTTTTGATAAACAAAACTCACGCATCATTATGCAGTCGCCAAGTTCGTGTGAAATCACGCTCATCACCTCCATGCCGCATATTTTGCGATTGCTTTCGCTGCTTTTGTACCTGGCCCAGATCATTCCAGCAACTGGGCACTTCAGCCGAGTACACCGTTAACTTGTCATCGAACTGGGTTAGTGCGTAGAAGACGCGTAGATCTTCAAGCGTCAGGTCAGCGGTCTTGTAGGCAAGCAGATTGGCGTTGTTGCTCATCAAGGAAGCAACCGACGGTGAGGTCTGCACGTGCATATTTTGACTTGATGTCCCAGCTCCGCCATCGCTGCTCACATCCACAGATATTGTTGTATCGCCCATGAGAGAATCACTGGCTGCCATATTTCGAACACCATCCGTGACGCTCAAGTCCATCGCATGTGTCAACGTGGTACTGCAGTCGTCCTCCATTTCTAGCAGCTCATCACCCGAGTCAATTTCGCCGTCATTCAGCGAATAGAACAGCATGCCACCCTGCCGCGAACAGCAGCAAAGTCTGTCCAAGTTACGACAATAGACAACGGCCTCGAAGTGTTCACCCTCCTCCTCGATGACGGATGTGGCCTGGAAATCGGCTAGTGAGAAAATTTCAATACATCCGTCGGCGCACACCACGCATATGGAGCCCGCCTCTTTCATTTCCGAAGATGCTGCCGATGCATAGGGTGGCAGGATGCACAGCTGTTTGGGGCACTTGGCACGGCTGAAGGTCATGGCAAGAGTATAATCATTGGAGATTTGCGTGTCATCGTAGTCAAAGAGCAGCAGCTGGGCGGCTACATTGCATTCTGCATTGTTGTCGTCTGCAATTAGTGATAGTTATAGATTAATTACAAATTTCAATCTATAATAAAACATAAAATTTCAATCTATAATAAAACATAAAATTTAAATATATATATATTACTTACCCATATCTGTGGACACATTGTGTTGCTCTTCTTCCTCCTTGGCAACCGTGGCCATTATGATCTTGGCATCCTCCGATTCGGGAGCTTTTGTACGCATCAGTTTGACCAGCAGTTGGTTACACTTGGGACTGGTTGGCATGATTTCAGCAATCTCCACAATCTCCTGAACATCCAATGGAACTCCGTTGGCACTATGTGCCCCATCCAAAGCGTTCATGCGCTTAACGCTCGTCCAGCTCTCCACGAGGCAGTCAATTTCCTCGCTAGCTATCAACTTGTCACTGGTGCAATTGCTGCCGTTGATGATGATGTTGTTGTTATTGTTGTTGTTTGTAGATCCCAAACCCAGAGCGTTGTTGTCATTGTTGTTATTGTTGTTCTGATTTGAGACCTCGGCCTGGTCCATGAGCTTATCCATGTCATTGCTTATGCCCAGCAAACTGTTGCTTACATTCACCGTATTGGAAGAGACCATTAGACCAGAGGAGGAATCGTCCAGATTACTATCCAGTATCTGCGACAGTGTCGACAAATCAAAGTCATACAGCACAGAGGAGTTGTTGCCACTCTGGGTAACATCATTATTCTTGTTATACGTCATTAAGGCGGACACAAAACCGTTGCTATCAAAGCCATCGGCAAATTTTTCGTATGCCGTCAGCGACTTGTTGTCATCATCTTTCGAGGATTCAAGACTCACTTGGCTGGCAACCACATTTGAATCACTGGAAGCTGCAAGAGCGTAATGATAAGCGTTACTCAATATGACAAAATTAACGAGAACTCTCTTAGTGAAATGTAGTGCGTCACTAAATAATGGTTACAATGAAATCGATTATAGCGTTCAATACATAAAAGAGAACTTACTTGTTCCCAGATGTGAAGATGTCTTTTTCAGATGCCCTCCAATGCTCGACACGCTGCCGCTGTCATTGCTGATCATGGCCGAGTTCTCGCAGTATCTGTCCAACTCGACAATGTTGAGCACCACCATCCGTAATGCCATCTCGCCGCTGCTCTGGCGCACAGTGACTCCGAGGACTATCTTTGAGCCTACAACGCCGGCACGCAGTGTCGATGTGGATGTTATATGCTGTGCATTGACGCCGGCAAACTTGCCGCTGCCGTGCATGCTGCTAGCGTGTGCAGCGCTGCTGCTGTTGCCACTTCCACTATAGTTTGCCGAGTACACATAGTTGACCTTGGTGCGGGCGCGCGCATTTGGTAGCACACAAATGGCCGTGACGCGCGCCCACTCGAAGTTCTCCTCGAAGACCTCTTTGAGCAGGGTGGGCACATGGATGCTGTGCATGAGCTTAAGGTGGCGTTCAATGCTCCAAACGCTCAGCTCGCCCGTCTGCGTGCAGCTCGTGCAAAGAACATTCGCATAATCACTATTCGAAATTATATCGAAACCCATGCCCGGAGCGGTCAATGCTGGATTCGTGGCATAGCTAATGGAGAGCGGCACATTCTGTGTGTACTCGCCCTTCACAAACGGGCAGAGGGGCGAGTGGCGCTCGTGTTCACTCCATGGCTCGTCTGTTTTCTCCCAGCAAACCAAGCACACGTCGCATGTAAAGCACATGGCGCGATCTTCGCCCGATGACGATGGCTGGTGATAGAAGCCGGCCTGTGCCATTTGATCCGGCAGTGCCCATTTATAGTCCATGTGCGGCCATTTCTCGAACGTCTGGCGACGCACTGCCTCCGAGTGCATGAGTCCCCGCTGAAAGTTGCAATAGTTCCAGCCGTAATCCGGCAAACGGGAGCCCATCAGCATGTCCGTGAGACGTTCATTAATTGCCGATGCTATGGCCAGTACCGGAATGTTTCGTTCCAAACGTTTTAACAATATGATCACATTGTTAGCGACCAACTTCAGACTGGAATAGGGCACCTCGAGGCAAATTGTGTTCCACTGCAAAACAATAATATTTATATGATAACATACTGGTTAAAGATTGGGAAAACAATTTTGAAAATTGTACATTGTAATTGTAATGCGAACTTGCAGTCAGATTGTTATATATGTATTAATTCCGATCTATCTGATTTAATATTTATCGTGTAACTTACGCGTTGCGCTTTAATACCCTTTTTGGCATTCAGCTGAGCCTGGTTGATTTTCAGTGTCAGCTCGTTGCTGATATCGCACGGACACTCGAGACCCTCGCTCTCCAGTTCGTTTATACAGTTCTGAAAGATGATCGCCTCCGACAATATGAGCTCCAGCTTAATGTAATCATCATTCTGACCGATCGGCGCCTGCAGTATGGTATCCAATAGCAACACGCCGTTGTAATCGCCCCGCAGTCCCAAATTGTGGCCATCCCAGAACAAGATTTTATCTTGCAATGGCATGTAACGTCCATTGATTAAGCTATCAGCTGAAAAATTATTATCAACAATTATATATGTATGTGATAACGACAAGCCTTTACAAATCATTGCATTTCATGAGTGAATGTAATTAGTTGAAGCTATGACTAAGCTTTGAAAAAAAATTTAAATAAGTACTTATATACATAAGTACATTCAATTCATACTTAACAGCAATATCACTCCTAACTGCGTAGAAGTAGAAGATGGAACAATAACAAGCAACTTATTATCGCTAAAAACAATAGAAACGAAGAAAAAAAAAACAAATAGAAGAACACAAGTGCGATTCTATATTCTGAGCATAAACACATGGATTTAATTGAATTAAAAGTTATCCTTTGCTTGCTGGTTTGCTCAGGGGTTCCTGACAAACATGCACAAACACACACATACACACGAAACAAACGCACATACATTTGTAAATACAAGTGAATGCATGTGTATGTATGTATATCAAAATCTGACGAATACACACAAATGTACCAAAAAAAAAACAAATGCAATAAATTGACATTCGCAATTGCGTTTGTATTTGTGCGTCTGTGTAGTAATTTTTTTCCATACACACACACACACACATACACATATGAATGTGTACGGTGCTGGGTGCTGCTTACCATTTGTACTCAATTGATACGTCTGCAGTATAACGCCGGAATTCACATCTAGAACTTTCACAAGATTGTTGATACCAAACGCAAGTAGCACATTCAGCTGCGGATGGTAGACGATGTTGCGTATTTCGAACACGGGTGCTCCGCCAGGCAAGACACAATCGTTGCTGCTATCATCGCCCACATCCAAGTAGCCGTCTTGCTTTAGAATACGCTGTTCCATTCTTTAACTACATGCGGGCGTCGAGCGCGCTTTTTGGTTCGACAGTTACTACTTTGCCTATGCTTCGGATTATTGGTTTCACAATTCGATCAAGAAATTTTTCACAATCAAAATTACTTTTTTCGGGACTATTGCTGCTGCGCTGCAGTTTTTCCTATATGTGTCCCCTTTTCTTCCTTCTGACAGATGAGTATTTGATTTGCCATTCGCATTTGTGTTTGCCAATTGTCAGAAATTGCAATTCAGTGTTGTGCAAGCATTGATTGGCCTACACAAAATATTGATGTTTAAATAAAAATGCTGATTTATTACCAGCCCCTTTGATGTGAAGCAAACGAAACTAAACTCTATTTGCTTCACAGATTACACATTAATTCAATTTTGCATTCGAAACAAATATTTTACAGCACTGGGTTTGCCATTCACATTACAGCGCGTTTTGTTTACATTTGTCAGAATAGTTTTACAGCAACTGCAAGCAGATGAATATTTTGCCAAAAAAACGGTAATACACAAATAAACAGCCAATAAAAATATTATTTTGTGAAATAATAATAATAATAAATTCCTATATTAATTTTATAGCTGGCATGTGCGCACTAAGGATAATATTGCCCGAGTGCGAAGGGATGAAGCAGCCGCACAGAAAGAAGAAAAGAAAAGACTGGACAAATTGGAATTGGCCGTAAATAATCATAGTTTTATAGTAGAAAATACCACATGTTAATACCCATTTACATAAAAAGGAGAGCGAAGCGCGCATCAACTACCTGAGGCGTCAATCCGGGCTACCCGAAACACAGAAAGAAGAAACCAGCCAAGAGGTCGCTACCCACAGTTCTGATACCACGCAGTCTGTCGATCTATTTGCCGATTACAGAAGTCACGTGAAGAAAACGAATAAAGATTTGGAAAAGGAGAAAAAGGACGAACAGGAAAAGTATGAAAAACAAATCGGATATCTAACCTATCTGGGACAGGATACAAATGAGGCGCTTAAGGTGCGCAGTTGGTATGAAGTGGCCCCAAAACGTCCCGAACCCGGCGATTGCTGCAATGAGACTGAAACCAATCTGAAACAGAAACTATCAGAAGATCCACTCACCTTAATAAACGCACTGATCCCATCCGAAATTAAAAAGCCAACACAAAAATCAAGCAAGCGACGAAAACTTACACCTACGCCGGAGCTAGAACCAGAGTCAGAGAGACCGTCTACGCCAGCCTCAGTTCGCTCATCCAAATCGAGTAGAAAACACAAAAAGCATAGAAAACATGATAAAAAAGAGAAGAAGCACAAGCACAAGAGTCACAAACATGAAAAATCAAGCAAAGAGCTAGCCGAAAAAGCAAAACGCGATAAGCTAAACAGGTTGCGGAAGGAACGTCTGCTGCGTGAGGCGACTGAGCAGCGTCGCCAGGAGCAACTGTTTGCGCCCAAGGAATCGTTGACGCCGGGCACTGCAGCGAGCACGCCGGCAGCTACGCCGCGGATTGTCCAAAAGTACAACAGCCAATTTAATCCAGAGCTTGCCAAGCAAAATATGCTCTGATCACGTGTGGGATAGTAAATAATCCATATATTTGTATTTCCCTTTTTCAAAGATTTCACCACAAATTAAAAGCCATAACTGGAAGTTCCATTATTTATTGTTTACAAAAAATGATTTTAAGACAAATTCTAAATGAATCTATTCAAATACAAAAAAAATGGTGTGTTTTACTATTATAGTTTTTTTGATGCAGGAAGCTCCGGTAAAATGCATGCTTTTTTACATTATTATATATTATATTAACTAACCAAACAAGAAGGCTTTCAATTTCAAATCGAATTGCATTTATTTTGTGATTGTTTGCGACGCAGCAAAGCAAAAAATATAACAGCTCGGAAACTGCTGATGAGGGGAACACGTGGTATCGGTAAATGTTTCCAAAGTTAAAAGTATTGAAGATATTTTAGAGGATAATGTGAAGTTGTCCATTGACGAATATAATCTGGACTAGGTTATGAACAAAGGTTGGCCCGTATCCAAGGTGAGCTAAGTGAAAGTCTAGAAATTCATTTTGAATAACAAAGGTTACATTATAAATAAATAAAAAACATAATTGTTTTAAGAACTCAACTGAGGTGGACCGTGAATCTCTGGATAGCCCACTCCAGCATGTAGGACTTGCTTCTTTTTTATTGAAGTACAGAAAAGGAAAATCAAAATGGTAAATTATTGAAGTACAACATTGTAAGCATTTCGAAAAACTCGCCATTAGTAAATCATCAATACATCGATATAATACCCAAAAATCATTTATATGGATAACCATTAAGCTTTCTCCAGCACTATTCACAATCAGTGTTGCCGTTTTAGCCTTTTATATTATGATTTAAATGATTTAAACTTGTTTGCTATTGACAGTTAAACTTTTAATAAAGATTTATTGAAATCCCAATTAGCCAGAACTTAATTTTAAATTGCTGCCTGTTTTCTATCCTCTTAATATATTTTTGTTCTGTTTTGGTTTTTTCCTGGTCGGTCTGTCCGAATTTTGTAATTTTATTTCTTCGTCTGCATCGCATCTGCATTTTTAAACCTTTTTTTTTACATATTTCCCCAAATTGAAAGATATTGCTGGAAGATGCATTATTTAGTGAATACAAAAATTTATTTACGGATGCATTGTAAATTAAACCATTTAAATAATTGACTTTGTGCAGCAGTGTTCGTTTATTTATTTTTGTTAAGTTAGGCTCATTTTTTAATTACTGCACTGCATGCTAATCACTATTGGCAAACAAGCAGATTTTCAATTTCGAATCGAACCCAATCAAATTAAAGCATTGACATTTATTTTCTGATTCGGTGCTGAAAAGCATGGAATCAAATAGTAATACATGGGGTTATTCTACCGGATTCGGGTCGAGCAGGGCGACAAAGGTGTATGGCATTAAACTCAGAAGCTGCTGAGAAAGAGGAACACGTGGTCCTGCTAATTGCTTCCAAAGTTGATAATATTAAAGATATTTTGGACGATAATGTGGAGTTGTTCATTGTCGGAGATAATCTAAAAGAGGCCGTGAAAATCCGATTTTAAATTATTACATTTATTATAAGAACAGATCAGGATAGTGTCAGTAACAATGCAATTAACGAATAAACATTTGAGTCGCATGTCTAAAAGATTGTAAATTTAAAATACTGCTTTCATTTGCGCCGAATTTTCACGCTCGTGAGCAACATTTAGTTCAGTCAGTGTTAGAAATCATCGCAAAACTCACTCACACACGCACATGTAATTTTGGCGGCGCTTGGGTTATTTCATCGCTAACTTTAGCGTCGTCTGGATCGCTGAGACGATTTCACATTTGCGTATTTGCCAATATATGTTAGTTAAATAGTATAGAGTTAAGTTGTAAAAAAAATCCAAGAAGCAACAACAAGCCATTCAAAATGGATGAGGAAAATAGCGACACTCCGCGTGGTAAGTTGCAATGGAGTTGCATTTGCAGATAACATGTTGCCAAATTTCTAGATGTGCTCAATTTCAAGTACCGTTTGAATTCAAAATGTGACGCGCTGAAAAAAAATGGTGTAAAATGCGAATAGCCGCAAATTTAAACTAATATCTTAACAATTTCTGCCACTTTTAGTGACGCGCGCTCGAACACGCCGCATGTCCGCCTTGGAAAGCGATCGTCCTTTGACGCCACAGGTGGATTTGGTCGCCGAGCGTCGTAAGTACATTTTTTTTTTATATTAACTGTCCAATTGATATTTAAACATCAACATCAAGCAGCTGCTGCAGCATCTCCCCGTGTGATGCGGCGAACTCGCGTGAATTCGTCAACAATCGAATTAAGGACACCCATACGTGCCACCCGCTCATTGTTGGCACGCGGGGATACCCCGGAACCGGCCACGCCCACTTTGAGCTTGTCGGCCGCCAAGCGAGCAACGCGCACGCCAGCTAAATCCGCACGCAAGCAGTTGACACTGCAAGAGGATTTGAAAGAAGAGGAAGCCGAGGCAAAACAAGCTTCTATTGAAGTTGCTGTAGACCCCATAACTCCAGTTCAAAAAGGTGCAGCTGGCGCGATCAGCACGCCGCCATCAGATGACAGGCGGGTGACGCGTTCCATGTCGAAGACACCACCCGTGGCTGGACGCTCCGCCAACAACACGCCAACTAATGTAAAAAATTCGCCGAAAGCAAAGCCAAAAGAAACCCAGCAAAAACCTGTCACCCCTAAAATTGTAGACGTGCAAAAGATTCACTCTGATGAGAAAGTAGCCGAAAAATCGATATCTAAATTTCAAACAAAACAGGCACCAGTGGAAGAAGCCGAAATGGATGAACGGCTAGCAAATGTGTCAATGTCAATGGTTGCCACAACCTCTAAAGTTAAAGTGAATGTGAAGGACATCCTTTTGGACTATAAAAGTCCCATAGCGCCCAAAGAGACAAATAAAACCAATCCACAGGATGAAGAGAACAACGGCATGGAAAAAGCGAAGGAACAGTTGATGCCATCAACTGAAGCCACAGAGGTATTATTAGATGATCTTGATGTGGCGCTAGTATGCGATGCTCTCGTCATCGATGATGTCCGCTTGCCGGACCTTACGCCAAAGTTAATGTCTCGGGTGGTGGAACAGAAAAGCTCAGAGTCTAGGAAAGCTGTGGGCTTTAACGGTGACAATCAAGTGGAGGATGATACGAAGACGAAATATCCAAAAACACCAGCGCGAATAACTAATTTATCGGTGAAAAAGGGCAGCATGTTGAAGGTTAAGCACGAGACACCTCTAAAGCCCCTTCTAAAGGAACGTAAAAGCTCAACTCCACTAGCAAAGTCAGAGACTCCACTCCAGGACGAGCAGACAGTTGCCTCCGATGAGCCAAGAAAACAGCCGCCTGCTCAAATCGACGTGATTCCACCATTCTCAGCGTTGGAGGACGACAACAATAATAACAAATCTACAGAAGTTGAAATTACCAAGGAGACGCTCGCCAGCCGTCTTGACAGCGATGACGAGGATGAGGAAGCTGATCGCTCCGCTTCACTCCACAACGAAGACGAGTATGAAGACGCCGAGGAGGACGAAGATAATCGCTCAGCTTGTGAGTTTTTTGACACCGAAGCAGAGGTTTTTGAGAATTACGAATCGGGCGACTCAATGGACAGCGCCGAACGACGCGAAATCAAGGAGAATGAAATACTGTACGATGGCGAGTCTGTCGGCAGTCAGGACACACCAGATGAGCACTCGGAGGATGAGGAGGAGGGGAGTGCCGATGAGCGAATGTCATTCATAGTGAGCGACAGTGATGGAGAAGGTGATGGCGATGGTTGTAGCATTACGTCCCTGTGCTTCTCATCCGCTGAAGAAGATGCCGAGGATGCCAAGCTACAGAAAAAATATCGTCGTATTGTATCAATTGACAGCAGTGATGAAGAAAAACCAGGCGATACTGTGGCGAAGGAAAATGAAGTCAAAAACGATGAAAATGCGGAAGAAAAGCCGATGGAAAAGAAGGAGAAGGAAACAGCAGAGCTGCCGGAGAAATCACTGAAGCCAACAGAAAGCGAGGAGGCCGTGCAGCTGGACAAGTCGATTGCCATTAACAAAACTGTTTCATCCGTTGGACACAGCGATGAGGAACCGATGGAAATTGATGAGGTGTCTTCCAGTTCCGATGATGAGGATGGAGGAAACGAGTCAAAACTGAATAACAAGTCCATATATGAAGTACTCGATTCTTGTGGTGATGATGATGGTGATGAGTCGAGCGTTAAAGTTGGCGCGAAGGATAATGTTGATGATGTAGGTAAATCCCTCAAAAGCAGTGCAGAGCATGAAAATGAACAGGCTTCTTCATCAAATGGTAAAGATAATGATGAAATACCCATTTTATCGTCAAAGCAATCTGAGCAATCCTCGACAGAGACAGTTGCTGGTTGCAAATCAGTGGCAACTGCCAGCGAATCTTCGACATTCCATGACAAGCAAAAGCGTGGCGAAGAGGAGGTGCTCCTGGCTGAGCTCGCCTCCTGCGACGTCTCGCATCTGCAGAAAATGTTCAATCCGCTCCAGAAGTCGCGTCGTCAAACGCTCTACATGGAGGATACGCCCATGCCAGCCAAGGAGCCCAAATTGAAGCGTCGCAGTGTGCAACTGAACAGCGATGTCCAGCCATCCCAATCTTTCATCGAAACCCTGGCCGAGGAGCAGCGCCGTCTATCGAAGCGTAAACGCATGTCCAAAAGCTTCTGTGGTGCTGCCGATAATCTGGACGTGAGTGTGGTGGAGGAAGTGCAGCGTAAGAAGGCCAAAAGATCGTGTGATAATGCCGAAGCTGAGAAGGTTGAAGCGGAACGGTCCGCTGATCAGCTGGAGAAGGTGCTTACTGCTACTGACCAGCTAGAGGTGGAGTTGCCTGTTACCCAGATGGAGGTGGAACTGCCTGTTGCCAAAATTGAGAAGGAGCTGCCTGATGTCCAGAAGGAGCAGGAGCTGCCTGTTGCCCAGAAGGAAAAGAATCTGTTGCCTGTTGTCAACAATGTTGAGAAGGTACTGTCTTCTGCCAAGGTTGAGAAGGAGCTGCCTGCCAGGAAGGTTGAGAAGGAGCTGCCTGCCGGCAAGGTAGAGATGAAGTTGCCTGCCAGCAAGGTTGAGATGAAGTTGCCTGCTGCCCAAAAAGAAGATGCCCAGATTGAGGAGCAGACGCACCTTGTTTGTGTGGAGCAACTGCCTGTTGCCAAGTTGGAGCTGCAACTCCCTGCTGCTGCACCCAAGGAGCCTGCAAAGCGGCGCAGCTTCTATTTAGATTACTGTGACAACATCCTGCTGGCGGCCAATGAAGCCAAGCTGCAGCAAAAGAAACAAGTAAGCGAATCTTGAACTTAATGAATTGTTCATTGATTACACATTGATTCTTCATTTCACTTTGATAGCAACGTCTCGCTGCTGGCGACCAGCAAGTGAAGCAGAAGCGTCCATCTAAAGTCGTTACCGATCCCTTGCCAAACTCTCAAATTGCCATACTCAGAGCGAGTCCGGAAAGAGAACTTTCTGCCAAGATTAAGAAGAACGTGAAACGTTTGCAGGCCACCAAGCAGGCCGTCAAGCAGGCTGTGAATCATGCCGTGCAGCTTCTCGTGCCGGATGCAGCAGCTAACAAGCAGGTGAGTGTCGCACTTGAACTCTTCCTCTGCTCTGCCTCTACATCTACCTATCCTTGCAGCCCCAATCGCTGGCTCGCAAATTGTCCCCGCAGCCGGAGGTCAATGGCAGGACGACGAAGCAAACAAAGGCAAAGGCAAATAAGAAGAAGAAGCGTAAAGGGTTGGTGGAGCAGGTGACGCCGGGGAACAGCTCGGAAGAGGAGGAGCTTATTAAAACCAGGGCCGGCTGGGTCTTTGTCACCAAGGAGCAACAGGAAATTGTCAAAACAAACTCGGGTCCCATGATTGTCGAGCCCTGCACGCCAAAACAGAAGCATTTCAGGGTTGATCATTTGACACCCGTGGGTCTTGGCTTCCAGGAGCAGCAGCTGCCCCACAGGACAAAAGCAAAGGATAAACGCAATGCAGCCACTGAGGCGGCGTTGCGATTCAAAATGAAAATGTTCGGCAGAGATAAGTGATTATAAATGCATAGTATAGTATTCGATTGTTGTTGGATGTATTCGCAGGTTCCGGAATTCCATATTTTTATGTTATCTTTCAAGTCAGCTTGTCACATTTTATGTTTAAGCATGGATCAAATCTAAATTGAATTATTTTGTTCAAATTATTGTTCATTTTTTCGTTTATGCCATATTTGAAGTTGCTGATTTAGTTTTGTTGTTCACTGATATATATTCTACAATCTAGATCACACCTTAAACATACTCCAATTCCCAGTTCATTTATTGTATTTAAATATAATCCATAATTTACTAAGAAACTCTATTGATGTTTATAATAAACATCAATTAAAAAATATATATATTTGTAGGCTCTGTCAATGATATTATTGATGATTTTGGTTTACTTTTACATCATTTATTACTTTTAGCAAGTTATCCGCACAATAAAAAATAACAATAAAAGAGCAGGATCTGAAAATTTTTTCTAAATATGTATATCTTTCTTTACAAGAGAGATTACTGAATTTCATTTTGCAGATATTGCAAACCACAGGAAAAAATTCAAATTCTAAACTGTAAGTTCTTTAAGCAGAACAGCTGGTGGTGCAATAAAAAAAAAATTGTTTATCTTTATGATGGAATACCCCGAATGCTTAGTAGAAATATTGTAAAGCATAATAAATTAGAATGTGCATGGATCGCACAATTTTGCTTTATATTAGTGATATGATTTATGTAATAAATAATTTTTCATTATCATTCATCATCCATTTGGATTATACCTTTTCAAACTCTGTTATGCTCAAATGATCTGTTAATTATCTGTTGTTGCTCAATTGAACGGTTTAAGCTTACGATATTCAACACCTGCATATCGATAAATTGTTCGATGGCGTTTTTATGGTAATAAACATTGATAAAATACGTTTAAATTCAAATAATTTGATTTCCAGTTGAAAATCTTTTACAGTGTGATGTAAATATACTTTTTAATTTAAACATTGTCGTATTTACATTTCATATTGTTTTATTAAAATTTGTATATAATTGTTAGTTAGAACCGGAAATCAATATATTCTGAATTTGAATCAAATCATTATGCGATAAGGCAATAAGTGCATTTCTTGAATAATATATAAGCTAGAACTCAAAAGAGTTTTACAGTATTGTTGGCTTGCAAAGATAACATTTGTTTCAAAGGATAATATATAATTTAAATAATAATAATATATAATGATATCGATATCGATATCACTCGTCTTTGTGCTAAATCGTATTTGCGACTTATCGGAATGCAAGCCCGATATCTACATCCCTAGTCAAAAGCAACAACAAGGCCGAACGGAGCGGACGTATGCGCGGCTTGTGAATTTGTGATTGGTTGTAAATATTATTTTTGCCGATAAAGAGAAGTCAATTAAAATATAATTACGAAATGTGACGGTACAGGAAAATAGAAACGCCAACACTTCACAAATAGTACACACTAATATTGATAAATAATATATGTATATTTATTTAAAAAATAACTGTGTAATAAATAAATGTATTTAAATTATGGAATATAAAAGTGTGCGGATCCAATGAACGGTTATTTCTCTGCTACACTAGGCGCGTAACGGTTTTTGTACACACACGCACACACATACACATCGTCAGGAAAGTGATAAAGGCAGAGTCGATCAAAACAAAGCTCATATGCAACAGTAAATTTTGGGAATTAAACGGCTGCAACATGTTCGAATTAGAGGATTATTCCAGCAGCATTCACGAGGGTTTCTTCAGCAAATATGCAGTAAGTACACACGAACATCAATAATAAATACATAATTAATAATGTACTAATATTAATAATTAATACTGCCGCACAATCTGACAAGCATTTATATTGACACATGTGTGTGTGTATTTGTTCAACAAGAACACACAACAAAAAAACAAAGAAACAGCAGCAAATAAAAATTGGCAAATTTCGACTTGCCGGCCGGTTAAGCGCACATTCACACATACACATACGCACACACTACATTCGCACACACACACACAACCAACCACATGGCTGCTTTATCGTTTATTTTCGAATTCGTAACGTTCGTTTTCTTGCACGCAAACTCGCCGAAGTCGACAAAGCAGCGCTGCAGCCGCATCTCTCCAAAGTATATATTTTTTTCCTAGTATTTATGCAACCATATACCCCTGCCTACCGCCCCACCACAACAGCGCGCATCACTGTTGCGCAGTCGAGCCAAGAACAGTTTGCCACATTCCCCTCTCTGGCACTGTTAGCGTTCGGCGAACTTAGTTCGGTTTTTTTTTTGTCACGCTTGCTTTGTTTGTGCTTGTCGCTTTCGTTCTTAACGTACAATTTTTAAATTTGAATTCGTCAGCTCGCCGCAGCGAATATTTGCGCACATTGATGTGTGTAATATGTATGTGTGTATGCGTAATTCTTTGCGATCATTGTGATTTGAAATTGCTCTCAAGAAACCGCTGATTAATGCTGGTGTGTGGATGTCAAGCATGTGGGGGAGGGAGATGGTGGTTGGTCATAGCCGGAACAGAGTCGCAGTGTTAAGTGGAACCGATAATAAGATTCTACAAAATTGTACATAATACACACATTGTTGTAAATGTACTTCCTTAACTTTGGGGCGATTTGCTTACGTTATTATTTTATGCCACTGCTGCCTCTGGTGATTAACTTGGCTATATTCGTCTGTGTGTGTGGAGACCCAAACTTAATGTTTAAGGCAGCGCCAATGTTAAATCTCACTCAACAGAGCGGCGCTTCTGTTGTGTGTACTAAAAAACTCTGCAGCCACAACAGCGGCGAAAACGTTGCTGTTGCTCGTTGGATTTTGAGTTTGACTTTCGTCTTTTGTCGGTTGGTTGGAATAGGTTGGGTGTATGGTTGTTGGTGGTGGGGGGGGGGGGGGGGGAGGTTTGACTCAGTTTGACTCTGTTGTCGTCGATTAACATGAGATTAATGTTCTCCTAATTTCGCCTCTCTCTGTTTCGCTTGTACTGTTTGTATGACTGTGTGTATGTATGTTATGTACATAGAATAATGCGTAATTACTTAACTTTATTTATTTATTGCTAAACAGTGCACACTAGCATATATAATGGGTGTCTGTGTTTGTGTGTATGTGTATTTGTCAGTTTGCTGTGGGCTGCTGCTTCGCTGCTTTTGCCTCTGTTAAGGTGTCTTCTGCTTTTGCGTTCTACACTTTTTGAAGGCCAAAGATTCAACTCGCGTTTCTTTGCTAGCGGCAACTTTGTCTTGTGTAGCTTTAAACGCATGATGTACATAAACTTATTAAGGTAACTATACAATATACTTATTCTATGTTTGTATTAGTTTCTTGTGTTGCATATTATAATAAGGGGGCAAAAAACTTATAAAAAGCATGTGCGCCTGATAAATGCAACATGTACCAAGAAACAAGAAGCAGACACATGCGAGCACAGCCACAAGTGTGTTTGATATCTGTGTGTGAGTGTGGGGAAAACAAAGGAAAGCAAACACAGCAAAACGCTTTTATCTTGTTTTTTTGTACTTTATTTTCAAACGCCACAAGTTGCGAGTCAGTGTGAGAGGAAGAGCGAATATTCAAAGTCAAAAAGCACTCAGCGCTCATACATCAAAAGCTTTCTCTCTCGCTCTCGCTCTTACTCTCAATGAAAATGGCTAAGTAAAAAAATTGGCATCAACTTCAAAGTTCAACGTGCCGGCAACTTTGAGTTTGAGTGAGTGTATGAGGCACCCACCTCAACACACACACACACACATATACACACACCCCCAAAAATACACTCACGCGTGAGGCAACATGTCGCTGGCTGCTGCTGCTGCTGCTGGCTTTCGTTCGTTTGTTGCTTGATGAATATGAGCGCCCAGCTGTATGCCGCATAGATTTTCTCACGGCCCGCAACACAAACACACATAAACTTGGACCTCCCCAGAGAGGAGCCTGCAGTATGCAGTTGTTTGTAACCCTGATTTCGAACTGGGGCTGCATAAACTGTAAGCAGTTGAACAAAAATAGTGCCGTTTGAAAAGTATAAGAAGTGTGATTTTAAGTCGCGAACAATCAAAAAAAAAAATATGTAAAAAAATAAATAAAATTTATAAAATATAAAAATTTATCAAATACAAAAAAAAAATAAAATTAATTTATAAAGTAAAAAAAATAAAATAAAACTATATTGCAAAATAACAATTTGTAGCAGCTTCAATTTCCTCGATCGACGTTTGGAAAATTGGAGATAAAAAAATAACCAATAACATCATATTACCAATATCCATCGCATATGTGTGAATTTGTATGTCGCCTGGATTCTCCCGGGGTCCATAAAGTAATTTACGAATAGGCGCTCAGAAGGAAAAGAAAAGGAACATTATCAACGGCCGCGGTCCTCGTCAGATGTTTTCTCTTTTACTGCATTGCCTACCTACATACCTGGCCTGGTCCTGGCATTTGGGATTCAGTTTGGGATTGGATTTGTGTGTCATTGCAACAATTTAAAGGTGAAAGCGGCTCAAAGAAGAAATGTAAAAGGCAGAGCAACTTCACAGAAGAGGAATGCACGGCAGATGCAAGGCAAGGCAGAGCGAAGACACCAAAAAGGAATTCCGATAACACACGCACACGCACAGACACAGAAGACAAAACAAAAACAAAACCAAAAACAAATGCAGCACCCCAGAAAAGTGAGTGTCTAGGCCAAAAATCCTGCTGCTGCCTGCCTGCCTGCCTGCCTGCCTGCCAAGGGTGCAACAACGAAGTCTTCAACATGTTGTTATCTTGCCTGCCTTCAGCTCAATTATAAACATACATTCATACATACATATGTAGGTATGTCTTTTTAATCGTTGCACAGCTCGAAAAGGTCATCGTAAGTAGGTGGAGGGGGTAGGGGGAGGGAGGCGGGCAACAGCTACTGCTGCTGCTGCTGCTGCTAACTGCTCCAAGCCAAAGTGTCGAAAAGTTTTCAATTTTTCGCTTTTCGCCGCATGCTTGCTGCCAATTTTGGCCGCCTGTTCAATGCATTTTTATTTCGGCACATTTTTTCGAAAGCAATTTTTGTTTTTGTTTGTTTCCCAATGATAACAAAAACAAAATAGATTAAAAAAAAAAAGAGGATAACCCTTTGCATATATATATACATATATAAATTATATTCTACTATCCATGCAGGTGTTGAACAAGAACTAAAACCAATTAGAGGCAGGAAGTTTCCTTTCCGTTTGCAATGCACAATTTACAAAGCCCAGAACTATTTACATATTTATTATACATTCATATGCATGTGTATATGTGTGAGTGTGTGTGTGTGTTTGTGTGTGTACTCGACTACAGCAACAACCACCCCTGAGTGTGTTTCAAATTGCAGCTGCCTCATGACTGCCTGCCTGACTGCTGCCTGCTGCCTGCCTGCCTAGTCTATCTGCCTGCCTGCCTGCTCCGTCTGCCAGCCAGCCTGACATAAGGTTATCAGAGCACACACACTCATACACTCACACACATTTATACACACATACATTTCCAGTATCATTTGGTTAAGTATTTACATATTTGTTGTCTCACTCATTTCACCATAAGCCTAGTTTCTCGCATGCTACTTGAAATATGATTTTAATAAAATGCGCAATGCGAGCAGGAAATGTCATTGATTCATTATTAACACTGTGACGACCATGCAAAAGTATTTACAAATGCAATGAATTCATCTTAAATATGTAATCATGTACATGTGTATGTAGAATGTGTCAAGTAATTATTTGGACACAGGAAACAATTCATATTTTCCCATTCCTTTAGCAAGGGAAAAAGTATCTGATCAGCTATTTATGTTATTTATTATTTATTTATTTAAAATATTCCTTATTTTGAGTGTAAATGTTTGGACAAATACTGCTAATGATTTCGGCAGTTGCTGTTTGAACCAATATCGTTAGAAATTAGCGTTTACTTTTCCCCTAAACTTTCGTCTATATGGTTGACAAACATATTCTGTTCAAAGTTTTTAATCTGATAATCCAGTTGTTTTTATTATAGTCATAGAGTAGCTTATTTGTTTTAATTAACTAAACAAAATACTAGAAATAGCAATGGAAATATGATGAGAAAGTGTTTTGACAAAAAAAAAAAAAAATATTTTAATTTCTTTTGCATTCATCTATCATTCTTTTATTATTGTCTTTATCTTATTTACATTTTTGTGCAATGGAGTTCTTACTACTAGTTAACAAAATTGATGACTTTTAAACTGTCAAGAAATGGTTAATGATTCTGCAATTCCCTTTTGAGTGGAACCCCTTCAAATGGGAGCTTTTATTTTCTTAACGTGTATTTACTTTTGAACTATTTTCAATATCTATTTGAGTTGCACTTATGATTTGGCCACCTCTTCAGTCGTTCGAGGTTCCAAAGTGATCCACTTAGAAACTGATGTGTATGTGTATGTCTACGTACATACATAAATACTTATTTTTATACATTTTAAGATGTACTTGCACAGAGCTCATATTGATTTCCTTAATGTACTCCACCCCTCCCACTTCCCTCCTTCGATTACAAGAAAAGCAATCAAATGATGGCTGTCAATAATGAGGCAGCTGCTGCTGTTGCTGCTACACAAAAACAAGGGTTAAGAAGTGCAACACCTGCTGCTGCCTGCCCCAATTGTAAATGCGTGCAAGAGGGGAGAAGCAGGAGGGGAATATCACAGAAAAGAGCATTAACTGGTTTTCAGGATGCTGCTGCCACATCTGAACATTCATTGACAGCAGCAGCAGCGGTCGGTTGCACAACAAATTCTGTTAATGTGTGTGGCAAGGGATTGCGATTCATGCAAATGAATCTGCTGCCCAGACACCAGCCAGACAGACAAATGATGTGTGTTGTGGGCGAATAACAACAACAAAAGCAACAACATTTTCGGGACTGTTTTGACTACTGATAAAAACACCGCGGCGGCAAAAGAACGTGCGGCTTGCATACATTTATGAAATCCTGCTAAATTATGCAACTTATCATCATTCATATGGTGGGTGTATGGAGCATGAAACATGCGCCATGCCCCGTGTGGCAAGCGGCAAATGGCAAGTAGCGTTGTGTATGTGCCCCGCCTCGTCTATCGATTTTTCAGCAGGAGCAGACATGACCCGGGGGCGGGTCAATGAGTTGGAATGTGTCCAAGGACACGCTGACATTGCTTACCATAAACCCACAAACCGCACCCCCATCCCCTTTAGTCAGTCACATGTAACAGGCGCTGCGCAACACTGCCTCTTTTTTAGAGTGTCGTCCAAGCGAAGAGTTGCGCCTAATACCCAACAACAATAAGAACAAGCATGTCTCAACATGTGCAAAAGTGTTGTCAGCCTATTGCTAAAAACTTTTGCCTACTACCCTTTTTCGTAGCAGAATTCAAGTTTCGCGCAACAGCACAAAAAGTACTCAGACCGAGTCGAGCGCTCAATTTTAGCTCAGCTGTGTTCTGCTCTGCTCTTTTGCTGTTGCCGTTTTCATTTGCAGAATGTTTTGTTGCCAACTGTACTCAACAGAACAGAACTCTGCTGTTCGTTCGTCGTTTGGTTGATGTGTTCCTCCTATGTTTTCAATGTAAAGAGTAGCAGAGTTTTTCTGTGTGCTGGTTTCTCTTTCAGTCGCTTTTAACATGAGCCAGACGTCAACGTCGCTGCCTGCTGTTCTGTTCACTGCTATGCATACATACACAAACACACGTAAATTTGCTACGTTTGTATTGCTTCCCTGTTCGTGCTGCTGCTGTTGCTGTTGCCGCGCTGCTCTGCTGCTGTCAGTTTATTGTTTATGTACGGCTTTATTCCTTTTTCTTTTTACTTTTCGTTTTTCAATGGTCATACCTACAAAGATACACATATACATACTTTCTGTATGTATGTATTTTTCCCCTTTTATCGTTTATCTACTGTTAACGGTCGCTCGCTCGCTATAAGATTTGACTAAATGTTGCGGAAACATTTGTAGCTCTGCAACATTTCCACTGGTGGTTGTTTTTAGCTCAACTCGTCTTTGCCGGCAGCATATCCAGCATATAATACAAGAATCTGTTTATGCAGCATAATATACATATGTATGTGTGTGTGTGTATGTATTGTATATATAAATAAATAAATATATGTACGATTAGTTTGCAGCTGTAATGCAAATGGAAATGCGGTAAATTTGAATGCCTGAAAAAAACTATGTATAAACAAATTTGTATGCCTGTAAGTTATCTAAAATTATGTACATAAGTGTGTGCACACTTATATACACACGATTTATTTTTTTTTAAGCCTTTAGCCTAAAATTTCATAAAACTTTCAATTTTGCTGATATCCGGTTTAGGATGGTGGCCTTCTCATCATCATCGTTCCTCTGTGTGTGTATATACATACATATGTACATATGTATGCTATCTGTGTGTGTGTTTCTTAAGTCCATCCCCATGTGTACACATGCATACAAACAAGTTGGTTTTGTTGTTGCTGGACTTTTGGCGCCGAGTTATAAACACAAACACACACACATACGAACAGTGCATGCATGCAGGCATAAATAGGTATTTATGCGTGTGTGTGTGCTTGCTGTGTGCCATATGCAGCCTGTGTCTGCCTTTCTCGTTGCCTGCCTGCCTTGGACCGTAAAACTGGTTTTTGACATTGCTCCTGCTTCTTTTCCATCATCAACATTGCAGTTGTGTTCTGCGTGTTGTTGTTGCTGCTGTTGGAAAAAAAGGAAAAGTATATACACATGTGTATAGCAACAACGACGATAATGATGATCAAATAATTATGTATTCCTTCACATTTTACATGTGAGCATGTATATATGTATGTAGATATGTGTATTTGTATATAATATGTACATTTGTGCATACTCTTGTAAATAGAGGCATGCATGTTTACCATTTTCGAAGCCCCATAAGCGTCAACAAGTTGCATGAAGTTTTATCGGAGAATGCAAAAAGTGGAACATTAACTGAAATCCCAAAAACTACAACTGCACTTCATTTATGAATGCTTATACATACATACATGTATGTATGTATATCTTATATGTTTATGACTAGAGAGACATTGGCAAGAGGCATTTGGCCATTGGCAACACTGGTGTTTGCTCCTTTGGTGTGCTCTGGGCATCTTCTAACTCACCTTTAATTGGCAATTAGCACAAGATTAACAGAAAATGTTCCCTTTGCTTTTGCCGCGCAACAAATTCCGCATAATTTGGGCGGCATGTGGCTAAACATTTTGTTGCACTATTTTTTGACATTCACTGCGAAAACGTAAACACTGCTTGAAGTTGGTTGTTGGACAGGGGGGAGGAGTGGTTGGGGTGCATAGGTGCATAGGTCGTTAACGTGTGAGTGGCAAAATTACCGCTTGATTTAATTAAAACAGCTGATTGGATTGTTTTTATTTTTTATTTGTCTTTAATAAACAAATTAGTTAAAATATAAGACAGGCTATTACTTCTCATCTCCTACTAAACCAATAAATAAGAAACAAATTTGCGTTCAGCAACAAATTATAGAAGTAAAAAAAAAAAATTATTAAAATAAAATTTGAGACATCGATCCTTTAGCAAATTGTAATTAAATGTCTAATGCAATTAACTAAAATCCGAGTTTGTGAAATTCGAAGCGAGAATCAGCAAATTTAGTGTTGTTGAATGTTTCATTGATTTCCAATAAGTGCTGATTGATTGAAGATATGATAATCAGAATGCAATCGATATATAACATATCTCGGGATAAGCGGGATTTATTTTTGTTTTGTCGTGTTCAAATTTTTACTAAGAAGAACGAAAATTTGATTAACAAGAATGGTGTACATTGTGTCTCGCCTACAGGATGCCGCAGGACCCTCGCTGGACTTTTATGTGTCCGACTCGATGCAGGATATGCTGGACGTGGACATTCGGGCGGAGATCGCCAACGTTGTGGGCAGCTCCAGTGATCTGACCTCCTCGCTGGATCATGCACTCGAGGCCATTTCTGCCATCAACAATAGCAACAACAATTGCAACAGCAGTATTGCCTCATCGTCGACGCACAATGCAAACGCCAGTCTGTTCACGAGCAGCGGGTTGCATGCCTCACCCACCGCCAAGTGGATGGGTTCGTGCGCAAATTTCTGGTCCACAACTGATTACTATGCAGACATTGGAGCCTGTGTGAATCCCATTTCTGTGATGCCGCTCATCAACTCCAACTCTGGAGCAGCGTCGCTGCTCGGCTCTGGATCGCCGCAGAAGTCGCGTGCTGCTGGTGGTGGCATCAACGGTTCAACGTCAACGCAGAGCAGCAGATCCGGCTCTGGGAGTGGACAGGCGCCGCCTGCCTCGCCATGCGGCCAGCACAAATCCCATCTGACCTTCTCGCCAGCTCAAATGAAGGTTAGCGCTGGCTCCATGCGACGCGAGCAGGTTATGGCCCACATACCCAAGCAGATATCAGCGTTACCCATCTCAGCATCGTCGCTAAATGCGCCCGCAACAATGGCCAGCAATGCTGCGGCCCAGCAGCAGCGCCGCAACTCATCGGCTGTGGATGCGGTGCGTAAGGATCTGGGCACGGAGCTACGCAAGATGCAGTCCATCAATGATGAGACGAAGAGCAGCACCAGCACGCCCAAAAACAACACCAGTCTGCTGACGACTGGTGGCAGCGCCACCAACACCATCAAATTGGGGCCAGGCATTGGCGGTTTGACCTTTGCCAACAGTGCCACATATAACAAACTGAAGCAGCAAACGTCCGTCAAGTCACCCAATGGAGCACCCCTCACCGCCAATGGCAACATAGTGCTCAAACGGGATCGGGAGGCGAGTCCGTTGCACAACATGGCCACGCTGCACGCAAACGGTGTCGTCCAGAAGCGTGGCAGTAATGCACCAAAAAGCATTGCATCTGCGGCACATTCGCCGCATCATCAGATGCATATGCAGAACAACAGCATTGGATCGCCCTCCTCGACTTCCTCATCCACGGCGAATGGTCGTCCCACAACGTCATCCTCGCCGCTCTCCTTTGCGCCACTTACCAGCAACAACACAAGTAACATCAACAGCAACAACAACAATGGCAACAGCAGCAATACCAACAACATGAAACCGCTGCTGCAGCAGAAGATGAAACTGCCGGCGGCGATGAGTAGCGTATTCCCAAAGCCCGCCTACTCCTACTCCTGTCTGATTGCACTGGCGCTGAAGAATTCGCGCGCCGGCTCACTGCCCGTCTCGGAGATCTACAGTTTTCTGTGCCAACATTTTCCGTACTTTGAGAATGCGCCCAGTGGGTGGAAGAACAGTGTGCGTCACAATCTGTCGCTGAACAAGTGCTTCGAGAAGATCGAGCGGCCGGCAACGAATGGCAATCAGCGCAAGGGCTGCCGCTGGGCCATGAATCCGGAACGCATCTGCAAGATGGATGAGGAGGTGCAGAAGTGGTCGCGCAAGGATCCGGGTGCAATACGCGGCGCCATGGTCTATCCGGAGCATCTGGAGGCGTTGGAGCGTGGCGAAATGAAGCACGGCTCGGCCGATTCAGATGTGGAATTGGATTCGCAATCGGAGATCGAGGAGTCGTCCGATCTGGAGGAGCACGACTTTGATGAGACCCTCATCGATGCGATGCTCGTCGAGGAGGAGGAGAACGATGAAGTCGAGTAAGTAACAAATGAAGATATTCCAATTCGAAAATAAATAATAAAAGTGCATCCACAATTTACAGCTGGGCCAACAGCGAGGAGGATGAGGATAACGTCCAGGAGGAGCACATGCTGCAAGAGTATGAGCCAAGCAACCACTCAACCAACAACCTGCCAACGGATCACCAGCTGCTCGTCGCACAGAAGAGCGCCGACTTTGACATTGAGGTAAGCTGGCCTGCCAAGGAGCAGCTAATGCTTATGATGTATATTCTGATTTCTGATATTTATATCTCTGGTCAGGTTAACGAACTGTACGACGCCATCGAAATTGACGATAGCAAGCTGGCGGTGCACCAGGCCATTGCCGTCAGCAGCCAGTCGACGAGCATTATTGAGCTGAATCCGGCCGATTTGAATGTAAATGATGGCTATCGATCACCGAAGCGTGCTCGGCTGGACATCAATTATGCCATCGGACCTGCCGGCGAACTGGAGCAGCAGTACGGCCAGAAGGTGAAGGTGCAGCAGGTGATGCAGCAGTACCAACAGCAGGCGCCTCCTACCTACAATCGTCGCAAGATGCCGCTGGTTAATCGAATCATATAAGGAATAGAAATATATATATATTTATATGTATATATATACATATATATTTATGTATAATACACACTTAGTGTTAGGTTTACGTTTAGGGAACAGCTACGTCAGCTACGCTTAAAACTTTAATCCTAAGTTGATTTTTCTTTGTGTACACATACACACACACTCACCTGTATGTATATGTGTGTGTGTGTGTGTGCATGCGGAACGATTCTTTTGATTCCAAATTAGTTTGTTATTCAATTTAGTCGCGCGCTTTGTAGTCGCTTATAGCAGTTGTGTCGCAGTACATTTCCATTTCCATTTCCATTTCCATGTAAATTGTAAGGGGCTTTCAAATAAATGTTTATGTTTCCTCAAGCAATCATTCAATGAGATCTATAAATCTCTCCATATACTTCTAGACGATAGATGATGACTACCTTTGACGCTTGAGCAAAAGCTCAAGAAATACGTAAATTAATAAGAATATTGTATTTGTAATTGTTCAAAGTCCTAATTCCAAAAATGACGCAACATTCAGTGTATTAATTGTTTCCAAAATCTTGACTATAAAGGGCATTTTTGAAATTGATCTCTAGCGAAAACAAAATTGTTTACTAATATATGTTGTAATTACTATTGACGAACGTTTTCTATAAGATCAAAATTAAAAAAAAGAAAAAGCAAAAAAAAAGAAGAAAGTAGTTCTTTTATCATTAAGCTTTACATTATATTTATAATAAGAATAATCATTTGGACAACGAAATATGAAACTCGAAATGTTCATAGACATATTTCCACACTTGTTAACTGTACATAAAATGGCATTTATAAGCATTTTTCTGCGGATTTTCAATATAGACATTTGAGTAGTTAATGTTGAAAACAACCACCCAAAACTTGCCGGTCCAGTATTCATATGACAGACGTTGGTAGAATTTAACCAATTATATATATATATATATATAAAAATACTATACTATGTATATATACCCTAGATATGGGTATATAAAATGAATAGAAACGAAATCTCTAATTAACAAATTGAAAATAGAGTCAATTAGATTTTTGAAATATATTATATTATATACATTACATATATATATATATATAGTATGTAAATATTTTTTACTTAATGTACGCTATATACTATATTAGCTTTAAATGAAAATATATGGTAATTATACAGTATACAATAATATCAACCAAAACCGTGCAACATTGCAAAAATTCCAAAATGAATTGTCAAAATTCTTCAACCGAAAAGACTTAAAATCATCAACGTATGCAGCCCAACAAATTCAGGAATCAGTTTACGCCTGAGCAGCGTAAATAGGAACTCAGATTTTAAATGCAAAGTACAAACAGTTTTTAAGTTAACAGAAATAAGCCTAAGTACGAGTTATGCTCAATTTTGAAAACAATACATTTCTCTTTTTTTTTTATTTTCAATATCAATTTTACACATTTTCAATAACCATTTATATCAAAATACTACTAGTAATACTAGTGATTGATTTGCATTTAACAAATTATATATTTAATTACGAAATATGTATATCATATGTATAAATTCTTTAAACAAAATAAACAATTTTTGTATAGAGTTGTTAGAAAATCAATATGTACAACGCAGTTGAAACCAAAAAAAAAATTGAATAAAAAAAATTCAAAACCATTTTGTTGTTTTTCTTTTTATACTCTGATACCGAAGGTATGCAAAGCAAGCAAATTGTTCATTTAAAAATGATTATTAACCAGGATGTCAAATCGAATCTAATTTAGGTAGTATAAATCAAGCAAATTTTGCTAAAGATTCCGGTGTTCGTCGAAACTTTCCAGTATCTGGCTGATTGAAACCATTAAAAATGTTTAAATCTCTGATCCCAAAATGTGTGTTTATCGTTCTAGCCACATTCGTCTGTATGGATAAATGTATTTCGGAGACTTCAGATTTGGAATATAAACTTAAACACGGATACATTTTTATATAATGTTCCGCTATGATATTTTCCTTCTTATAAGGTCTTTTCGCGATCATGCTTTCGATTTGGTCTTTTCGAGACGAATAATGCCAGTTAAGGTATTTGGGTGTTAAAAAATGTTTAGTTAGATTCTGACTCCGATGTCGATTCTGGTTTTAAATCGGTAAAAATGCGGTTTCGATTCCAATCCCATTTTGGCATCCTTAATTAACTAATTCATCCCACCCAAAATAAAATGCATAGATTTGCGCTTTAGAACATTTTTATTTCACATTTATAAATAGGTAGATCTGATTTGATATAGTTCAATGGTTTTCGAATTTCTCGTTATTTTTTCCAGTTTTTATTTTTTTTAAATTTGGTTTTTGTTTTTTTTCTGTTATTACAACCAATAAAGCTCTAGACTTCAGCTTAATTACTTACATATTGAATTTGTTGTAAACGATTTTGCCTTGCGAAGCAATCGTAAAGCATTCTGGCCAGATCTGGGGTCTTTATTGTAACTAAACCACAAAATCGGTCAGAGAAAACTAATGACGCTGAGCTTGTTATTGCGTTAAACTCAGTTCTTAGATATAGGTCATACGACAATGTTTGGGAAACATACAGATTTCAAATTTAGAGGGGGGCATTAGTACAAAATGGAATAATATACACAATGAGTTATTTTCGAAATACATACCGAGAGTATCATGCCTTGATTTGCACATTTTGCAAACAGCTGAATGTAAAATGTTAGTTTTTTCTTTTGTTTTTCTTTTTGCAGTATATCAATTGATATTTCTTAATAGACTAGACTGGTTTGTATTTCTTATAGCTTTAGCTAATTCTAGTTGAATGACTTACAAAAGGTTTTGTTGCTTGAGTAAATACCTAAAATGGCATAAAATACTTTGTTAGGCGCCTCTGTTAAAATATTTCTCTGTCCTTGTTTCTTTGTATATGCTTCAGGAATTACAATACAATTATTCACTTGCAGTTTAATTATATGTATATAGATATATAGATATATATATGTATATATATATTGTTTATCTTGTTTATATAAACATATAAACATATGTTAATAGGTATGCAGTAAATTGTATTGTTTTTCAAAATTGAGTGTTGATATTTGCACACTTAAGGCCTGTTGTTTACTTAAATTAGTTTCCCTTAGTTTTGAGCAAGCCGTTTCAACATGAGCTTCTATTTTTCTTAACTAACAATCTATACAGTTTTGCATTCCGTGCTGATGCCAGTGAGGGTTTTTTCTTTTTTCTTCTTACCTACATATTTATATGTAAATGTATTTAAATCAGTGTGTGCGTGTGTGTATGTGTGTGTGTGTGTGTGTGTGCGTGTGTGTGTGTGCGTGTGTGTGTGTGCATGTGTGCATGTATGCGCCGAGCGCTATGCTGTACAATTATTCGTTGAAACCAGACAAAACTGTTGTGACAAATCGTTGTTCTTAAAGTTAAACACAAGTTCGATTAGACGCTAAGTTCACAAATATTAATGCACATGTACTTAAACTAAAATGTATCCTATGAATACATAATCAGATCAGACAAGTCAAACGCCAACGCTGCGCGTGTTCTGCGGAGCGTGGCTAGCTTGCTGCTTGGACGGTTCTTTACTTTAATGCGGGGGCAAATCTATAAGTGTTGTATGTCCATGTCCATTGATTGCATATATGGAGACATCAGACATCAGACACATACACATATGCCTACAAGTTAACCGATTATGTTTACAAGAGTGTTGACAAGAACTTAAGCTACAACCTAACACACACGAATACATACAAAGATCGTTGACTATTAAATGCACAGGTGAAGTAAAGTTTCCAAGTATTGGTTGGGGTTGTGTGCATATCGATTCGATTGGGCAAAGCAGAATAATAATTTCGGTTTACATAGACTCTATGAATACTCGATACAAATATGATCAGGCAACTCCTCACTCATTCCTGCTTCAGACGCTTGGCTTCGTTGCCAGCACTGGTGGCACTTGCCGCTGTCGCTGCAACACCAGCAACACCTACGGCACCAGCACCACCAACGCCACCATTGGCACCGCCGCCACTGACAGAGGTGGCCGTTGCTTGCTGCTCCCCATCGCTGGTGATATAGGCGAACTGGCACTCGAACTCAAAGTCCATTTCCTTCTTCTGAGCAAAGGTTGACAGTTAATACTAGTTGCCAGTCACTTAAGTAGGTGCTTAGGTGCTTACCATGCGCTCGCAAATGACCGCAATGGCCGTCTTCTGCTGCGCCTCGGCTATCTTGTGCTCCACCAGATAGAACATATACTCATCGAATAGCAGCCGGATCAGATGAAAGCTGCCAAAGCTCGATGCGGAACGCAGTGTTAAGTCTCGAATTATCATCGAGCTGTAGAAGCTCCATTTCAACAGAAACTGACGAGCGGCACGCGCATAGCTCGGTTTGCCCGTATACTCCTCCATTGCGGACTCCACCACAAGCTGCAGCCAACTGGCCCATTGCTCCAGTGAGCTTTGCTGCTGCAGTGCAGCCTTAAAATCGTTCTCCAGACGCTGCACCACATCCGGTGCACATTGGCTCACCCAGGCGGCTTGCTCCTGCACGCACAAATTAAAAAGATTAGAATGTAACTTGGTGGAGATTAGTGTGAAAATTGATTAATTGACGCACCTGCACATTGTGAAAGTCCACACGATTCAGATCGTTGAGCATTTGGGATATTTGTGCACCGTTCTGTAGCACGGCTCGTGCTGCCTGCGCCAGATGATTGAGGGATGTGTAGCGACGCAGCGTCTGGCAAAATGCCGAGACGGCACTAGTCTTGATCTGTGACAGCTGCTCCGGCACTCCCAGCATGCTTTCGCACAGCCACAGCTCCAGATTCTTGGCAAAGTTGCGTATGGCCTGAGTCAGTGCATTGGGTATCGAGCGCAGCACATCTGGTATTATAACGTCCACGGTGTTCTGATAGAACTGATAGTCCACCTGGTTCAACATATATAAATAAATTTCAATTCACTTCATTCAGTGGAACTATTTTTAACCTTTACAACGAACTCATGCACTTATAAAACATATATGTAAACACTCTACACTCTCTAAAATAAATACCAAAATTAATAAATCAATTATGTATTTAATGTTCTTTAAGAATGAAATATTTTTTTTTTCATTCAGTAATGTTATATAAATTATTCAATGTTCTTGAACAATCCAGGTAATCATGAATAAAATTATTTGTGTATCCTTGTAGAGGGTATTATAATTTTGTTTGAAGTTTGCAAAACGGTAAGATGTCTTTTGTCTCCGACCTCATAAGGTATATATATTCTTGATCAGCATTTGTTTTATTACTCTCAAAAGCAAAAACAAGCAAAAGATTTTTTAAATTTTAAAGAAAACTATGTGTCAAAATTTGTATTTAAAATGTTATCAATCGGAATTCTGGGCAATAAACTGCATAGTTCGATTCTATAGCATATGTTTTTATATGATCTACAAGTTAATTTTTGCATTAGCATTAAAGTTTTAGTTAGATATAAGTTTGTATTAAAAAGGCGACAGCTTTTGGGGAATCTATCGAACTTACCTCGCGCACAAACTTTTGCACTTCTGCGCAGTGGCACAACAGATACAGTTTCGTCTTGCTCAAGTACTTCTCCTCCTCGCACTCATCCAGATTGTTGTTGTCCGTGGTGCGCCAGAAGTCGCGCAGCAAAAACTCAACCGTGCCGAACTCCAGATTGAGCACAGCATCCAAAAATGATTCGCAATGTTCGCGGTAAAGTGCACGAAAAGTGTCCACATCGTCCAGGGTGAGTTCACTGTGAAAACTGTGGCTCAGTTCGATGGCCGGAAAGACGGGCATGGCGCCAGCACCGTCGCCAATGTACTACACAAAACCACAAATAAAACAAATTAGTTAAATCATTAAATTTACAAAGAATCGAGCATTGGCTACCTGTATGCAAGCCTCGTAGGTTTCCGGCTTGAAGTTGTGCTTCTTGGCGCCAGCTGAGCGCTGGCCAGAATTCGATGATAAGCCATTGCTGCCATTTGAGCTGCCCAGTTGGGTGGCGCCGATGCTGCTGCTGCTGACGTTGGCCATGGCGCCATTGCCCGTTGGTGTGCCATAGCCCTGCATAGTTTTGTCCTCCATGGATTGATGAATTAGCAGTGAGCCGGGCTTGATGCGAATGCCATAATAATGATACTTGGAGTTGCCGCGCGTGCCCAAGCGACGTGTGCGCAGACCAGAGAACACAGAGCGTATCAACTTGCCGAAACTGGCTGCATTCACTGGCTCCAGCTTCTGTTCGTTGCAATGCTGCATGTAGTGGTTATATAACGTTGAACGTGGCAGACTAACTCCGTCGGCAGTCTCGTAGTTGCGCGACAGCCACTTAATCTGCAAGTGTGCGAAAGAGATGTTAGCAACGCTGCTACTGCTGCTGTTGCTGCTGCTGCCGATGCTGCTGCTGCTACTGCCACCCCAACTACTCACCGTTGCCGAGGCAATCTTGTTGCTGGTGCCCATGGCGCTCTGGTCACTATCGGGTGACGCCCCATCGGCACCGTTGCCGATGCTGCCGCCGCTGGCCGAATTGGTGGTTGTTGTCGAGGTGGGCGTTTGTGGTGTGCTCTGCGCCTCCTGTATGTAGGCAACCTCATGCTGCATGTACCGCCCAAAAAATAGATGTTGTTGTGGTTGTTGTTGTTGGTTAGTTTTAGTCAATGTCATCGGCTCAGTGAACGTCCTGATGATTACTCACCGTCAGGCTATGCGGCGAGTCCCGGCTGTGTGACTGCGAGGATCCATTCAATAGCAGACTCTCGTCGACAGGTACCAGATACGGCAGCGTCGTGGAATGGGCATTTGCTGTGCTGCCAGCCGCCGCTGTCGCATAGTTGCCAGTTGCTGCCGTTGTCGAGTAATACGTCTGGCCATTGCCCTGATAATCGCCCACCGGGCAGAATGGGTACGTCCTGTGTGGACAGACGGAATGTAAAACTGTTTGGGGGATCAGGCGACGCAAATCGTGATGATGTACTTACATTTGCGTCTGGCTCGAATTGCTGTGATATAGTTCCGAATCAACATATTGCACTTGATAGTTTTGCTCCTGACCAGAAACTGAAAGATATTCAAATATGAAAGCCAAATTAATATTTAATATTCGTGTTTTTAAATAGATTTTTTAGCTTGTCTTCTTCTAAGTTTTTAGTAATTACAATAAATAATAATCAATAATATCATAAAAACGGCTACTTAAAGGCTTCCCTATATTGTTCAGATTATAAGTGCAATTTCCTTGTATAATAATAAGAATAATAAGAAAAATTAAAGAAAGAAACGTTTACAGATTTCATACATTTTATTTTATTTATTTAAATAAGGTTTAACAAAATAAATATTAAAAATGGAATTATATATACAATTTAAAGTGAGTAATTTAATTTAAATTTAAAATACAAAATAAAATATATAATAAATCTATATAGTATCACCAAAACAACAGATAAAAAATGTAATATTCATTTATTTTTGAAAGGTCGACAAAAATAAGATTTCAGTCAAGTTGTAAACTGTTCTTTTTTACATGGATTTAAGAAAGCTTTGGTTGACGTTCAATTAAAGATTTATGGGCTAATTAAACCGAATAATCATATGTAATTTTTGAAGTAGCTGACTTTTAAGATAATAAATAAAATAAATCTTTTAAAATAATTATGTGTAAGGTGAAAGCCCCATCACATTTTTTTTACATGTTTCTGAACACTTTAAACTAACAAAGTCGCTAGCTTGCTGGTAAAACTTGTTCGATTGCATTTTTACACTGAAACTGTAAAAACTTTAAGTAGGAAAATCGACTGGCAAGTTTTGCAGTGCAATTTGTTGACAATCTTCCTAGAATGAGAAAGTGGAAGAAAGATTTGAAACATTTACATTCTTTTACTTTTTGCTTTTTAACCTGACGCCTTTAAATTCATTTTGAAATTAGACAAACGTATGAAAATTGTTTATTTTTTAACCGATAAGAAACTTCATAGAAACCGTACTTCAGCTCTTTCATCAGCTCCAAAAATCTGTTTTATCTCGGTCCGCACAAATTTGCAATTTTTTTAAAATTTGTGTCCTGAACAGAAAGTTGTGAAACTGCCAAATGGGCAAGTTAATTCCTTCTAATAAGCCATATTTACTTATTTTTCTATATTCCTTTCAGCAATAGCTTTAATATGAGCACTAATTTAAAAAAGAAAAATTTCTGATATGCCGACGGCGAATCGAATTTTTAAAAAAGGTTTTTATAAATAGAATTAACTTGTAATGAGCATTTTTCTTAATTTACTTGGAGTGAAAGACTATCAAACATATGAGTAAATTTTATCGAAAACTGACGAATTTTGTAATTGATATCCACTGGTATTAACAAACAAATTAGGGGTATATCAAAAGACTTCAATTTGAAAGAATAGCTAAAATGTGGTTTTTTCTTTTTAATACTCTGAATCACTTTAAATTGATTTCGTTTGCAAAGAAGCCTATAAGAGCCATAGACTTTAAGTTTTTAATGTAGAATTTTGTATATGGTTCCAATTTATTTAATTTTATCTATAGCTGTTTTCGATAGCAATAAAAGACACAACTGTAAGGATTTAGCACTGATATTGATTGATATATAATATGCACTGACTCATTATTTATCAATAGTGAACATTTTATTCAGATGAGCTGAGATGCGGAAAGCAGATTTAAACAAAACGTATTTTCATATTGCACAAATAACTATTGAACTACAATTTTGTAGGCAATAAGATAACTTTAGTTTCGATTTGAGAAATCTGTCTTTATAACAATTTATTTATTTAACAGTCAAGATCACTCGACTAGAGCATTCAAACTTGTTAATGTTAATCTACAAGCACTGCTTGACCACATTGAGTCTGTACATTTAACACATATCGAATTTGTTTATAATTGGAAACATTATAGCCTGACTCTGTATTTGTTAACTTTGAAAATCACGAAAATTATGTGCATTACAAAACATATACATATATATACATATATATATTAGTAAGGATTATTTCTTTTTCGATTTCCGCTATAAAGTTGCGATTTGTTTTGTAAAGGGAATGGGAGCTTCTATTAGGCAAACTTCTCAAATATCATTTACATTTCATTCAGTTGAAAGTTTACAACATGGACAATGAAGCATGAGTAAGACACTTGACACTTTCGTTTGCTTGCCCGAGTTCGGCACACAGATACACACACACACACACACACACACCCTCGAACTTACACTCGGAGTGTAAACAGAGCGTCAATTAAAAGCCATTGATAGGATTCGAAACTGAAATTGTTGTCTATGGAAAATATTTACCACCGCAATAGGACAAATTGTTGTGACGTCGATGGTGGTGATGGTGATACATTGCTGTGGTTGCTGCTGAGCTCGATGCTGTCCCTGTGGAGGCGGCGGCAGCGGCGCCAATTGTCGTACAGCTGCTGCTGTAGTTGACGGCACTGGCCGTGGCCACGAACGTCTGATGGTGATGATGATGATGATGATGGTGCAGTTGCAACTGCAACTGGGCCGCTGGCAGCGGCGCTAGTGACGCTGCTGTCGCCGCCACTGGCAACTGTTGCTGTTGATGTGGCAGCAACTGGTGTGGATGTGACGGCTGCGAAGGATGCTGTTGTTGCTGCTGCTGCTGATGCTGATGCTGAGGGTGGTGTGGATTTTGATGTGGATGTGAGTGCAGTTTGCAACGACACTTCTCCAAGAGATTCGTATAGGCGGCGGCGATCGGCGGCGGCGGCGGTGACGTAATATCTAACTGTGGCTGAGGATGATGTTGATGCGGCTGCTGCGCCTGCTGCTGCTGTTGCTGCTGCTGATGATGATGCAGGTGGTGTGGCTGATGGTGTTGGTGGTGACGCGTCTGACAGTCGAAGCCGAATCGCGAATGCATTCGTTTAGTTTTATTTCGAGTGTGTAGCTCGCAAATGAATGACTGACTGAGTGAGTGGTGTCAAAGGTGGGTGCCTGAACAGCTGATTTATGTTACATGTCGCATGTCCGCACGGCGCACAACAAGCCGTGTGGGTGCCGATTGTAAGCCGAGATGTTTGTCGACCGGTTGCTTTGGGCAACTCTTCCAACAGCCACAACGGAAAGTAAAAGTGAATATCGGAAGAGAAAAAAAACCCGCACAACTTGCTGCTGATGCTGCTGCAAAGCTTGTGGTGGGTGGCTCCTGGCGTTGTAATGGCGGAGATACAACTTAGCAACAATGTGAGCTTGTGAGGAACGTAGCAACGGAGCAAGAGCAACCAGAACGTAAGCACGGTAGAATTATAACTGAACTCAAAATCAAATGTTATCCTAGCAATATGCCTCCGAAAAATAATGATGACGATGGCGATGACGGCGGCGGCGCAGCAACGAATTAAATTACAGCGGTGGTGGTGCCGTGGGTGGTTGGGTGCTTCTCCTGATGCTGCGTTGTTATGATTTGCGCCTGCCCATGCCCAGCAGCCACCCTTGTGTGGTGGCAGCAGCAGCAGCAGTAGCAGCAGCAGCCCATATTCAACATTCAACAGCATCATCGCCGTGGCAAATAATCCAACCCAAACCCAAAACGGAGATTTTTCGTAGTAGCAACGGTTTATTTTTCAAGCGGCGCCAGCTAATTCCGGGCTCAAAGTCGCATTTTCTGGGATCTGAACAAGTGTCGAGCGTAGCCCGAAGATGCTGCAAACAGGTGCGAGCGAGATGGCCAACCACTGGCTGGCTGGCAGGCAGACAGGGCAGGCAGTGCGGCATGTGGCAACAACGTTGGCGTCAAGGCAACGCAGCCAATCATTTGGGCGCGCAGTTGCCACCGTGCGCCTACCCTGTTGCAGCCACACAGCTACGCAGCCACACAGTTCTGGTGGTTGCTAGGACATCAAGCCTTTTCTCTCTCTCTCTCTCTTTCTCATACACTCACTCACTCACTCACTCACTCTCACACACACACACACACACACACAGTCATTTGCTTGCTTGCGCAACAACCCCCAGCAGATGCTGCTTGGCCTGGCTCTGGCCAACCAAAACGTTTGCTGCCGGCACGCGCTTTTCCTCTCCATGGAGCAGGGGGTGGGCCAGCAGGTTGGGGGCTGTTACGTGGGCTGGGGATGACACATATGTACACCTGTATGCCTGCCACTTTGGCATTGCGTGAGCGCGTGGAATTTATTCATTTTGTTATCCCGGCATCATCGTGTTTTTACAGTTTTTTATATCATGAACCCATTCAATATGTGTAAACAGGGTATCATGAAGTTGTACACAGGATGTAACAAGCAGTATAGACTATTTTATATGTATAAATATATATTATTGAATAGCACCAACAGCCGAGACGATTTAGTCATGTGTGCTTAAACGATCTCAGAGAGAATCGATATTAGAGACAAATTTGAAATTGTAAGTTTTCGTATATCATTCGCAGAACTAGTTTGTTATTCTAATTGATTATATCGATAACTTTTTATTTCCGATATATAGAAGAAACTCGATTAAAACGAAAGTCACAATTTTGAAGAAATTGCTTTCAAATTGATTAAGAATATACCTTGATACTATTGAGCATCTGTAAAAGTTTCAATTATCTTCTGTAAAAAAAATATGTAAGACTGAAGAGGTATCTCCTAGTCGAGCATGTTTTTTTTCTTCTAGCAGCACATATTTCGAATATTAATTTATTCCTACATGAACTGCACGCGTGTCCACTTTGTCAACAAAGGGGGTGTTGTCCATTGAAACATATTTGACTGTTCATCTTTGGACCCCAGCAGGTGCCTACCTATGTTTGTGGATATAAGAATGAGTGGAGCCTTTTCCATCCTCAGCAGGAAATACTTTAGCTCCAGGACTTTAGAGGTTTCGACTTTAAGCCTTTGAAGCTTTCTAGACATTCTTGGGGTTTGCGTAGCAAATTCATATGAAAAGTAGCTCTGTGGTTTTCGAGTAAAAAGCTTTGCACATTCAAGTTTGTGGCTACAATGTCCTCGGTCTCATGTCAATTTCAAAATAAAACAATAAACCAAAAAGTTGTGGTAAGGTCTCCCTCAGATATGTACTTATATTGGATTTTAATGTTTTGACTACGAACTAAAATATTTAGAACATCTGTAGTTATATTTATATATATATATATATGATTTTTCATCTTATTTAATTAGGTTCCAGAAATAAGGACGAACGTTTGAAGAGCTAAGTGAAACAAAGTTAAGCGTTTGTTTACTAACTTAAACTGTTTTTAATTGTTATATGTATCTATGCTATTATTTATTTATTTATTTTTTTGTTGTTGCATAAGATAATCGATTTAAATATCTTGCAAACTGGGAACCTCGCCGGTATTATTTTTAAATTTACTTTATTTTTATTTTTCATAGCATCTTTGCAGGTGATTTAGTGGATGCCTTTGTTATTAATATAATTTTTTGTATCTAAAAAACTCAATTTTAAAAGCCTTATCCAGATCTAATGATTAATTATAATTAATTATATTAATATTTATATGAAACCATAACCAAATCATTATCAAAAATGAGTCTGAGCCACTTGTGCTTATTCCCAAAACACAAAACGATGTCAAACTAGCAGATAACAAACACAAAAACAATAATGTACTTTTTTACTCCATTGTGTGCATTCCATGGAAATCGGAAAACTTTTTATATGCGTGCAAGGGAAAATAAATTGCCAGGATAACCGACAAGTGCAGACTGCCGAATCCCAAGTCCTGTAGTTTATCCATGCATCTGCAGCAGCATCAGCAGCCGAATCAACAACAACAAACAACAATTAACCTTTTGTGAATGGACACAGCACCTGGCTGGGGCAAGGGTCGAGGTTCATTGAATTTTGAACGCTTTATAGTGCTTCAGATGCTGGCATTGATTCGACCTAAAGATAACAGGCAAACGCATCAATATGAATGCCGACTTGCCTTTGAAAATGATTGGAATCTCGACATCTTTGCTGTTTACCCAATTAAAAGAAGCTCAGCATATGCTGATTTTCCCTGACAGTAAGCCAAAGTTTAGCCACTTGGTCTCTGGCTTGGTTAAACTTTTCAATAGTCAGCTGGTATGGATTTGAGTTTGCCAGCGTTCCATTTTTATTGGCTGTTTGCCATTATTAAATTTGAAGCTTTGCTGCTTCGGTGATTTGATGAGCACCCCACTAAAGCGTATCAATTCAAATATTCTCATTATTTGTTGGCACAGCTTAACAGAGCGCGGGATATAGCGGGGGCGGCAGATAGTGTCCTCTTAAACGTAAAGCCTTTTGAGTATTGTGTTTGTTGACTACACTCGGAAAAACGCAAATTGGCCATATTATTGGCAGGAGGGGAATTCCACCTTAATATTCAGAAATTATATTTACAAAACTGAAGATTGTATTTTTGAGAAAATCGAAAAAAATTTCCTATTTATTAGGGGCACATTTTTCAAAAATCTAGTAAAAATATGTCTCATCACACATAACTCTTGCACTATTTTTTTTGTATTATATTATATATAATTATTCATTAGAATTTTGAGAGATCGTATTTACAAACGTTATTATTAATAGTAGAAATAAACAAAATTGAAAAAAGCCTTTCTAATTTTAAGACATTTTTTCTTGCGTCAACTTAGAAATTTTTTCCAAGAACAAGAAAAAGTTGATAGTTTTCAGGGAGATTTTCTAAATAACTGTTCGATTTTTTTTTTCTAAGTGTAGACATGAGTCCACGTAAAATTGTCAAGGATGCATCACCCAGTGCATTGATGCGAAACAAAGCAAGGCCAATGAAAATTGTAAATAGTCGAAGTCTGTATACTCTTTCCGATAATGCATACGCGAAGGAACTTCACGAAAGAATCATTAATGATTTTACAATATAGCTTTTAAAAATCTAAATAATAATAATATAAAATATTTATTATAATGAAGAGCTTCTCATCGCTCAATACAGAAGCAATTGTTATGGATGTGTGTTTGTCTGACAGATTACGATCTACAATTTGGACAATCAAATAGATATTTGTAAGAGTCGTGATACCCGTTTGGAGGATATTACATGGCACGTATTAATACACAGCGGGCGGTTATTAATGAGTCGATGTGTGAGGGATGGCCGCGCTTCTGTCCTTCCGTCCTCACTCCCTTCTGCACTGACAACCCTATTCCCAACACACCTCAATTTGTTGTGATTACTTGCCATATTTGTTGTTGGCTCTGCTGGTGGTGGTAATTTGCGCTAATAAAATCAAGTATCATGGCCAAACAGTTCTGGTTCGCGGCAACTACCCACTCCAGGCAGCAGTTCGCTAGCTAGCTAGCAGTCGGCAGCGTGTGATCCTGCCCTATAGATAGTGCTCACCAAGTGTAATCTCGATTAATTCATTGTGTAGCGCTGAAGTGGAATATAATAATTATGTTGTATGCGTGTGTGGACTGGATATCATTTTCCATTCGCTTCCCCTTTTGGTAAAGCACACAGCTGCACTTTGCTACACTTTCTGTTACTATGTGTTGCACGTGCCGCAACTGGTGCCGTATACTCTTGTTAATCCTACCTCCTGCACAGGTAGGACTATCATCAGCAACGGGGTGACTGCTGAATCTGCCTTTCTGTCTGTCTGTCTGTCTGGCTATCTGTCTATCTGTGTATCTGTTGTTCGGATTCTTGTTACGCGCTCATCTCAGCTCGTTTCAGTTTTCAAATTAAGTCGCTTTAATTGTGATATCAAGCAAACGTTTAAAATGTACAGGGACTTAGCCGTTTCCCTGCCCCGCATCGCCCTACGGACGACACGCTGATCCCGTGATTATGTTTGTTTACAAAGGCGCGACTTTTGCCGTTTGCTGTTTGTTTGCTGGTTTCCGTTTTGATTTCAGCGCAAGCGGTGCAAGTGAGAGAGGAAGCGATAAACCACCAGCGATTGTAGCGAGTGTTTTTATTTTTTCAACGTAAGTAGCAAAAAAAAAAGTGCGCTTTTTTGCGGTCCACATTTTCATGATAATTAAAAAAATATCCGTTTGCAACTGGATGATTAATTCATAAAGTTTGCCACTTGCAATCATATTTGTTTACTTATTTATGTTTTTATTCTGTTTTAATACGCATATATATGAAATATGTATTTTGCTACCCAAAGCTTTGACTTGTAAAACTTGTATTAATTGGCCACAAAAGGAAAAGTGGCAGGCTTAATTAAATCATGCAAAAAAATGAAATAATAATAAAATATTAAATCGTATTTTAAAGTGAACGTGTGTGTTAAATATAATTATAAAGTTACAGTTTCAGGATTGCTGCAGTTTTTTAATCAAAAAAAAAGTCAATGGAATGTTAAAAGCTTTTATAAATTTGGCCTTATGTTAAATATAATTATAAAGTTACAGTTTCATGATTGATTATCATAATGCAGAATTTTTTCAATTAAAAAAAAGTCAATGGAATTTGTAAAGCTTTTATAAATTTGGGCTTAGCTGAGAAATTAACAAAAAAAATTGTATAAAAATTGTGTATTGAATTCCCATAAAAATTATAAACGCTATTAGTCTTGAGTGACGCGAAGATTTCATACTCTATTATAATTATAATTGTAAGGTTACCTCACTTAGCTGCAATGTATATTACAAACAAGTCATTAAATATATTCTGACGTATCTTAACATTTTTGGTTAACTTTTAGCATTATAATTATATAACATCAGTTAGATAGAACACAGATGATATAGGATATCCATCTAGCTTGTCTTATAGTGTCCATCTAGCAAAATGATTTTATAAACATATTTTTAATAACTCGACTGATATGGGAATATGTACTGGAAGCTTTAAATAATTAATTAACGCTTCTACACTGAAATAAAGCATAATAAAGCTTTACAAAAATATGCGAATGACAGAAGGAAGAGTATGCGACCCCAATAAAATAAATATATTATTCAGCAGGATCAACAGCCGAATGAATTTAGCTCTGACTGTATGAGTAAGATAATACCGAAGATCCCAGATACTTCAGGAGCAAGTTCTGAGAAGATCAACACAAAATAACTCCGATAGCAATAAGAAACACAATTGTACAAATAGAAGAAGATTGGCTGATTGAGAATTTTTATATAGAATGTTTATTCATATTGAACAAACTAATATCAGCCAGCCAACAATGTATTTAAAATTCGGGTTCAGGTTATTTCTAGTCGAAAGCTCACCAAAAACAATTTGCCATAAATGTTGTTTATCTATTCGATTAAATCACTAACAATACGAATAATTATCGAATATATACGGAGAATCAAAAACTTACGTCTGTTCTTATGTAATAAATGCAGAAATTATATACACACAAATATTTGCACATTTGAAGCAGATGTGCAACTATAAATTCTAAGCATTAACAGCATAAAAATAGATTGGAATATATAATTTTACTTTGACTCACCCGTCACCGTAATGAACGGTGTGCCATCATCATCCTCGGTGGCCTGCACCACGGTCAACTGTCCATTGGCAACTTGTTGCGCCAGATCGACGCCACCTTTGATGGCACCCAGGCCGGGTAAGGTGTGTATGGTGGTTGTGCTGTTTGTTGTGGATGCGGCGACGGCATCGCTGCTGCTCACATTATTCACAGCATTGATATGGGCATGCAGTTGCGCATCCTGGCTAGAATCGCTGGTATCCATGGGCAGGACAACACGAATGACCTCCAGCTGATCGGTGGTCGCTGTGGCATCATCGTTAATGCCATCTCTAAGTTTCTTTTGCAAGAGCTGACAATTCTGCAAGCAAGAGCAGCATTCAATGAAAGCAAATTATAAATGGGGCACATTATAATTGTAAGATGGCGAGTTAGAAAAAATGGCAACCTGTGTCATGACATCTTCCAATGTGGCAGCCACAACGACACCATCTTCGGTACAGAATTCAAATGCCTCCGCATGTGTTGTTGGTGTCGATGGTGTTCTCGGCTCCACTGTCAGGACATCTCCTGTTGTCGTTTTGGTCACAAGCTGATGTTGTTGATGTTGTTGTTGTTGATGTTGTTGCTCCTCGGCATCTGTTTGGCTGGCATCTACTGTGGCGGCCTCAACGGCGCTCGTCGTGATGATGAATTGACGCTGAGTTGCCAGACGTGTGCTCATTTCATTTGCTTAATGCTCTACAAGCTAGGATTCAAATGTAACTAAATACAAATTGCTTGGTTATAGTAGTAGTAGTTGTAGTTGTAGTTGAAGGCCAGATGTTTACACTTTCGATGCGGAAATTCGTTGACTAGTTATACGTTGCTGATCTCCTTTCTCTCTCTCTGTCTCTCTCTGTTACTCTTTCTCGTCTGTTTATGTTTAAGGCAATTGCGGTGCTTAAATGTATTTAGTTGCTTAGGTTCCTAACAGCTGCAATAAAAAGTGAAAATTTTGTGAATTTGTATGAACTGTTGTAAGGCTATTAAACAGAAAATAATGTCGCTAAAATTAGAAACTCAATCTGCCTCCCACCGAATTCAAGTGCCATACAAATGCCTACTTCAATATGACGTACGAGAGTGCTGTGGGCATTTATGTTTTTTGGGTTTTTGCTGTTGTTGTTGTTGATGAAATTCCCACTTGATGCCTTTGTTGCCTGCCTACCAACTTGCTTTTGGGGGTTGACTGCCTCCGATGGGGCGTTGCTATGAAATTAAACATTTCACAGGTATTTTCTACATACTTTGATTTGTTCGCCGCTTTGTTCTTTACGGCAGCGCGCATAAAGTAAAAAGCAAAAATGTTCCACCAACTTTTGTTATCGTACAAAAAGACGCCATTTTGAATTATTCTCGACCATTTTCTGTGGCATCTTTTAGGCGCTCAAAAATCTATCTGCAACATCAAGTTGGGCATGAATGCGTACAGAATAGAATTGAATTTATAAAGCACTTTAATTGCGTATTAAACATATTTATAGTATTCATTTAAATTAATTTAACATTTTCTATTTTAATAATATGAATTGAAATACCCTGAAGTCAAAAAATGTATTTCCGTAATCGTTTTCTTAATTGTAATTGTCATTATCAAAAGTACAACATTTTTGAAAATATCTATTGTTATCTAATATTCCTCATTCAAATGTTTAAACATATATTTTAATAACAACACATAAACGAAGCTGGGAGTTCTCGATGTATGCAGTCGAATAATAATGATTAAAGTTATAATTTTCCAGCATAGTCAAGATGGATACAACAACTTTATAATCCACACACAGCTTACATTTTCTTAATACTCTGGAAAGGCACTGCCTGCTTTTATATAATCCTTGCAAATAATTATTGTTAAACTATGCAAAGCACAGATATTAATTATCATTATTTGCTTGACAGCTGCACACGACTGCATTTAAAATATTTGTTTCACATTGTTGTGACTGAGCCTTGTCTATATACAATATTAATTATAAATACCGTAATCTAAATGATTATAATTATGTCTTTCACATTGAATTGTTGTCTAGCTCCGCACACTGCATTTATGATTTTCTCACTCTGATTCACACTCTGTGGGACATCTTTCACACGCTCTCCCTTTGGCCCGCAATTGTTCACTGGGCAACCGGTTCAATGTAAATAATGTTTGTTGCAACGCCGCTGGCAACGCCAAGCCCAGAAGTTAGAGTAAGTATCCAGACAGGAGAAAATGGGACTGGGACTGGGACTGGGAACAGGATGCCGATGACGACCCGGCATACGTCATGTAGTCGAACTTGTAGTCCAAGTTGTTGTTTATAAACAATAAACGAAGTCAGCGGCGAGTGAGCGCCGTTTAACGGGTTTTCTAAGGGTGTGCTAGTGTGAGAGGGGCAGGTGTAGGTGTGGGTGTTTGGGGTCTGGTTCGGTGAGTATAATGCGTTGCCCCCAGCGGAAATGCAAAGTGCTTGGGCATATAAGTTCACAAATCAAATGGTAAAGCGACGCGGACAAGTTCATAAATTCGAAGCGTGAAAAATGCAGCCTGAAAGTTAAGCACAGACACACTCACACACACACACACAAACAAACACACACATACACACAGAGCACTGGCAAGGGAATCACTAAGGACGCTCAACGGCAAATTATTGATCAAATAAGTTTGCCTTTTTTGTTTTTTTTTGTTTATTTTGCTTTTGCCTTATTTTTTGCTGCTATTCGGTTCCGGGTGGGTTTTATATTTCTTACTTCAGCCATGCAATTGCAATTCAATTGAAAGCTTTCCTTCCATTGATCTTTCACTTTCCGATACTGTTCTTGTTGTTGTTGTTTTTTTTTTTCTTTTTTGCGTTATTGTATTTGTAGTTGTGCAGCAGTTTGCTGCGCTTGCTACGAGCGTAAATGTGCAACTACAACACGAAACATATTCACGCTGCTATTATTATCGAGCAGGTGGCCAGTTCGAGCCCGAGCTCGACGTCTAGCTCTATCTCAAGAGCTAACGGCGGGATGTAGGGGGTAGTTAATGGGTAATAGACTTGGTCAATATGCTGTTACCCGCTCTGTGTTTTACTGGTGGTGGTGTCTAGCATACACATTCGATCAGCCGCAGGAGCGAGACAAAAATGCATTTGGCCCAAAAATAAGTCAAGCAAATGGCCGGCAAGCCTGTGCCGCATTTTCAGGACACTTGCAGCACTCCTCCGCACCCCCCTTAGATATGCATTTGCGTTAAGATCCCTAATACACTGTGGCAGCTGCGTTGTCATAGGAATAGCCAGTTGGTGGCTCAGTCAGCGTGACGCTTTTACCAACAACGTAAAATGCTGATTGTTTTTTTGTTTTCTGTTTTTTTTTTTTGGGTTCAGTTAATGTTCAACTCGTTTGCAGGCTGAGTGTTGCATGGCCAAAGCAAGCTTCCAAAAATAATAGATGTGTATAAAAAAAAGGTTAGGTTTTAGGCAGCTGCCAATTGCAGCAATTAAATTTGTATACAGCAGCACACAACTTGGACTAGTTTCGAAATTCGATGTTATTTAAATTATATACAAATTATAAATAAGAATTTATGAGCATACAAAATAAATTTTTAGTTTAGAGCGCTACACTTTTGTTCACATATAGTTTTATAAGCACACTTAAACATTACTTTGCTTATGAGATTTTTACAATATTATCGCATTTAGGATTAAGTTTCATGGACCTTTTAAACAAGGAACAAAGCAAAAATAAATTCTTAGAGATGCTCCGTTGCCTGTGTTGAAACTTCAAGCTAAGCATCATTTCTTTACTTCAGCAGACAATTTCCCAAATATTTCCATACCCAAATTAGACGAATTAATTGACTTCAAATTTTGAAAAATAGTTTAAGGCGCATAATTGAATTCTTAGAGCAAAATATCAAAATTATTTGTCGTTTAATTTGTTTTTGTCATATTTGTATAATTTCTGCTTACTCTTGTGAGCTGTTTCCTTGTTGGCAAATTATTTTTGATTTGGACGCACTAAAATTACGGTCGAATGAGCTCTGATTAACAAGGACATAGTCAGTAGCATCAAAGCTGTTATTCATAATGTATTTGAATGTGTTTTCAATAAACTATAATAAAATGTAAGCACAGAGTCTTTGGCTGCAAGGTAACAAGCTCCATTTAAACAATAAACGTATCGCAAAACCGAACTGTCTCGGATGATGATGGCGGTTCGAGCATATTAAGAGTGACAGTCATTATAATGGGCATCAGTCGTCAAATGCTCTGACAGATATGAGATCTATGCGAACGTTCGCTTGGCATGCGTTCAACACCCCCACCGCCACCCCCACTCCCCCTCCACTCCGTCCACCATCCATTCCAGGTGACATGGCCGTTGCCTCGTTGGCTCGGGCAGCCAAGCACAACGCGGTGCGAGGCAGCAATGCGGAAATATGCAACGAGATGGTTGCTTTACACCTGGTGGTCGACTCGGATCTGTTTGTGTAATGTGAGTGCAACCGGCCATGCCACACGCCACATGGATTTGGATGCGAAGTTGCAGGCGGGTGTCGGTGAGACTGTGTTACATGTCAATATTTGGGGGTTGGTTTCTGTGACCGCGAAAAGGACTCGTCTTAATTGCCTCTAAATGTTGAGCCTGGCTGGAAAAGTCTAAAAAAAAAACAAAAAAAAAAGAAACAACTCGAGGCGTAGGCGGGGTGAGAGCAGCGGGGCAATGAGTAATTTTCTCATTTTCCCGTTCAATGAAAACTCATTTACTGCGCTACAAAACGAATACGAAAATTAGAAAAGTTGTCAGCTTTTGATCTTTCTTTCTGCTTCTTGAAAGTTTTTCTATTTCGTGATTTTCTTTCATATAATTGTGGCACTTGCTATCCTTCAGCTTGTTGGTGCGGCGGATGGGAGGGTCAATAAAATTAGCTCAATGGATTTTTCTAGCACTTACCATATTCAAATGCGTAGTATCATCTAGGTCCTTGATCGATATCCTGGTCGTTGACTTGCATTTCAAAACAACATTATTTGCACATTGTTGGGCATATTATTTGTTTGAATTTTTAACGAAATGTACAAATAATTTGAAGAGCGCTCCTTTTTTGTGCAATACCCTTTTATTTGGTATACAAATTGGACCGGAAGGATGTGTGGCACACACACACCTAGGATCGACCGAGCACCGACGTAACTTGTTGTGTTTGCGTTTTTCGTTTCCTTGGCAACAGCAGGGGACAACAACAAACAAAGTGATGGCATTTTGTTGGCCAAAGAACAAAGCGCGAAATGTGACACAATTATCGGTGTCGCTCTTATAGGTTGCTCTCATATAAATATTGCACGTTTCATCTAAAATAAATTGCTTAAATATATTGCACAGTATAAATATAAATATATTAAATTCTTGTATAAAATTGCTGCACTAAAATGTGAGCAGCTGACTCGGCATTGTACAGTGCTGTACAGCGACCGAATCGCAGCTGCTATCGAAATGTTATTTCTGCTGTCTGGCAACGCGACAGTGTTGCTTGTGCCGGCTTTGCCATTCACAATTGTACGCGACCGTACGGTTAAATTCAATTTGTGATAATACACAAATAGTTTATAATAATTATTTAAGTAAAGTAGAAAATCATGTTAATATATATGGTATGCGAGGTTAAACGACATATTTATGTATATATTTAGCCAATATGTTTTAACGTTAGCTTGCGAAAAGCGTGAACAATTTTGCTGCACTTTACATGATAATTAATTCGCGAGCTGCTATTTTAGCACTTGACTTGCATAGCAACAACAACCAATTACGGTCAAATAAAGCAATAATAGCTACCCTATTTACATATCTACTTGTGCGAAACAATTACAAATGTCTGCATGTGCATGTGCATGTGTTGTGTGTGTGTGTGTGTGTATTGCTGCTCGTGTTGAGCTTTGTTCAATTAGCTAGCCGGTCGGTCAGCCTCTGAGTGCTTGAACACGTGTTGCACATTAACGAACTCGCCCAGACAAACTCACGGCAGGTGTGTGCATGTGTTTGCATGTTTTTGCACTCTTCATGCACAATTTAATTAGCTATGGCGATTGTTTTCAATTTTTTGTGTCTGTCCCCAGAGCGGTCAGCTCGGAAGGTGAACGTGTTTTCTGTAGGTGTGTGGGTTTTTTTTCTTTTGTTATTTTTATGTTTTTATTTCTTTGTTCACACTTGTGCAATAATTTCATATTTTGTTTGGCTTGAGCGTTCTTTGCACTTTGTATGACGCAATGTATGTCATTTTTTTCGCCCCCCCAGTTCTGTTTGCTGTCACCTGCAGGCGCAGCTTGCACAGCACGTTTGCTTGCGTAGATTTCCGTTGTAACGACAAAAAACAGGCAGTGCCTAAAGCACAGATGCTTATGTACATTGTGTATGTAATGGGGGCGATACTTACATATGTATGTATCTAAAATGACAGACATTGGCGATGCGACTGTGTTACAACATTGTCAGTGGTTCTCGGCATTGGATTGACATAACAACGTCTTCGTAGTGCTCGGATTACAGTCCACCCACATTCGGCGTATGCGTAACACGGAGGCTCATCGTCTTCGATGTCGCACGGTGGTGTCATTGCCCGCAAAAATGTTGCAAAGCATTAAAAATGCGATGGCAAAATCGGTTAGGTGATTGCGAATTGTGAAAAGCTTCTAAAGTTGTAAACTTATCTTACTCGACAGCTTCAGAGAATTACTTTTTCTTTATTTTCTCTCTCGCTCTTTATCTCTCTCTCTTCTCTCCCTTTTTGACATTTTAATATTCTTATTGCCAAGCTACAAACGTTTAACAATTATTGGTCTTATTGAGTATTTTTTTTACATTTGAATAGTCCCAGATTTATTATATCTTTAATTTAATTATTTTAATTGAAAATTTTTAATTAAATTACTTCTTTTTAATATTATATAATTTAATTTGTAGCTTCAATTTTAATTTTTAAAAGCCATTTGTAATATTTTATTAATGTTGGTTTATTATTAATTTTTGTATAAATTATTATTTTATTGTTACATTTCCTCCAGACAGAAACAACGATTTGTATGTTGAAGATTTTGAAAATGATGGCGATCAATGCCAAAGGAAATTAAAAATAAAACATAAACTAATGCTTACATTTTTCATGAATAATGTAAATAATCAAAAATTAATATATATAGCTCTATAATTATATAGAGGGTAGTAAATAAATTCACGTTTGTATTATTTATACATATAATATATATATGAAATTAATTTAAATTTAATTTAAAAAAAAGTATTTCTTAATTGTGAATTTTTTCTTATCATAAAAAATCTAATTTCCATAAGAATCCAATTATCCGACTCCAAAAATCTTACCATTATACAACTAATATTTTTTTTTATTTAAATTAAATTAAATCCAATTTATAATATTATTTAAAATTTATTTATTTAATGTGATCTAATAACCATCCAGTTACAAATTAAATTATATAAAAGAGGGAGAAATTAAATTGAAAATTTAATTTAATTTCAAGTTTTCTTTAGGCGATTCTAATTCTAAGCTGATTTTATTATATATGCCCCCATACATATGTACATATGTACATTCATACATATACTCAAGCTAGCCATGGTCAGGGCAGCTGGCCCTAAAAGCCACATGCAAATTCAATTAAATTAGATGCTATTACTTGCTAACAACAAATGTGTGCATATCATTAAATCGATTTCCTCTACGAACGAGGTTGCCTTACAAAATAAAAAACTTTTGTATATACTTACTTATTACAAACAACATCAAAACAAAAGTCCAAAGCTACCGCGTCACCTTGTCGCCAGAGTCTCAAGCCTAATGGGAAATTCGAAACCCGCTTTGTCTGATTTATCAACAGAAACAGCAACAGCAACATTTGAATGCAAAACGTGTAAGACAACTTGTAAGTTTTACATAAGTTGGCGGGTAGCGAAAATAGAACTCGAGACCGTAAACAAATACAAATTACTTTGAAATCAAATGAAATGCAAACAATAATTAAATATAAATAAAAGTAAAAAAATAAAACAATTAAAATTGACAAACTCACAGTTCGACCAGCAGTTACCCTGTCTATAGTTCATCATTTAACCATTTAGAAAATTAAGGCTTTAACTACATAAGCATATCTTTTATTTATTTACAAACGTAAACAAACTTATGTAAATAAGTAAATACATTAGTATGCCTATTGTAAATATTTATGATGTAAATAAATAATTACATCAGTATGTTTATGTATGGAAATAAATACGTAAGTATGTTTATGTATGGAAATAAATACGTAAGTATGCTTATGTAGTTATTATCATTTGTATTAAGCGTATAAATGCGGAAACATTTAATTAGGTCTCCATGTGCGTTTAAATGAGTTGGTTATGCATATAATAAAAACGTGTCTAAGTGCTTATTTTTTTAATCATTGCAAATTGTGGGCGTAATCCATTATTATCGATTCGAGATGTTGAGAGAGTAATATGAAATCACATTTATTTATTTGTTTATTTTAACAAATCACTACTAAGGCGTGTAGAATTTAACATTTAAAAAATACTCATAGAATTTGACCATACAAAAAACCATAAAACTGAGAAACTATTCCATCTAGGTGTGAAAAATAATTAGCTATGCATAACCTCAAAAGTGTTATGTTTACAAAATATAAATAAATGTATATACATTGTATGTACATTGTCAAAATTAAACGACGTGTTAGTTTTATGCCCATAAGCTATTTTATCAAGGTAGTATATAGTTTTTATGCCTATGTCAAATTTAAGTTAGACTCAACATAAAAATATCCGAATGAGTTTGAAAAAAAGCCCTTATTTCTATAACCTTTTGGGGTAACCTTTGAGTACAAATACCAAAAAAAAAAAAACAATCTATCTCAAAATAATATTCTCTTAACATAATTATTAACACTTTTCACTAAAACCTATTAGGGCAGTTAAAATATATATATATATGAGGCTGCTTTCATGCCGTGTAGATATGAGAAACATGCAAACATTTGTGTACAGTAGTTTTATATCTTTAACCAACCGAAAATGGGTAGCATGAGGCAAATCAAACAAACGCTTTTTATCTTGATCTGTTTTAACAGGCCAGTCGTTAAAGCCATTTTCGCCTGTAATCATAAAAGTAGAAGACTTTAAATTTAGAATATATATTTTTGTATGTTAGCGTCAAAACAATTTTAGTTCATTTTTTATTGATAACTTATTTTCATAAAAATAACACTTATTATCGATTACCAACAACGGTGTCTTCGTTATTTATTCTAAAGGTTATAGGAGCTTGAGGCAGCTGTTTAATTTGTACATATTCCCTCGTATCAAATCAAAATTGACAAATCATTTTCGGTGATATGAAATTACTTAAATATGATTGCTATCTAACACAGCATTTTACAAAGGCGAATGAAGTTCAATTTTATTTGTTTTTTATTTTTTAATTCGAACCACGTTTAACACTACAAATAAATAATTAAAATAAATGTGTTCAGTATAAGTTAGCTTTATATAAAATAAAGCAGATAAATATTCAACTGGAGTGCGTCGTAGTAAACACAAAATGTAGATGGTTGGGATAGTGTTTTGGTCTATGTATAGCTATACTTGTAAATATATATTAGAACAGGGTGTCTTCAAGTGGCCCAATCTTGATTGAAGCACCTTTGCTTGTGTATTCACATATAGACACTTAATTAATGCAGTAAATTTATTTTTGCCACACATCAGCCATTAGTAACATTAAGAGACAGTGTGAGTGTGTATATTGGTGTGTGTGGGTTGTTTACTTGAGAATTTTCATTATCGTTATTTATTCAGTTGCGGAAAACACGTGTACGGGTTCACGACTGCCGACGCCATTTTTTTTCAACAAATATTTCTCAAGAGAAAAAAAGAAAACTGTTTTTATACAAACATAAATATATATATATTTATCAGCTCACAAATACAGATGAACTTGCGTATGTATGAGGTTTATACATCCAGTTTTTATTGGACTTACCTCGACTTTGAATTTGAAATTTTGGCAGGCAGATAACGCTATCGCTCTTAATTTATATGAGCCAAAAGCGTGCACGTCAACATTTTATTGTCAAATACATACAAACACGCAAACACATTTAAATACATCCATGTATGTGTATATATATATATGTTCACAAATTTATATATCTACATATACATATTAAGTGTGATGCTAATCGAATACGGTAAGTTAATCGAGCAATCTGATTAACACACACCCATTTTGTTTGTCCCGTTGCGGGCGTGCTACTTTCAAGCTGCAGCAACTTTTTTGGGCCTGGCCACTGCCCAAATCACTGTCCCGCCTCTGTCTGATCAATATCGGGCAATATCAGTAGCTTGTGCTAATAAAGAGGTGTAAATTGCTGTTATTTATGTGCTTACGAATGTATGTATTTACATCCAAATGTACAATTGTATATGATCGAGTTATAAATGTACATACCTATATATACCCTAATATACACATAATTTGTATACATATACACTCAAAAAAAAAAAAAAAAGAATTGAATTTCATAAAATCACCATTCTTTTTTTTCTTTTTTTTTACTAAAATTATGGTTCTAACTTTTTTTTTAATGCTATGGTACATTTTTCGAAAATTAAGATAAAATATGTATAATTTCCAGGCTTTTTTTTTTATATATGTACATCGAAGTATTACATTATTTTATTATTAAGCATTTGTTTTTAAAGATTTCACATAGAATTAAATTAAATATGAAAAACTTAAAATTTTCTACTTTTTTAAAAATCTAATCTTAAGAAATAAGATTCTGAAAATTATAATAAAGGCCTTGCAAATTTGAAGACATTTTTCCATAGCTCTCAATTTATTCAGCGCGATTTTCAGTTTATTTAGAATTCTTTATTATTGATCCTTACTAAGTGTTTAGAGCAATACCTATTTATCTGATTTGAAAACACAATAAACTTTTTATTACAAATCCAAAGCAATGAATTTTTTTGAAAATTTAAATCGAAATATCTGCCAATATTTAAAAATTCAAATTTAATAAACTAAAAGTTGCTGTTGGGAATATACTTTGCATTCCATTTAAAAAATAATACAATTTTCTGTCACATTAAAATATAGTCATAAAAAAATTCATTTGAAAGAAATAAAATTAAAGTTACGATATTATTTGCTTAATTAAAAGTTTTCCAAATTTTGTATAATAATTTATATTTATCGATAGTAAGTGCAAGTTAACACTATTATTTACATTCATGTCTTGCAGAAAAAAAACAATATGTGAAAGTATGTTATTCAAAAGTCTAGCTATTCAAGAATCTTGATATTATTTCAAGGCATCGGGCAACAGTTGTGCAGTCTGTTTTCAATGTGCACACGCTGTTATTCTGCAAACAATTTCTGGAATTCTTTTTATTTGTATACACAAGTCGGTGCTTATGAACTTATATTATGTGAGATCTGAGGACAGGGCATGTGCTAGTCACAGACGCTCGATTATAGAGCTTAAGACATTATACTTTCTTCACATTAATTCTGTTAGCATGTTGTCAAATTTATTATATTTTTTTTTAGCGCATTACAGTGAATAAGAATCAACATCGTATTATAGCTGATATTGTTGTTATATCTAAGTTTGCACACACGTTAAGCATGTAGCTCGTGGTTGAATTTTACACACCTATATGTACATATGTACAAGGTATTTATGTATGTATGTATGTGGTCGAGCTAAGCAAACGCCAACAAACCAATAAAGATACAGAAAGCGACACAAATAGAGATACAAATAATCGCATAGGGATATGTAAGTATGTGTGTATATACAAATATATAGCAAACTAACATATATGTGTGTGTATGTGTAATCAGTCAGCGTTAGGGTCCATGTCCACACATAAACAATCCACAAGTGTTTGTTTTTTATCACGCCGCTAGCGTCGACTATACAAATAATACAAAAAAAAAGAAAAAAACAACTTTGTAAATTTTTCTGCTGTTGCTGTTGTTGCTGTGGATATGTGTCGCTTGATTGCATTTCATTTCTGTGGAAATTCACAGGCCACGTAACGCATACCGATTGTCGACACGTGACCATAACAAAAACCAACTGTTTAATGCAAGTAAATATATAAAAATAAAAGACAAAACCAAAAAAAAAGGAAAAATAAAAACAAACATATATTAAGCAATTGAGCCAATTTGAAGTTCTGATAAGGCAGACGGCAGGGGCTTGGAGTAGCTTGGAGACATTTTCAAAATCATCACCATTTTTGTGGTCGGTCATGCACACGTGCCCATCGCAGCGTATTTGTAATAACCGGGTTTATTTGTTTCGTGAAGCCAGCGTATACGTAATGTGACATGTGATTCGCTATTAGGAAATGGGAACTGCGCTGTGGCGTTGCACGTGCCAGCAGCGTCAGGCCAGATCTGAAGTATACGTAATGCACAAGCACAAACATATATAAATGTGTATATATATATATATATATATATGTATGTAAATGTGAGATCAGCAAATGGCAGGAATGCAGCTTATTGTTATGTCAGTCAGCCAGCCAGCGCCCATTTTCTTTGCGCATTGGACTTGGACACGTTTCTGACATTACTCGATCGTGCTGGGCAGTGACTTGTTGCTTTGATTTTTGTGTTGACCTTTGGCTTAGCGCTATAAATAGATTGCATGCCTTTTGTGACTGGCTGGCATTTCAAATTAATTATTGTGCTGGAAAATAAAGCGAAATCAACAACATTTTGAACGTATGTAAATGTGTGTATATATATATGTATATGTGTATATATATATATACATATATAACCACATTTGCTGATAGTCAAAAGAGATACACACACACACACACACGCACACAGCTTAAGCATTTGCACAACACGTGACCAACAACAAACTGCCTTGTGTTTTTTTAATATCTATGAATGTGTATGGCTTAAATGTATACCAAACACATACACACATTTGTATTTTTGTTTTTGTGTGTGTGTAAAGCTGACACGCTCGCCTCGCGTGAGATATTACGTCATGCGCTATGAATTTTTTTCGCGCTGGCTATGGCCGCTTTCAACGTGTCTTGATTAAAAAGCTGCTCACGCGTACATCAGAGGGAGCGAGAAAGAGAGTGGCAGAGAGAGAGAGACAGAGTGAGAGAGAGAGAGGGAGAGGGAGAGAGAGAGCGGGAGGGAGAGGAAGACTATCGTGCATAGAAAGAGAGAGAAAGTGCAAGGGAGATAGAGAGATGCGGTGTTTTATGAGGGGCCAACACAGCGTATGATTATTATTTCGATTAATAATAATATACGAAAGCCCGTCGGCCAGCTAAATATTATAAAAACAAAATGTCTGTCGACTGGGAGAGCTTGTGCTTTGCATGTGTGCTTGCATGTTTGTGTCTGTGTGTGACTGTGAGACAATCGCTTTGTTGCCAAGCAATGCTCATTTCGACGCAATTCGCCGTCAAACGTCGACGTTGACGGCGCCGCCGCCCAATGTAACAGCTGCGAATCGCTTTGGAATTTGTCACGTTCACGTGTTTTATGTGCTGCTGCTGCTGCTGTTGAGTGTTGTTATTGTTTTTGTTATTGTTTTGCTTCTTGCCTTGGGTTTCTACGCCTGCCTTTCAACTTGAAAGCTGTCAGACAAAAAGCAAACAACAACAGCAAAGGCAAAAATATCACGCAACGCACGCCCCGATGACCACTGAGCTCTTCTGTAACAATAATCTCTACATGGGTGTGTGTGTATGTGCATGTGTGTGGGTGAGTCTTTATCATCAATAAAAAAAGAAAGACATTTATACTTGTATATATACTATATATATGTACATGTGTGCCTATAAATTATATTTATAACAATCAGTAACTAATACAGTCACCTACTGAACGATTATTAATACTATATGTATGTGTGTGTGCAAGTAATTCACACGCAACTAATAATAACAATGCTTGTGTTTTTCTTCTTTTTTTTTGCTTGCGAGTGACAAGAGTCCATTGCGTAGGTATGTGTGTGTGTGTGCATTTGCACATAGAATAACTATACGTATACATACACATGTATTTTCCTTCGTATCACTCAAATAGGCCCATGAACCGCAATTCTGTGCAGTTCTCTGCTATGGCTGCCTGAAAGTCGCGACGTCTCGTCATCAGAAATGCACCGTAGTTCTAAATAGTTGAACACGTGATGAATATTTTATACAAACAGAACTGATCAGATAATTGATGGTATTCATTAATTATGCAAAAACACATAAATTTGAAACAGATATGTCTATTAGTTGGTTTCGGACTATACTTAAGTTTAAGAAAAAATATCACATATTTAAGAACTGTCATCATTTGCATATTCTGTGTTCGATTGAGTCCACACCTTAAATATATATATATAAATTAGCTAAAATACGACAAAAATATGTAAAATTATACTCGTCATGGGCCCACTGTGGCAATCACGTTCTCCGCGCACGAAATGCGATAACATCAACGCACGTACACACACATTTAAAGAGATCCAAAGCATACCAACACACACACGCACACAGAGACACAGCGTCAGCCGCAGCCCAGCATGACTTGACAAAGTATTCGCTCAGTGTCAGCGGGGCGGTTTCTCTCTTGCTCTCTCTCACGTTTCTAGCTCTTTTGCCACATTCATTCTCTCACGTCATCAACTCTCTCAGTTTGCTCACAATTTTTGGTCTCGTGTTGTGTATTTGTATGCCCTTTATCGGAAGTACAACAAGCATTGTTATTCACTATCTAACACACTAAGTCAATATATAGATTTTAACGTAAGCTTTCTATCCTCTACTTTTTGTATGTATGTATATAGTCATTATATATTATATTATAAAATCCACTGTTTTCAAATTTGACATAATCGTACCATACTTTGCTTGTACTTTTACAATTGTATTAATATTATAAAATGTTGAAAATTATGTCGTACTGTTACGCAATAATTGAATAACAAAAATAATAATATGCATTGCTTCATTGATATAAATCTTGTTATTGGGACATTTGGAATATTGGAGATATTATAGGGTATTCAGCGTTCGATACGTTGCATTTATTTTTGACGCCTTGGTTTTAATTTTAGCCCGTTCGCCGTGTATTTTTCATTCACTTCAATTCGGCCGTTCGAAGTGAGCAGTTGGTGTTAGCAGCGTTTCGGACAGCGCAAGTGTTTTGTTCAACAAAAAACAAAAAGCAAAAAAATACAAAATTATAGGCAACTGCCGAGCGAGCAGCAACAACAAATTGAATGTGTACACACACATACATATATGTATATATAATAGTGCTGTGTAGTAAAATATAGAAACATACACACGAAAGCGCGGCTGCTGCTGGTAAAATTCCACTGTGAATCGAAGCAAGTTGTATATCAATAAAACAAATATCAAATTAATAAAAGTGCAAAACGTGTAAACCAAAAAATAATAATAAGTTAAACACAAATAAAAAAAACCGAATCACGTTTTTCGACAATCGTTCGGTGCTGCGATTGTGTGTGTGTGTGTGTGTGGGGCAGAGAGCAAGTCCCGCGACCAAAAACGAGACGTGCTGCGAGTGCAAAGAAATTTCAAGGTTCCCACAACACAGCAGCCGCATCGGTGGCAACACGGGACACCACTAGTCGTCTAATATAATTACAGATTGTGCCTGAGGCAGCTTACCGTGGTTCAACAAGTGCGTTTCAATTACCACATTGATAAACGTCCCTCAAACTGCCAACGCTTAGTAAATTTAAGCTTCACCCACACAGATAGTGTGTAGATAAAAGTGAACATAGTGTGTGTTGTGTGTGTGTGTCTCTACATAAAAAGAGTCTTATCGCTGTAAAGATTGCTGGTGACTGCGTTATCATAAAAACAAAAGGCCAACGCAACTGATAAGCGCTGACAAAACGCAGTCATCACTAAGCATTCAACAATAGACAAACAGACAAGCAGACTTCTGACGCTGAGTCGACTTATCAGCAAATATAATAATTCACTCCTTCAACAAAAATTCAACAAGAATGAAATACGACATGTTATGCTACATATTGTAGAACGGTCGAGAGTGTTGCAGGGCTGCAAAGAGTATTGGATATTCAACAATTGTGATTAAGATCAATTAACGACAGTTTTAATAAATATATATCTTGGCATATATAAGCAAGTCGCTTTGTGTGATCTAGTACTAAAAGTAAACCCACCTGAAAATACCACCAAGCAAGCAAGCAAATAAGCAAGCAGGCAAGCAACAATTTGTAGTTCGCCGCAAGTGAATTCGCCGACAACCTGTTTGCTGTCATAAATTCGTGCCCGTATTCGCCGGCGTTTTAGCTTGGCCATTTCTGCACTGACGTAAAGAGTACACAGCACACCTTCCACCATTCCACCACAATTGCAAGCAACGTCGGCGCAGCAGCAGCAGCAGCAGAGGACAGCAGCCAACGCAATTTTGCCCAGAAGCAGCAGCAGCAGTCAGAGCAGCAGCAGCAGCAGCAGCATAAACAACATGGAGCCCTATTGGAGCGAGTCAAACGGACATGCCGCACATCCGGTCAAGTATGAGAGGTAGGTATAAACGGAAACCCTTTGCCACAACACAAACACAACCACTACAACAAACAACAAATAAAATAAAATCCCATTCACTTTCACCTGCGCGCGTTTAAGTTTATACATATAATTTATTGTTAGTGTAGTTTTTAATAATTAATCATCTTTAAGTTGTAGTTTAAGTTTGTTATTATTTTTTTGTGTTTTGCCGGCTGTATAACGGTCTCTTATGTGAGTGTCAATGTGTACACATTTCTTTGTATGTGTGTGTGTGATGATTGGGATTGGGCGTGGAGCGTGTGGCTATTTTTGGCAGTTGAGCGAACTAAACAAGAAAATTAAGCGAAAAGCAACTGAAAACGTGGGCAGTCTAAAAATCGTTGACTCTATTTTTAAATTGAATTTTAAGTTTATGTATTTATTTGTGCAAACATATAGCAAAAAAAAAAAAGAAAAAAAAGAGAAACAATAATGGACAAACGTGACGCTCAGCTTTTGGGTGGTTTACCCCTTCATCTCCATTTTGTATTTTGTATTTTGAACTTGAATCTTGTTTATCGCGGCATTTTGTGAAATTTGCAATTTTGTTTTCTTTTCTATTCTATAGAAATACTTGTGCATACATTTGTGCACACTTATTAAATATTCATAAACAAATAAGTGGTTGAGAGACCGGACTGGGAACCGGGTTTTAATAAAGCCAGCTTATTTTTACTAAATGTCAACGGCCAAAACATGGCTATAAATAGTCAAAAGCAACGGCAACAGCAACAACAGTCAATTGCCCCTCTCATTTGATTGGTCTTTGTGGGCGTGCGCTCAACACATAAAAACAAACGCACACACACACACACACACACGCACACGCGTCAGCACGTGAGTGTGTACCAGTCGGTGTCCTTTTGAAGGTCAGCTGCAAGTGTTGTTGTCGATTGTAGTTATTCGTCTATTTTAGTATTCAGTATCCATTGGCCCTAAAGCGATTCTTATCAATATACATATGTGTGTGCTTTATTGTCAATACATACATACATGTTTACATTTTGCATATAACGGAAACTATCTCCAATACCCAATAATCAAATATGCAACAGCCAAAACAACAATAACAGCTTTATTTGCTTGAACGGGGCAAACAAGCTCATAAATACAAATTAACAAAACACATTTACCAATTGGCTTTCATACAAGCTGGCTTGGGTTTGTTTTCGAAATGCTCCCCAAAAGCCGCGATGATTATTATATGAAATGTGTACACAATGGTGTATACAGATGTATATGTATGTATATATATACAGTGTGTGTGTATAGATCATCTGCACAATTGACATCAATTAATCAGTTAAGCAGTCTAAGGTTCTTTTCAATACATATTACGTATGCGTCACGTGAGCCATTAATTGTAGGTAGACATGAGGCAATTGACAATAATGCATTTAATCTCTTTACAATGGGTACTTTTTGTAATTGGGGAATTTTAATATAAAACAATACGCGTAAAGAAGTAGTTAATTTTTGTTTTCATCTACATGATCGTCATCAACATTATGCTGATCGTTATCGTTATCGTAAACATTTCGTTTCGTTCGCTGTTTTCGTCACTTGTCACTTGTGAGGCAAACAAACAATCATCTGCACGGTCGTCATATATTTGAAATGTTTATAATTTGCACTAGCGCGATGCTTTAACAAAGAACAACAACCCAACTACAAACAAGTCATCCATAAACGAGATAAGAAAACACGCGATAAAAGTGAAACGATAGTGACGCACACTCATTCCGGATAACGTATCTACTGTGTACATAAGTATATATATATATATATATATGTATATATATTGTTAGGAGTGTGCATGTAATTGGCTGGTTGAGATATATATATATATATATATGTATATATATTGTGAGATCTCGGGTTTGTTGCACGACGTGGCAGCTGCTCCAAATGCAAAAACTCGAAAACGCAGCTGTCTCTCGATGTTTTCGATTTCGGGATCTTGTCATCGGCGTGACCTCAACCAACCAAACTAATCAACTAATCAACCAATCAAACCAATCGGCCATGACCCAGTGATAAGTGATATGTGATTGGTGCCTCTCGCACGAAGAGAAGTCTGAGAAAGTGTGTTTGTTTGCTGGCTACGTTTGTGTTACATTTCGAACTAACGCCAGCAGCTGCTGCTGCTGCTCCTGCTGCGGGTGCGTTCGTCATGTAGGTTAAGCAACACACAAATGTTCAGCAAGACAACACGTCAAAGCAAGCCGCAATCGATCGGGTTTATATATGTGTATAATACATAAAAAATATATTTATCTGTTTATCTGTTTATAAAATAAGTGCTTCGAATAGCGTGTGCTGTTTACAAAATAAACGCGTCTTTTGCGCTCTATTAATAAATAAAATACGGCCCGCATTAAATTATATCTAGCTACACACATATAAATAGGTACGATTCTCTCTCTGTTTCTGTTTCAGTTTCTGATTCGAATTCGAATTCGAATTCAAATTCGAATTCGCGTCGTCTTATCTTCATCGTTCGTCCATTGGCGTTTCCAACGCAAGCACGTAGACTCGATCGTTTCCATGCAGTGCAATTTACACACACACACACACCTATGCATATGCATATACGCACCACCACCATACACACACACAAACGCATACACACATTCATGCATGTATGTGTGTATGCACCAGTTTGCATGCCTTTCTTTATAATCGTGTACACCAACGAAATTGAGCTCTCGATTGCCTCGTGCAGTTTGACAAACGTGCCGCAAATATTGAGAAATTTACACAACTTGCTAGCAAGTGTGTGTCTGTGTGTGTGTGTGTGTGTGCGAGTGTGTGTGTGTGTATGTGCGAGTGTGTGTGTGTGTATATGTATTTTTGTGTGCTTTCCTTGTTGTGATTAATGCACTCAACGTTGACTGGGCATGATTCCGATGCGAGTCTCTGGGCTCTGGGGCCTGGGGCCTGGGGCTGAGTGGGGCAGGTGAGTCAGCCGCGTCCATTGGCTGGGCCCCCATTGCATTTGATTGCCGCTAAGTGATTTAAATAGATGTATTTTTTATGTCAGTTGACCCAGTTATTAAAAGTATTCCACATGCGCACATGTTTTTGTTTTGGGTCACAATTTTAGTGTATATTATGGCTAGACATACATGTATATCTCTTCTATTTAGATACTCATTCATTACAGACGCCACGAAGGTTGGGTTATTTTGAGTTTTTTGTTCATTTCACTTGACTCCCCTAAAATTTCAATGAATTGGCACGTATATAAATACTTAATTAAGATGCTTTTACATTTTCCCATTAATTGCACGTATACAGTTTAAATTCAAATGGTCTTATACGTTATTATATAAAGTTCAAATGCTGGATAGTTATTAGTCGAGCAACTTTTGTTGTTCGTTTTTATGAGGCGGAATGTCGTAAAATAAAGCTATGAGTAATGTCAAAGTAATGCAGATGAGAGCTCAGAAAAAGGCCAACTAATACTGCACATTTCAGACATAATTTTCAAAAAATTTAAATAAAAAAATAATATTAAATTTACATAAATAAATAAATACTCATAAAATATTGCCAAAAGTGTTTCACTTTATGTAATTTTTTAATATTAATATTTAAATCAATAATTATTTATATGCATTTTGTCGATTTATGAATGTATATATTTAAAAAAAAATAATTCCACAACAATTTTCAAATTTTGAATTACTCACTCAACGTTGCATTTTACGATTTGTATTTCTGACGTACGAAAATATTTCACGTGGCTGAATCAAACGATGCCCATTTCCGCTGCATCGTCATCTTTCATTCGTTAAATATATATGTATGTATATATCATGTATGTATGTGTGTGTGTAGTAAGTAGCGTATACGCTATGAATCAAATGCCGCACTCATCTTTCGTGTTTGGTTGTTGTGCTGTGCTCAATTGAGCTCATTGTGCTGTGTGCTGCTGTGTTGTGAATTGCTGTTGTTTATGTTTATTGAATTGTTTTTGCTTAGACAGCACGAAAGCTAAAAGGATTGGATGGATGGTTGGGGGGAAGAGATGGGAGAGGGGCCAGATGCCAGTTTTGCAGTTCCGCTTGCTGGTCAAGCACTGTTGCCAAGCACTTCATTCGACACGTGCACAAGTTTTGCTGACAAATCGGTTTAAGCTTTGCTGGTTTATTCTTGATGGATAAGCACTCTACTCTAGAGTGTGACAGCTTAACTCTGGTCATTGTATCACGTATCACGGGTAGCCATTGCTAAAACATTCAACACTCGTGAAAAAATCGCCTTGAATATTAGAAAATCAGACTAAAATATTATCTTGAAAAATTTTCTAGATTTTAGGAATAATTTCAAAATATAGGAAAAAATCTTCTAAGAATTAGAAGGGATTTTCTATTTTTCAGTAATATATTTCTTAACAATATAAAGTATTTTCAATTTAATTTTTAGAAAAAATTGGCTTTCTAGACTCTAGACTGCTATGTTTAAATGTAGCTGAAATCCAAAGTTTTTTTAAGCATCAGAAAAGCTTATTTTAGACTTCTTGGTGAACGTGTAAAAACACCCTTTAAATTGGACACACTTTTTCTACATTATCGAAAAATGTGCCCTGGAATCAAGAAAAGAAAAACTCTAATTTTTAGACAAAGACAACATTCCGTTTTAGAATAATAAGATGAGAGTTTGACGATTTTTTTCCCTGAGTGTAAATGCATATACATTTATTTTAAGCTGCAACCGGTTGTTGTGAGATTTCCAGTTAGTCAGCCATAACAAAAACATCTCACGTGATCGCTGTGAAACACTCAACTTGTTTTGGCTGTCTTTTTTTCTTTATTTGCTGTTTTTGTATTTATCGCCTGTGACGGGCCTACACGAGTGTATTTGTTTATAATACAATGAGGTATATACATATATCTTATCAGTGACTGCAGGTGCAGTCAAGGTTATAGCGGCCACTGACAGTGCCAGTCACAAAGTCACCAAGTCGCGCCAAGTCGTAAATCGCCAGACTCGCAGAAGGAGACTACGACTAAGATCACTTTTGTTTTTTAGTTGATGGTCGCCGCTAATTTGCCTAAGTCAAGACAACAATTTATAATATTTATATTTGTGTTTACTTTTTTTGTGATCACTCCACTCGTCTGTCTGTCCCTCCTTTCACCTCCGATGTGCGTCATCGTTTTGCTGTTCTATGTGTATTTCACAATTTTGCAGCACATTCAATTCGGTTGCCCAATGTCAACTGTGTTTAGTGTGGAAATATGGAAATTCTATGATGATGTGGTGCGAAGGTCTCTTGCATTTGACACAGTTTCTGTAACGGAAATGCGTGACATTGAAATAGTTTACACAAATATTTATGTAGACGCTGACTGTAACAGCAAAAACATCAACAACAATAAAAAAAAAACAAAATTTGTTAAACAAATTTTCCACTTGACAATTGATTCAAAGTATATTTGTATCTTTCGCTTAGTCACTTCATAAGCCAACTTGATTAGCAACCTGATTAATATGACATGTGATGTCGATCTGCCAATCTTGAAATCCTCATGTTGCAATAGTATATACTATATCAACAACTCAACTAGATTGTGGCTTTATCTCTATAACAATGTAAAATCACTAAAGAGTTTTATTAAGAGGCACTTGGGTTGTTCCCATCGCGATTAGACAAGCCAACAAAAAAAAAAACACACACAGATAAAAAGTTCAATTTGAAAATCGTTTCTTATTATTATATATTATTTTATTATATATTATATGGGTGTAATTTGAAGAGCTTGTCTGTCACGTGTAGCTGACAAGTTATCTTATCTGCGTGGTCAAACAACAACAGGAAGCCATAAAGCTAAACACAAATTCATAATTCTTTCATTTTTTTTTTAGGTTAATGCACGATATCGTCAATAACAATTACATTTTGGAGCCGCGCGTGTGCAAAACCTTCTATTACTATTTATATTATGTTGTTTTGTATAAATCTCTGTTAATTTGAGGACTCTCCGTCCGTTCATGCTTTTGGCAAGCAGCGTGCGGCTGATCAACAGTTGGCGTCACTTTGCTTACGAACTACCTGCCGTGTTCAAATGCATTTGCACAGATCGCGCTGGCTCATCTATAAATTTAGACGAGCGCCGATCGTTGCCAATTACTTAATAGTTGAAAAGTGCGACAACGGCTACGACATCGAAAATGTTTTGGCACCAAAAACTCACAAAACGCCAACACGAACGTTTGCCAGCTTTTATTTTTTGTTGGGCGGACGCAAGGGGGCGTGTCCGCCGGGTTCAATGTTCAGCGTTCAGCGTTCAGGGCATCGCGTAGATATTTCATGAATCAAGCGAGTGATTTGGTATCTGACGCCGTTCGCTGCGCTCAAAGGTCGACCACTGCAATTGACTGTCACTCGACTGATGTAAATTAAGAACACGCCCTGCACACGGGACTATCTCTGTAATTGTTTCCCAAGCAAGGCCTGCTGCACGCCATCCCATATTCCAGACATAAAAACTGTTCGAGTACATTCCAGATAGGCAAATGCCCTGTGCACAACTTTTTAAGTATTTGGTATTTTTTTTTATGTACAGACATGACTATAAAAATAGCGCACAAGTAAAAAGAAAAAAAAAATGGTTCATGTAAGGTTCACATTTTTCCACAACTTGGCATGCATTTCTTTATTTCGCATCATTTTCCGCCATTAATTAATAGAAAAAAGAAATTGCTATGCATTTTTGCAAATCGTTCTGAAAACAATAAAGTTTTTCTTGTATTTTGAAATAATTTCTAAATATACCAAGAAAAAAATCATTAAATTAGGAAGGCCTCTTTTATATTTTTTAGAAATAAATTTCTTAATAATAGAAAATATTTCTAAAAATAGAAATGCAAACGTTTATTTTTAGAAGAAAAATTTGTTATGATATTTAGAGTTTAAATGTTTCGAGTTCAAATCTCTGAATATCTGAAGCTTTAATTCAAATTTCTGAAGTTTTCTGTATTTTGAATAACCGGCGTTTATATTTTGGTAATGTTTTTAGTTATTTTTGGTATAAGCATTATTACTATATTTTGAATAACTGCTTTCCATTTTCGTCTCTAGCTGTCCACGAGTTTTTTGGCGTTTAGCTTTTGATAATTATTTTCAATCTTTCTGAACTTCCAAGCACAAATCAACAATATTTTAAGGTTATCGCTTATTTAGTTTAGATTTCTCCGATCACTGGTCATGGCTGTACAGATCTCATATAAACAATATGACAGTGCGAAGTGCGCACACATCACTCATACGCAGCGATGGCCGAGATCTGTGCGTGACGTTTATAGCAGCGTATGACTTACAACAATGAAATCAAGTCGTCTACCAAGTAGTGGGTAGATAGCCGTAGTAGTAGTAGTATAAATAGCAGGTTGCTAATTTATCAGCTTGTGGATTTCACAAGAGTTTTGCTAAGCGGATAAAGTGAACAAGTTATAAGCGCCATGCACTGGAACGTACTAGTAGCCATCATGCTGTCACACATAGGCATTTATATGTATACATATATATGTGTTGGGTGTGTGTGCGTGTGTGTATATATGCATACAAATATAACTCACACACATATGCGACAAATAGTGGCGTTTTGGCGCTTATCGCGAGCGTCGCTCGATGTAGCAAAAATTCTTCTAGCGTTTTCTGACGCTGTCGCGCCTTCTCAGCGTTATTTTGTTCAGTTTCAGTTTCTTGTTTTTAAATTTTGCTGTTTGTTTTGGTCACCGATTGCTTGGTGCCCATTGAAATTGACAAAATGCTTAGGTTTTTTTTTTTTTTTTGTTTTTGTCGTACTTTGTTTTGTATGCATCTTGTTTTATTTACTTACTTGCCACACTTGGCAAGTTTTCTCGTTAGTTTTTCAGCAATTTTGTTCTGGCTGGCTGTTAAAAATATTTATTATTTTTGTTTTTGTTTTTTTTTTTATTTTTATTTTGACACATGCTATGAAAACGTGTAGAACCCATGTTTTGATACAAAGTGAGCTTTTGAGCTTTTCATAACACGTGTGGGCAATATTTTTGGGGAGCTGCTGATTTGTGTATGTGTGTAATTATTGAATATAATTCGTATTGTTCGTCTGTAATTACAAATTACGAATTATTAAATGAGTAAGCAACTATTTAAAGCCCAATCCCACACAACATAAGACTCTCACAAAATGGCAAAATTCAAGGTGTGTAAGTGTAAGTATTGATGTGTCTCTGAGTGTGTGTGTGTGTATAACTTGACTATATAGCTGGGTATGTTTTGTAATTGAACGATTCAACGATTCTACTTTACTATGCTATTTGTACTTTAAGGCACATTTATCATTTTTTACTACAACCACAACAAAACAAAACACTCGTTTGATTTTAGCCAAGCGACCACTTGGGGTGCAAAAATTGGTGGCCCTTTTCGGGGATCAACTCTCGGATTAGCTGCTGGTTGACTACCAACAATGGATCATTATAAGTGAATTGAGAGTGAGATATGTAAGAGAGTATAATGAGAGAATGGGCTGAGCGACAGACTGAGAGTTTTGGTTGGTGTTCACAGCTTTACAATTCGATTAATACATTTTTCTTTTCTTTTAAAATTGCAGCCTAGGTTTATTGTTTACATTTACATTTAATTGAAACGAAATAAAGCATTGCCCATATTGAAGCAAACACATATATATATTATTTAAATATATAATAATATTTAGATTAATTAGTCTTACGTTTCTATTTTAAGTCAGTTTAAGTTATGCGCCTAATAAATGCATTACTAAAACAATGAAAACCAATGAAAAAAAAAAAACAAAAAAAATTGACAAACTTTTGAACAAGATTTGGACTTATTTGTGTTTCTTATCCTTCCCACTTCTTTTTGCATATGAAACAAAACGCATACGAATTATAGCGAAGCAGCTGTCTCCAGTTTTCCTTATTGCACAGAATCTAGTTTAAATTTTTCAACATCGGCAACAGCATACAGCGAGGATGATGCTGAATATGCCACCGGAAGACGTAATAAAACATCGAGGGTAAATATTACAATTTTAGAGCGAACAAAAAAAAAATTCGCGACACTAATCGAATTTGAAAAGCAAGATCAAAGATCAAAGATCAAAGGATCAAAAGAAAAGAGCGCCCGAGTAACAAGGTTCATAGCTTGAACTCATATTCTGGGACTGATTACTGGTTACTGATTACTGATTACCGATTACCGAATACCGATAACCGATTATCGATTTACCAAGCGATGTCGATGATTTGAGCCCACTTTCGCACGCCCACAACTCACATAGAACGCACACGCACCGCATCCCGGGAAGTCGCCGCTTTTGACTCTTTTTTATTGTATGAAGATAATACAACTTAAAACCAAACCAAAATTGTTGAATTGAATAAAAAAAAGACAAAAAAAAAAAAAAAATGAAAACAGAAAATCACTGGCCAGAATCATTATTTAGCATGATAATGGTCCCAGAACACCATGATCTTTTACTCTTACTAGTTAGCTAGGCTCTGTTAAAACTCAATTTAATTGTATCCCCCATTTGCGTGTGCCTCAACAGCAAGATCCATTGTCGCATCGCATCATTGAGAAGCGGCGACGCGATCGCATGAACTCCTGCCTGGCCGATTTGTCCCGCCTCATACCGCCACAGTATCAACGCAAGGGGCGTGGCCGCATCGAGAAGACCGAAATCATTGAGATGGCCATCCGACATCTGAAGCACTTGCAGAGCGAGTGCCTCCAAAAGGAGAGCGAGTATCGCAGCGGCTACATGGACTGCATGAAGGAGGCGGCCAAGTTCCTCTACGATAGCCAAATGCAGGACTTTTGCTATCGACTCCTGACACGTCTGCAGGAGCACATCGATGAGGTGTTTAAGGGTAAGTACAACCAGCAGTATCAGGCACCATAAATATTATTCATTTAATGATAATGATTCATTTTTTGCTAATCATCAGGATTATTTTCTGAGTAAAACTAAAAAAAATAATATTTATTTTGTATTTTTTTTTAAATGATTTTTTTAATTAAAAAACAAAATTATTTATGGTCCCCTTTACCTATTTGTATATGCTATTTGTTGATTGTGTCTCTGGTTTTTTGTTTATTAGCCGACTGCTACAAGTCCAGCCGCAGCTGCCACATGCCGGATAATGTGAGCGCTTCCAGCGGCAGTCCGCACCAGGCCTACCATCCGCCGCTGTGCCATCTGCGTGATATGCTGGGCACCTCAGATGTGGAGCACAGCAACGATCATAACGATGTCAAGGATCTAAGTTTTCGTAATCATCTCAATCAGCTGCAGCGCAATCAGCAGGCTGCTCTTGCCACTGTTGCCTCGGCGACCAACGCCAGCACTTCCACGGCCAGCATGGAGAGTCAAAGCCCAAGTAAACTGGCAGGGGGCAGTGGTAGTGTCAATAGCATCAATGGCGACAACATACCCACCAATTCAACCGGCTCGAACACCGCCAGTAGCACTGCGGCCAGTTCAACGACATCGATATCCACATGCCACATGCCGCTGGTCAAGGCGGCGGCTGCAAGCGCCAACGCAGTTGGTATTGCTGCACACCAGCAGCCGCATCAGGCGCCAGTGATTACATCGACGGCGCCGCATCATCATCATACGGATAGCAGCCAGCACGATTTCGATTCGTCGCGGGAGCCGATGCTGCACACGGATACCTCCAACATGCACTCGCCCCCGCCGCGGGATGCGTTGCTGCAGCAGCATGCCCATCTGGCCCACAATCATCATACAACGGACGACCTGCTGTCGCTGCGGCTGCGCAACTATTCGGAATCCTCACACGAGATTGAGCACAACAACAACTACAAGTACAAGAACCACATCAAGGAGCGTTTCGTGCACGAGCTGCACGACGAGGAGACGAGCAGCGAGCATGCCCCACATCTGCAGAGCGAGCACTCGCATTCGCATTTGCATGCGATGTCCGATCACTCCAAGGATGGCACCGAACCGGAGATAGCGCCCATAATGGCCAAGAAACGTAAACTGGCAGAAGCTGCTTGCAACGGTGATCTCCCCTTGGATGTGCACAGTGAGGCGAGCAACACAAATCCGCCACGACCAATGGGTTTGGGGCGCGAAGACAACAAGCCCTCGTTCAACTTCAGTGACATCAAGGACATCAAATCGGAATTGCACAACAGCAGCTCCAACTCCAGTCCACTGCTCGCAAAGCTGAGTGCTGCTGGCGCCCAGCTGAGCACACCCAGCAGCACCACCGCACCAGTGCCGCCCCGGCATTCGTTTACCGTGCCAATCTTTGCGCTGCACGGCCAAGGCAACTATTATGTGCCACTAAATGTGGACTATAACTCCCTTGTGCCGTATCTCAACGGTGTGGATCTGCTCGAGAAGAGCTACACCAGCATGCCCGTGGTGCATCCCATTAACATCAATGTCAACTTCATGCCCAGCTCGCCATCTGCCTCACTGTTGGCGGCAGCTGCTGCCGCCGCTGCCCTGGCTGCTGGGAAGCAACAGGGTGTCGTTGCCACAACAGTGGGACCTCTGAGCGCAACCACGGCGACAGCTGTGGCCAAAGCCAAGTTGGAGCAGGCCATTAGCAACAGCTGGTAGCGGGTCGCCAAAATCGCTGGCGATAAGGGCAGAGAACAGTTCTACCTCACTACTTCTGTGAATAATCATCAAATGATTGATTCCAAAAATATTGTGCGAAAATTGAAGCTGTTGGCTACAGCAGTATAAAAACACACACAATACACACCAATACACACACACACAATTATTTGTCTGCATAAATTCGACAGTTTAACTGAAGGACAGTATGTAAACAGTTAGTACTTGGGCGTTGGCCCAAAAGGTGCGCCTATTTATTGATCTACTGAACAAACAGAAATGTACATTAATACATAACTATTTTAAACAAACTGATGCAAATGAGTCGACCTGTGGTCTGTGTGAACAACAACAGTTTCCAATGTTAGTTTTGCATTACAAATAAAAACAAATAAATATGCATGTTTTGTGCATGTTTTGATGCCAAGAACCAGCCCACGTTGAGAAATTTAATGGATTCAAATTACAAAACTATATAATTGTGAATTAAATGTATTTTTAGATGTGTAACAATTTTTATTGTTTTTGTTTTTTGCAACTAAAATAAGCGTTGTGGTTTCAAATCAGGCTCCAAGTGCGTTTTTCAAATTAATGTGAAATTCATAAACCACTAGTCAAATCAATATAGAAAACATGCAAATAACAAAAACTAAATGAAAAGTTTTTAAATTTGATGTGTACATATTAACTTAGAAATTGTATACAATTTTTTTTGTTATAGGTCCTATAATTTAGTAACAAATTATTTTAAGTTAATAGGGCTCGAGGTTTATTTGAAAATCTTGAGCAAATACAATTTTGTTACAGTTGATACCGAATTTCATTTTCGAAATGAGGTTTTCTATGAATATGTAAATATTTAGTTGAACACTGTTTTTGCTCTTAAGTTTCATAAATGAAAATTTCAATGTTGTGACATGTTATATGACCTTCAAATTTTAACAAGTATAGTGAAAATGATGAAGAAATCAACAAATTATTTTCTAATAATGTTTTCTGCGTATAACTAAGAGTTTACTGCACAAAATATTCATGCTTAATGGATTTTAATATGATTATTATGTTTACTACAGTAGAATTAATATAGCATAACTACGTTACTGTTTAATATATTTTATATATGTCTGTATACTTATGTAATAAAGTTGAGAAAAAAATCAATAAAAAACAGTTTTTTCGAAGGTTCATCGAGGAAATACAATTTAAACGAAACGCCTATCATCCCACCCCGTAAAATAGGAAGATCTGATTATAACAATTAGAGAGGCATTGTTAAGTCATCTGCAATCCATAAATTTACGAAAAAGCTCACTTTTTAATTTGCAACTTCGATGAGTAGAAGGAATCTTGCGGTTCCATAACAGGATGGGCCCATTGAGTAGGGATTTCAAGAAATAGATTGTTAATCATTAGGAAATGGGAAAGAGAGTTTAGTCAATTGAAAAGATTTTTTGTTAGTGTGTTTAGTTGGATTATGATGAGAATAAATGTATTTGTTTGGTTTTTCTATATTCTAATCGTAAACCGATTATAGATATACCATATTCATACTTAAACCACAAAGCATCCAAAATATATTTCATCAGTTTTTGAGTTAAAGCCATTAAATTTGGTAGGTTTATTACTAGGTTTATTACGTCTTCAAGAACAGATACAAAAGATTGTATAGCTACGCCAAACCGCATGAATGAATAACTAATAAAAAAGGATTCTAAGGATTCAACCAATTATTATCATTATTATGTTGTTAGCGAACACTTTCCATCAAAACTGCAATACGAAATTTTGTGCAAAACAGGAGAAACAGACGACAATTATAAATATCGGATGTCGACGTAATTTACGGAATCAGACAAAGTAAATTTGTTTCACTAATTTTTCTACTTAATAACTTTGTAGTCAAGTTTGCTAAATTTACATATTTTGTTAGTTTCGATTTGTTTTTAACAATGAATGTTATGGATTTTGGAAATCTATTCTTATATCAGTGAAATAGTCTTTAATATTCAAAATATAATCAAATATTTGGATATATTTGTCACTGGCCAAGGTTGCTGATTATGCAGAGCAACAATCTTAAAGAAGCTGTTGAAGGCTTTTGTTGGCCGGTGAGGAGAACCCATCTCTTTTGATTAAAATGTAATTTTAATATATTTTTCTTTATCAGAATATAACAAAGCAAAATAGAAGCTATTACAAGCACTCAACACTCACATGGCAAAGTGACAGAGAACATCTTCAACTGGCATATAATATGCAACTATAAAATGGTGTCAATATACACATATCCTTTTTATTAAATAAAAATTTCATTATTCACTTTCTTTTTCAAGAAAACAATAGTTATTGAGATTTTGTTATTAAATGTAATTTACATATTTCTTTTCTCAAACAGTTTTCTTGATATTTATAATAATTATAATATACATTTATTTAATTTATAGGTCTAAAAAATGTAACTGCTTATTGTGACTTTTGGCTATATCTTCGTAAAAATGGTCCAATTTCAAAGGATAAGGTATTTTTAGAATTGGATCGATTTCTGAAACAAAACAAAAACAAATTAAAAAAATGTGAATGAAGGTCTTGCGAAGTTGGCTAATGATATTTTGATAGATATAGGATTAAATAGAAATAAATTGTTGCTGGAAGTTGCTGCTCCAATGAAAGGACTTAACAGGATCGTCAACAGGAAGAAAACCTAGTTTTGTTTTAGTGAATCTGCTCAAATGCATGGTCTAGTTGGATCATTATTAAAAATATTTAAATCAAGAGAAAAATGATTTGTCGAGAGGATTACAATGCAATTACGAATGCGGATTTGTCTTTGGCTGTTTATAGTACTATGGTCAAATAGGGTTTTCGTATTCCAGTCAAAGCTTGTTGTGTTGTTATGACAAAATACGATTTTAGCTATTTTAACTGAGAGAATATGAGAAATTACTTAACTGATTTGAGTTTTCACATAATTACAGCAAGTGTATGTATTTATTAAATAAATGGCATACAAAAATACTCAACAGTGGAAGAACGAAGCTGTGCACAATGACTAAAAAATTATTTACAAACCCACCTTAATATATGATTTGATAGAAGAAAAAAACATCCCACATAATTCATAATAATAAAAACACAACGATTCAAGTATTCGGAAAGCATATACATTGTATATATAGTTTATATTAAAAAATAACGGGGTTGTCATGAACTTATTTACTGGCCATATAACCGTTTTAATATGTAACTCACTCAAGTTTTAATTTACATCAAATAATTCATTAGATTTGTATATTTTTTATTTTTTAACTAAGTGGTAACAAATTTTCAAGTACCACACTGATAAATCGTAGTATGAACTAACTAATTTTTAAATAGAATGTATTGTGTGAAATATTTAAGGTATATAAGTATATACATATGCATTATTGTATGGATGTCAAAAAACTAGCTAGAAGTTATAGTTTACTTAAACGACTTCAGTCAAAATTAGGACGCATTTCAACCTTTTGCAAAAGCGTTTCGTTGCATTAAAATAAATTAAATGAATTTAAAAACTAAATACAGCACACGTTATTGTGTTTGAAACTGAACTAGAAGCACTTGTACGTTACGAGAGGGTAACGGCAAAATTGTGAAACAGCAATTTATGCCGTAGCCATAGGAACCCTTTAGATATGCTCAGAGCATTTCGATGTTTGTGCGCTTCAGAAAAAACTCAACCATATTGTCCAAATCGCAAATGGATGTTTTCGATTTCTTAATATCTGCTGTGAGAACTCGCAAATTGCAAGTATAATCAGGTAATCGATTGAGACTGGCAGACATCTCCCGCGCCATCTGCTTGGCCACCTGTGCAAAGGTCAGGCGTGATTTGCCTAGACGCTTGAGGGGGCTAAACAGCTCGTGTATTTCCTTGAGCTCGCCATAGTCCAGTACTTGCCATTGGCCACTCTCCATGTTCCATGTGAAGAGAATGCGACATTCATACTGCCCCTTGTGGAAGTTACATCCCATGCGGCCGGTGCAATACATGCAATTCGTTGGACTGGTTGGCATCTGATCTCGTGCCGAGAATTGTGCCATTAGCAAGCCGCTGATCGTTTGGCTGAGCGGGCACACATTGATGACCTCATAGGCCCAGTCGTGGAACACATTGTACATCTTTTGATGCTTTTGACAGATCATGCTTATGACATAATATGTGAACGTCTCGAGGTCAAACGAATGCTGTGTTATAATGATGCTGCTGCAGCGCAGGCGCTGATATGATGCCTGTGATATCATTTGCATTTCCGAGTAGCACGAGCCGTGTACCTCCATTGGCAGTGATGTGTGATATCCCGGCGAGATACAGTCGTCTGCCAATAATTCGATATTCAGATTGGATATGATAAATTATTCGAAAATGATGACTTACCTTCCTCACTGGTAATCACCGAAGTGGCATCATCTTCATCTACATAGCGACGTCGCAGTTTCTTGGTGCACACCGGTTTCTCTGGCATCAGGCCGCCTTGTACAGGCATCTCGACAATGCGCTGCTCATCGCGACGCGGCGATAAAAATGAAAGACCCGCGTTGGGTGACATGGAACCGCCAATGTCGAAGCGCTTCGCCATAGATACCTGCAATGGCGATAGTGCACCCAAAGGTCCAACAGGCTTATAGCTGAGCATCTGTTGCGTCGCCTGGGACAGCGGTGGCGACTTTTGATTGTATATCTGAGCAGCCACAGTGGCTGCATTTGCATTGCGGCTGGGCGAACGCATCAGATTCGAGCTGGAAGGTGGTGAACGAAATCCTATATGCGGCGGCGTCTGCGCAGGCGGTGCCGGGTGTGCCGGATGTGGCGAGGACGATGGCGAAGCACATGGAGAATTGTGGAAAAAATGAGCTGTAGGCGAGAATCGATGCAAACTACGTTGAGCGGTTGAACTGGCAGCCGAAGGACTGAATGTTGTACGTCCTGCTGAGCGTATTTTAGTGAACGGTATAATGTTTTCAGAGTTATCCTCGGAAAACTCGTACTTCTTGTCAGCAAGCCGCCGCTTGCGAAATATCGAAATCTTTTCACACTTTTCGTTGTCCTCAGAGAACTCGTATGCATTGGATTTATCTGTCATTGAGCTGGAAGTCGATGTGTTCTGTGAAATGGATAATGTTAGTATTTGCGATAGCTAAATTTGTATGGCAAAACTTACTTGCATGTCAATAGTTGTGATCCCGTTGCGGTAAGACTTAGTAACAATGCGCTGATTACGCTTACGCGCTTGGCTGGAATCATTGGGGCCAACGGCATTTTGCATTACCACTGGCAAGGTGGTTTCCGACAGTGTCATGCTGGACGCAGCCATGCCATTGCTGCAGTTAGATGAGAAGATTATCTTCTCGTTGCAGACACTGTGTGATTCTGTATTGGAGCGCTGTTGAAATTCGTTGATGTTGTTGTTGATGGCATTATTAGTGCGTTGAGTATGCTCTGTTTCAATATCACTAAAATCGGCAATTATTCGCGCTACAACGCTGTGCTCACTGTCCGCCTCAGAGCCAGTAAACGGGACAGAGCAGCGATCCTCCTCACTGGCCAGTGGAGTGCGTGGCAGCAAAAGGGTCTGGCTGTGCTGTGTACCGTGCAGGTTATAGTTTTGCTGTGGCAAGGAGCTGCTGGATACGGCCGGCGTGTCTCCATCAATTCGCAGCATGTGCATGAATCCATTCGAGATAATAAGAATGCGCTCCGGGCAGAGAAGATTGATGGTCGGTTCGAAGCGAGGATCCGTTTCGGTCGAGGAATACTTTGTGTGCACAGTCAAATGGCAATTGATACAATGAGCGTTGTAAAAGGAATCTGAAAATATCATTTGAACAATTAACTCAATTTATATATTTGTAATATATATATACGTTACATGGACCGTCATCGCAAAGCTTTTTGCACTCCAAACAACCAAGCTTAGGAACTTTAACATATGTTATATAGCATTCTTCACCCTCTTCTGTAGCGGCACCATGTACAACCAATATTTGCTTGTCTGCATTTTTCCACTGTGTCATGGTAACCGATTTCAGATTATCGACAACATGATCATCAAACAGACGACGCGAGAAAAAGTAACGTAGTTTTTTGTGCGGTTGAAACAGCCAAAAGTAAAGCCTGTAAAGTAGAGATTGATTAACTGCCTATTTGGAATGCCGTTGCATGCTTCTCCTGCTTCACTTACGTATACTTGTAACCCACATTGAAGGAGTAATGATTGAGGGACGTATTATCGTTGCACTCGACCCGATGACTGATCATATACTGCCCACAAGCAGTCAATCCCATGAAGATGTGCCTGCAAGAATATCACTTTGAATAAGAATAATTCATTTCCTTGCCAAGTCCTTGCTGCTGCTTACCCCTCCATCGCATTGCTGGCCAAAACGTCCTTGAGATATAATTTTAATCTATTTGGCACCCGGTCATATGGAAGCTTCTGTTTCTGGCCCGCTTGTGATCGACCTGAAAAAAATCCTGTTCGCTGCATGTGAACATAAACACATACATGCATATATATCAGTGTTGGTGTGCATTAGGCAAAACATTAAAATGTATGTGTGTGTTGAAGGTGTGTGTCTGTGTTATTTACATACCTCTCTGTCGTACAACATTTGCATCAAGTTTCGCGTTCGCGTTTGCGGCTGCATTGGGTGGCTGTGCGAGTTGGTCGGCTCCTCAGCCTCATCGGAGCTATCCACTGTGGAGATGTCATCGTCATCCGAGGATACTCCCGACAATGACTCGACGTAATTTTGGTAATCAGTCTCCATTGCCTCACAGACTCGAAAATCAGACTTAATAATTTACCGACAACGGTAGCAAAGGGCCGACACTATAAAAATCAATGATCAGCTTAAACGCAGGCGTTAGCAACGGCCAAATCAAGTCCGGCACACGCATCGAATCCCATTTGCTTTGTTGCAGTCTTTTTCTAAACTTTTACATTGGAAGCGAAAATTTTTTCGTTTATTCAGTTTATTCAGTTTATGGATGATAAATTGTGGCGGCCAGCCGACAGACGACCGATAAATGGTGTGACCGCCGTACTCAAAATATAAGTGTTATCGGTCGCTATTCTTTGCTTAATGTTTTCTGTTATCTGGCAAGGCTGTGCGCGCGCCACATTTTTAATTTTCAAACTGATAATGATTTTGAAACATGAATTAAATAAAAATGAATTAAATTACTTATCTACGGTGCTTATAACGTAGTTGACATTTTCATAAAATACTTTAAATAAACTTAGGCAAATTTGGTATTTCTAGTGTTCATTTCCTATTCGGTTTCTTTCGTATTTAAGTCCACTTCTTTTTCCTTATTGCGCATCATGCTAAATGGCATTGGTACCTCTTTAGTGGGCTCAGCGCCCGTAGCGGAACTCAGTGCTGGCGGTGGTGGCAATAGCGGTTCCTCGTTTGTTCTGTTAAAGATCACCCAATTGTCGGGTCTGTAAAAAGAGGTATACATCAAATTAGTATAACTTGGGAATAGTATAAGCGATTTTCAAAATCGATTATTATCGATTGAGCTCACCTGTCTGGTTTTGTCAGCACGTTGATGGGCGCAAAGGCCACATTGGGAAACTGTTTCTGTCCGTGATGAGCCTGTGCTGCACGTTCGTCATAGTCCTCAGTTTCGGCTAAAATGTTGCTGCCCAACTGCTTACCTACACTGTCTGGAAAATCCGTTACCTTGCTGTTAGTCCTTGTGGTTGACATTATAGGTCTCGGCATTTCAGTCATGTACGTTGTCTGTGTCTCGTTGTCCCCTAGCAGTATGGGCAGTACGAAATTATCGTCCAGGCTCTCAGCTGTTGTGTGGTTCGTCGTTGAGTTAATGTTATCTTTATCGCTGATCCTGGAGGATGAAGTGATCAGGTTTGCCGTCTTTTTTTCTAGCTTGATGAAGTCAATGGTCTTGTTTGGTTCGTCCTCGTCATAGACATAATCGTCAGTGGTGTCTTGGGTACTCTCGTCCGTGGTCACATTTCCCAGCGTTCGGCTCAAGTAGTCAAAGTCACGTACAATGTCCAGTTTGTGGTCCGCCTTTGCAATCTCATTGATGACCCCACCTGCCTCCTTCAGTTCCGACGTGAGTCCGTAATAAGTCTGTGTCTTTGGTCTGCCACTGGAAAAGGGACTAGAATTCTGCTGCACAAGCTCACGATCGTAGTATAACTCGCTCTGGCTGTGCGAATAGTCCGGTTTGTAGGGCGACTGCGAGGAGAAGCCATAGCCGCCATTTGAACTCTGCGGATGTGGATATGAACTAAATACCGGATTGAGTTCCGGACGCGGACGTATATTAAAGCTGAATGTGCTATCGGCTCCATTGGCAACAGCGGATCCCGAAATGCTGCCAAACTGTCCCGAGCTGACGGCACTGCTAGACGCATGCAGAAAATTTGTGTGGGAATTCGGTCCTATTTGGGAGCTACTCGAAATTGGATAAGATTGTGACAAAGGGGAAGCTGTAGGACGTGGTGCATACGCAGAGTTAGCTGTGAAACTGTGTGTGCTTGAGATTGGGTTATTTATTACATGGGTCTCCTGATAGGGACGCTCCTTGTGGGTCACAGAAATCGGACTGGGAGACTCTGTGGGACGTCTATTGAAGGGATTGGTGGCAAAAGTTAAAAAGTTTTGAAAGATGTTCGGTGCTCGTGTTGTCAGTCGTTTGTCATCGTTGTCGTTCAAGTAGATAATTGTCGGTGGCTTGGTTCTCTGCGAATGCAAGATCGTGTCCCTATGCGTTTGTAAATAGTCGTAGCCGGGCGTGGTGCTGCCATAGTCCAAATAGTGTGGTGCATAACTGTTCTCGTAGTTGCTGTAGTTGGGTCTGTAAATGGTCGAAGTCGTGTAATCGGCATACTCATTGCCAATGGGTCGTGTCACAGGGCTCTTGTTCGTCTGTCGTATGTTTATCTCGATTTCGTACTGATCGTTTGTATTGGGTCCGTTTACAACTACCTTCTGTGGATACACCGGACGACTCTGATAATGACTGCGTAATTCGATGCCACGTTTGGTGGTTCTCGATAGTTTCGATGATTTGGTTGTGCGACTAACCCGGACAAAGCTTCCTGTAGTAGCTGATGCTGTTTGTGCTGTTGTTGTCGTTCGATTGCGATGAGCGTGCAATAGTTTACTAACCGCTGGTGTGTCTGTTGTTTTTGTCTTCAGTAGCTCATGGATGTTCACCCGACGTTGCACCCTCTTCGTATTAACTAGCTCGTCGGCAGTTTGTCCAGTATCGTTCAAGTGTCGTCTGTCTATACGGACTGTCGTTGTCTCAGGTCTGTCCATGGTGAGAAGTCCTTCGTCGTCCGCTCGTGATTCGGGTAAGTCGGTATCTGTTGCTGTTTTCGAGTGTGTGTCGTCATCTGTCTCAGTCGTCGTTGAAATACCCTCCGCTGCGCTTCTTAGCTCAAGGGGTACATTGTTAATAATTACGGTGCGTTTGGGTGTTAATCCCCCTGGCTTTCTGGTGATCACGTTTTTGACTCTTGTGCCAAGTTTGGGTGATTTGTCTAGTTTATTACTAATACCGTTAACTGATGTCTTTCGAGTGGGTGTCACATGTCGGTTGTTGTGCGTCTTTGTCGTGGTTAGAGTCTTTCGTTTCAGATCGAGTTTGTCGTTAATTTTGTGAATGCTACCGTTTGTGGGTCGGAGAAAACCCGTCGCTGAATTGGGATTGAAGTCCACATGTGGATTGCCCGGCTTAATGCGGTTCGAGAAACCCGCCTTGTCCTCCTTGACAAAGGACGTGGCACTCATTTGATTTTGTCCTGAATCCGACTGCAAAATATTGAATATATGATCCGGCTGTTGCTTGGATACTAGAAACGGATCTTTTTCTAGCCATGGAGTCAGATCAATTGAGCCCAGAATGCCAGAGCCACAAGTCTGACGTTCGTTGTCCGTCATCTCAGCGGGTATGAAAATGTGCGGCTGGAAAGTGCCACCACCCACGGCCCGGCACAACACCTGCGCCAGCGATACCCTCCTCAGCGAGTGCAGCTGCGCTGGTGTAAAAGAGCTCTCGAAGTCACCGTTCTCGTACCAAAAACGATCGCCTCGACGCGAGTTGCTGAACTGCTGCGCTATGATGCAGGCAAAGGTAGGACCAACCAGTCCACCCACCACGGGTCGCTCCGCAATCCCGCCAACAAAGAGATCGATATCGTGTACGCTGCGATAAGCGTGGCCAATTCTCTTGGCTGACTCCGGACCCACCACATTAGCTGCAGCACAAATGGGAAGAAGATGGGGTAAGTACAAGCTGGACGTGTGATTCTCCAGAGAGTCATAAGGTTACCGAATTCATCCCAGCTCTGAATGGGAGATAGGCCACAGGGCACACGCCACGAGGTGTACGGCGCTAATCCATGATCCCGACCACGCTGTATATTGATGGCGGCCAGGTCTAGTCCGAAGGGAAAGCCTGGTGTCTGGAATAGATGATTGGTCAGCTCGGGCGTGATGAACTCATCGCGCTTCAGCGCACGCTGGGAGGCCAATCCGCGCAGCAGGCGATGAAGTGAACCCGCTGTGCCAATATCACCATTTTGGAACTCCTTGTGCAGACTGACATCTAGAAGATCAGAGATACAGAGAGACAGTGAAACATTGAGGAATCTCGCTTGTCTGTCGGTTGGATCAAACTCACTGTTGTTGATCACATTGTGATGGCGATCGCATCTCATGTAGGAGTTCTGCACCAGGGAATGACCAAAGCGAAAGGCAGCCGAGGAGAAGGCATTGGCCACAGTGGGATTGGTCTTGGAATCGTAGCCCTCATAGTAGCCTGTGCTCAGTAGCTCCAGGTCAAACAACTTGCATACCTCCTTGCCCAGTACGATGGGCAGAAACTCCCGATAGGTGATATGCTGGAACATGGCGCCCACAATGCGTCGCGTCTCCTGGAAGATCTTCTCGTCGCTCCAATGCGGATTCAGCTCACTCAACTCCAAAGCAATGCGATTATGTTCGCCCACCCAGACATGATGCATGGCCAGCAGACCGGGCTGCTCACCACTGCGTCCATCGCCCGCTCGGATGCACTGTGTCGCAATCGCACCGCGCTGGCAAACATCATCCGCCGCATTACCACGACCATAGATCAGTTGACCGTTGCGAAAGATACGCGCATTATCCGAGGACTTGGCGCTGTTCGAGTAGATTGGCGAGGCGTCAATGTAGGATGTGGCCTGATTGGTCTGCTCCCTCCAGGACAAGACACAGTCACGACGTTGCGCCGGCGCCGAGCGCAAAAACTCCAAGCAGCGAACCTTCAGTGGCGACAGCCACGGATCGTCTAGCGGCACCTTGATGGGAAAGCATGACGGATGAAAGTCCTTACCACCACAACAGCTGGGTATGGAGCCATTGATGGAGCTGCGAAATGAAATAGTTATATTTAAACTTAAGGATTGCCGTGCTGGTAGCTAACCACTTACCGTGGCTGTGCCGTTGATGTCATGTCGTGATCGAGCAGCTGGCCCCACTGCGCAATCATTAGGGTGAGCGGTGCCTCACCGTCGCGTGCCCCATGCACCAGCAGGCTGACGAATCGCGACGAGGACAAAGTGCTGCCATCCGTTGAGCTGCGAACGCTGTCAACGCCATCGCCATATTCTGGCGGCAGGAAGCGATTGAAGGGCATCTGTGAGGCGCCCCAGCGAGGCCGTCGCTTATTGTTGCATGTGCCGTCATGGGTGCGATATCGTTCCGATGCTGGCATGCAGGGCGGTGGATCCCGCACCGGACAGAGTCCCTCCAGCGCCGTCCGGCGCAATGAGATTTTGTGCGCATGCGCCTGGCGCGCTAGCTCATCGATGTGCTGGAAGCTAAAATAATATTTAAAGTGGACTTTCGGTTAGCTCGTCCTCATCCGATGCCACATCCTGGCGCTTAACAATGTCGCCGACATGGCTGCGTTCAAACTTTGCTCTCGAGTGCTGTCCACAAGCGTTGACGGCTTCTATTTATAAAACGCTCAAGTTGCACGAAGTTGCACAGACTCGAAACAAGTTCGTCGCATTGCTGCCGGGCGTTAAGATGCGAGATTCACCAACAAATTAAAGCAAGTTGCGTTTTCAGGGTCTACGTCTGTATGTGTGTGTTGTGTGTTGTGGGAAAACGCATAAGAAATCACAACGATAGCAGCCAGATTTTATTTTAGCCGATTTGGCTTTCCATTTACTGGCTGCTTTTTACTCTCTCTCTCGATGGCTATAATTAACTGATCATGATAGCTGTGTTAGCTCATTGGAAATTTCTAATCTTATCGTGTGACTGTAGTTACTCATATATATATATATCAGAAAGTTAAACAAGATGTCACTCTGACTTAGCTAAAAGTACTACCCAATCCATAAATAATTCATACAAAAAGAGTCAATAAATAAGTATCAGGAATTAAATTAAGTTCAAATTAAGTTCAAGAACAAATGTCAAATTTAGTTGGGTTTCTTAAGTTCTTCTTTTTTCGTTATTTCATATTAATAGCTAATGAATTATGTACAAATTGTGATTGTAATAGAATAGACAAAGTCTACATTTAAATGAATTTTAAATGCATTATATTATATTATTATATTGGAACATAAAGGTTGATATTAATTTAATTCTCGCCAGATCGGGACAGTTTTAAAAATGTAATTGTCGAATGAAACATTGAATTAGTTTTAATCTGTTCATTACATTTACATAAAAATAAAATTTAACTAATTTATTCATTAAACGGAGTATAATAAAATCCTATACATGTTGTATTTTCTAAAACAATAACTTAAAAATGGTTTACAAAAAATTATCTAGTGTCAAAATAATTAGTTGAATAAAAAATTTGATTTGTTGATGAAAGCATATTAAAAAGTGATTAATTTGGAAGGCGAGAGTAGAAAATAAAATGATCTATTTCCTTTTATGATTTTTTTCCTAAATTCATTTCGTATTTTTACAGAAACACTCCTCTGCGAATTTAAAGAGTATTACAAAGTCAGCGTAATTTTATTGTTTTTTTTTTGTGGTGAAAGTGGAAAATCCGAGCTTGGTAAATCTGGCGCTTATCGGATTTCAGTTTTCTGCTTTTTCATTTAACTTATCGTTTAAATGCCCAACCAAAAAGGCACTAAGCGCCCTTTACCTTAGACAACGGGGCGTATACGCAATATTTAGCCAACACATAAACACAGAGACGAAGCGCAGCCGTAGCGGCGTTCAATGAACTCATCGGCTTCGCAACGACACAAAAACAAAAATGTATATATATCTGAATATATATATATATGTTTATATGTATTTGTGTATGTCTAAACTTTCGTACTGTTGGGTGCTTGAGGCCGAATTCGTGCGAAGAGCTTGAGTCTTGGCGCTTGTAGAAAACGAAAGTCGCGTCTTGTATTTATTTCTTTGTTTGTGTGTGTGTGTATTTTTTTTTTTATATCTTTCTTTGTCATATCAGCCGTCGTCGCAGCTTGTTGTTTACTGAGCCTTTTGTTGCTGTTGTCGTCGTTTGATGTAATCAAATTGCGAATGCTGAGAATGAGAGACTAAGACAGCGTTGGAGCATAAATGGGAAAGCTCTATGCATTTTTCTCTCATATGTATTATTTCTAACGTTTTGTTGTCTCTGTCCATATAACAGTGTGTGTACAAACACACACACACACACGCACACACACAAACACTCACACACACACACATACATTAACACTTATAATTACAGCCGTTCACATTCACTCGCTTTCTTCTAATTTTGGCTAAATGCTGCTTTTGGCAATATTAATGAGCACCAACGCTTGGTCACATCATCGATGAAGGCAGCTCATTATTAATTAAAGCAGCCGCATCGAATATTTCGTAATTTGATTTTGAGCAATCAGAAAACCAAAAAAAAAATGTTAAATTAGAGTAACAGACTCGAAGATGCCATGCCACCAGATCTCAATCCCATTGCTGATTAAGATAGTATATTGGACACGTACATAAACTTATTATGTAAATATCATCAAAAAGGACTAGTTGAAAATTAATATTTTTGGTTTTCAATTTTTACAATTTCGAAGAGCCAGAAAGTATTGTAAAAAAAATATGAAACAATATATAGCCAAACAATTTGTTAAAATAGTTTCCCTATATCAATTATATTATAATTAAAAATATTCAGCAATTGATATATTTGGTTTTCATTATTTTGAAATGATTTAAGTTCATGGGTCTCGTTACTAATAGTTTTAAAATTTCTGATTGCTAAAAAGCATCGTAGAAAAATATGAACAAATTTAAAACTTTGCATTTGAATTGGGTACATTTTTTCCTCTGACAAAACACTTTCTCTAAATAAATTCTAAATTAGTCTGTTTTGACTTTAAATTTCAAAATTTGGTTTCAATCAGTGGATTTCATTGATATTAATTTTTAACATAACTAAGTGTTACGAATAATTGTAGAAAATAAGGGAAACAATATTTAAAATAAAATAAACCTTTTCTTTGCAATCTTTGAAATGTGTTAATATGCATTTTTGCAATTGTCAAAAACACTTTCTATATTTAAATGCTGTGGGTTAATGCTTTTTTCTGTAAAACTAAAATTATTAAAGAAAACAAAGTCAGATTAGATGTTCTGTAAAATTTACAAGTATCAAATAAAATGTTAAAACTTTTCAGACAGACCAATAAACAGACAGGGTATTAGATAAATACGAGCTGGGACATATTTACTTCCATGGACAATTGAAGCGTCTTCGTCTGGGGTTGTTATTGTTGTCAGCTCATTGAGCAGTGCCGTTGATTTCAATTACATAAAAGTATTTGGGCAGCTTTGGCTCATTGCACCTGCACTTGTATATGTGTATGACTGCCTTTGAGTGAAAGTTCTGTTTCAGTGTGTTATATGTGGAAAATTGCACGGATTCGTATAGCAACAAGACAAGCGCAAACCCAAACAAAAAAAACCCGAATTTGAACTCAAGCACCAACTGGTAGCCGAGCCCGAACTCGTTGTGAAAAGTGAAAACTTGCAAACTGGAAAAACTACAGCAGTCGCTGGCTGCTGGCTGCTTGACTGCTATTTCCCGTTGCCTGGCCAAAGAGGTCATTTACTTTTGCACTGACCACAGCACAGTTGAGCTCCGCTCTGCTCGGCGAGCATCTTTAATTTACCTTCACCTAACAGACAATTTGGCTTAACTTGGAATGGTCCAAGGCATGACGACTGCTGATGCTGGCTTGCAATTATGTGGCATTTCAATGTCAAAGTGAAAGTTGACTCTTGGCAGTCACAGCAACAACAGCAATAACAACTACAACAATCGTTGACTGTCGTATTAGCTACGATTTTTGCTGGTGTCGCCACCATTCCAGCTGCCTCGTCCGCTTCCCCTCTCGTTTCCGCTCCTCTCGCATTTTGGAGCACTTTTGTCAGCGCACTTCAACTTCAACTCATTAGCCAGCCATGGGTGCCATGCCAACCGTAGAACTCGTTAATCAAGCGAGAAAGTTACCGCTGCTGTGGCACGGGGTGCTGGCAGCGTACTGCATGGGCGTGCACCCACACTCCCCTCACCACTTCCCCCACTTTTTTTTGCTACCTCTTTTTGCATTAGATAGCCTGCAGATGGGCCACTCATGTGTATCAAGTTTTGTCTTGGCCACATTTGCGGGAGTTGTGAAGTGAGTCTGGGGACTTGGCAAAAATAAAATTCAAAATATTGCGAAACCATATATATATATTGAATAAAAAGATTCCAAAGCATAGACAAGAGTACATACGGATACCAAAAAATCCCAAACATTCACAAGAGTTTATTATTATTGGCCATCAGTACTCATCGTAGTATTTGTATTTTGCATCTGAGTTTATGACGCGAAATCATAGCTGACTTCACAAAATTTATTTGAAATATGAATAATTTGATTTGCAAAGATATATGAATGTATATTGAAGAATCTAGAGAAATATCTGTAATTTTAAGCAAGGAAAAACCTTTCGTTTTATAAATAATTTCTGAATAATTAAGATGAATATTATTTTCGCCAAAAGTATAGGGATTTTCTAAAACTGAAGACTTTCCCTTTGAAGTCCAACTTATCGATCCATTTATTGAACAATTAAGAAAAAAATAGTCCCATTTGCAAAAATTTACGAAATATTATTATATTAATTTTTTTTTTAGTAATATAGAGAAGTCAGGCAACAATTAAGATTCCGTACGTAATAATAAACATGTGAACAAAAATTGTTAATCGTTTTGGAAAATAACCTTTGACTAGAGTTTTCATGCATGTTTTGTATCCTATCGTAAAAGTTTGACTAACTTTTTTTTATATTTTTTTTAGCGAAACTTTCTCGATCTACCCATGAGCACAGTGGAGCACACTTTGAATTTTAATTATGAATAATATTGGCAATAACTTTGCTCATATGACAGGCCATATGTGTTTGTGGCTAATGAACTCACTCATGCACCCGCAGTGGTCCTGGCAGTCGACCCAAGGACTTACTTTTGTCGAAAGGCTTTGGTGGCTTCAATCGTTGCATAGGCGGCCATCTCCCTTTGCTCCGAATCGGCGTTGGGCGCGTTGAAGCGCGATAGCAATGCGGCTGGATGATTGTTTTGCAGTGTTTGACCTATGAATGAAAAAAATGAAGAGTTTTTTGTTTGCAGCAATAAAATATCAAGTTGCAGACCATTGAGCAGCATTTGTGGTTGTATCTTGCCATACAGCTCGGCCATGGCATTGAGTCCTTTCTGCACGCTCTGTTGGAGCGCCACATCCATCAGAGTGGGTCGACGTGAGCGCGGATTCCTCTCCGTCTCGTTCTCACTCTCAGACTCATTCGCTATCTCGCTCTGACCCTGGCCGAAGGTCAGTTCTTTGAGCGGCTTTAACGGCCGAGGTAGTTCATGAGTGGGCGGCTTGCTCGCAGCATAAACCACCGGGGGAGACGTCTCGAGCTTCAGCTGCTGCTCGTGACCTGCGCCTGACGTCAACAGCAGTGTCAACAAGGACAACTGCATCATGATAAGTTTGTGTCTCATGTGCAAAGTGCGACCTGCAAAAACTCTAAAAGCGCAATAGAGTTAATGAATCGACCTCAATATCTGTGTGACCGCTGTCACAGGAACCTTCTGGGAGTATAGCCCTGGAGGGCAGCTTCAATGGAACTAATTATGGCATAAGCTACAATCCGAAAAACATATATACTCGTACACTGAATGGAGAATGGCACTTTTTGTACAAAATATTCATAATTAAATAAAGTTATAATAGAATTTGAAAATAAAATAAAACAAAAGTGTTTGGTAGTTCTCGACTAGATTATTATTAATGTTTTTTTTTTGTTTTTAATAAATGTGCAAATATAAACAATAATTATTACAGCTGAGTTTACGTTCATCTTGTATTCTAAGAGCACATGCAATGTATTAATTTCACTTTTGTTTTTGTCTTTTCACAGGTGATGAAAAATGTGAATTTTAAATACGATTACACATATTTGCTTAAATATATATATGTATATGTGTGTATTTAAAGCTGCAAGTCATGCGAAATGATTAAAGTTCATTTGATTTTATCTGTGGGCAAAAGTTGTGAAAAAAAATAAACAAACTGTCTTGAATCAATAAACGCGCAAATTAACTTTAATTATGGACGACGCAAAACGAACAAACCAATGTAATTCCAATTGTTGTTGTTGTTGTTGTTGTTGCTGTGATTACATCAACGATCAAATATGTGCCATAATCGGGGAGTGCAGGGCCGTGTTTAGCTTATAGTTATTTATTTAGTAATTTTGTGCAGTACTGCAACAACAACAACAACGACAACCACAAAAGCAAAAACAACAAAAGCTGTCTTTTAAAAATGTTATGTGATATTTTCTTTTGAGTCCGCTTTGTATTTTACATTTGCCATCTCCATATTCTATCATCGCTTTATACTTTTTCTGCACTTTTTGTCGGCTCTGGCCGAATGATTTCTATGCTGTTGTGGGCATATATATTTATATATATATATATATATTTTTTTTTTAATCTAAGCATATTTCTATTGTGTTTTCTTGGCGTGTTTCTTGATGTAATACGTACTACGTTAAATTATATGCTTCACTGGACGCATAACAGGCGCCAAGAGTGGCGTACACTCAGATCAAAAATCGCCTGGAAGTTTAGAAATTCGCCTTGAAAAGTTCAAAAGTTTTATTGCTCTTAGAAATAGTTTCCTTAAAATAGAAAACCTCTTTTTCTATTTTGCTGGAACATATCTAATAATAGAATATATTTCCAAGAAGAGCAAACTATTATTTTTAGGAAAAACTCATTCTGGAATTTAGAAAATTTTAATGAAATTTTTCTGCCTAATGCTAGTCACAAATATCTGAATCTATAAACTGTTCAAAATGTTTGCACAAGTTAAAAAATTACTAATGTTTAATAATGAAATATTTAATAAAAAATGTATTGGGAAAATACAGTGTATAAAATACAAGCTGGAAATTAAATACATTTTTTTTGTAATTGTAAAAAATGTAACTGGGAATTACACAATTATTCTTGTTTTTTAGAAAGACACAACCTTTGAAATTTACTTTCTGTTGTTTTTAAAATTTTCTAAACTTCATGGGGATTTTTTTCAAGTGTAATAACTGCATTTGCAAGTGTTAAACTCGTAGTGCTAATGGTCTAGTGGCCAGCTGAGTGCACACTTCTGCCCAGTGGCATTGAAAGCGGGGGATTCACATTGGGAATAGCAATCATTAGCCATTTATGCACATCAACAGCACAATTATTTTTAATTTTATTATAGTAGGCTCTGTGACCAGTTAGATCCATTCTATCCCTTCTGCACTAATGCGAGAATATTTGGCCGGTTGAGGGTTTCTATGTTCTATGAGTTTAAAACATGTTTCCCTTGAATATTATATAAATTCTTTTCTATGATGTCCTTTGAGAATGCCTTCTCATTGCCACAAAATCGTCATAGTTCGCTCCTGATAATACCTAGCTTAGTTAACTAATTTTTAGTCTATAATATCCGATCAGCAGACCAGTTAGTATACTGAGCAAAGTCTTCCCCATGGCAGTTACTTGCTTGAATTATTTCTGATTATATCCACCTTATTTCTTAACGAACAAAGTTACTCATGTGTGTTTAATAAAATACATAGAGAATATATATATGTATTTCTAGTCCATTATCCAAATTCAAGTCGATCGATCCTAATTAGGTTGTAAAAGGTTGTTTTTAAAGCTTTCAATTTTTCCCAAGGGAATCAGAATTTAATTTGCACATTTAACATTTAAGCACACGCTATTTTGTAGACTGCATTTTATAGATGTAACTTTTAAACAACTTTTGCATGCTTATATATTTATTATTTTGAAATTGACTACAAGATTTGCCCCCATGCAAAATTGTACAACGCCGCCTTTTGCCATTGTCTTTAATAATAATTTAAATTTTCAATTGTTTTCCAACAATAAATTATGCAATTTGGTTTTGCTGTCTATCCAATAACAAAACGATCAGAGTTGCAAGAGGCACTTTTTTGTCTGTAACCACACCTCTGTCCGCTGTCCACCCTCCAAACACCCTGCAGTTTGGCCTTGCTTCAGTTGCAATCAGGAAGTGGTTAGCATTAAGAGAAATTTTTCAAAATGTTTTGTTTGAAAGCTTTAGGACACGCTCACTTAACTAACTGTGACAGCAGTGCGGCCGTTAATGGTAATAAATTTTTATACGATTATTGCACAACGGAAAACGATTTACCTAAAATGCAATTTGCCGTCAAATTGATTAACACCTGCTGCAATTAGCAGGAAATTAGCTCAATCACTTTTTGTTGTTTGTGTTGTAGATGTAGATGTTAATGTTATATTCCTGTTCCTCCGCTTCCTGACACTGTTTCACTTTTGAATGAATGCCGTGCGCCGCACAAGATAGAAACTTTTTCGCGTTTGTATCTTTGATCGCCGTAAACCGAACTAAATCGATTCTCACCATACAGCTACCATTAGAAGCCAAAAAGACACAACGACACACACTGGAGCCAGTAACAGAAACAGAGTCAGAGCCAGCGCCAGAGCCAGAGTTGGATGCCAAGACCGATGCCACAACTTCTACGAGTCGCGACGTCGCACACCGAAAAAAAAAAACTGAAAAAAAAGATCAACGTCAAGAGTTCCAGGCTAGCGACCAGTTCTCGCTGCCGCCGAATGCGGCTGGTAGTAGTTGTTTTTTTTTTTCACTCTTCTACATGTTTATTATTTATTTTCAGTTTGGCGCTGCCAACCCAGCCCCCTCGCTCCGCCGTCAATAAGCTGTGACTTTTTTTTTGGTCAGTATTTAAATTGAGAGATAAAATAGCCGCAGGCCGCAGAAACATCTACTTCATGGTGGGCAACTTCATCGGTCGTCAGTCATGCAGTGCTGGCCACTCGCCACTTGTTTCAAAAGATTCCCAGCTGGATACTTGACTCCCAGCCCCCCGGGCCTGAGATCGAGCCGGAGCTGGAGCTGGAGCCCGACCTCGGCAATCCGCTTGTCTATATGGCAGTTTGTTTATCGTCCGCCCCATCGAACTGCTTTCAATTAGAAGAGAAAGTTCTTGCCACAAGAAAAAGTGAAAAAGCCCAACACAAACAAATAAGACACAAACACAAAGAGATATAATATGTATTTCTCCAGGCGGCTTTTACTCTGTCAGACATCGCCTCACACAAACCGAGCGGACAACATCGAAAAGATCTTAAAAATTGCACCTCATAAATTAACCATCTGATATATCACTGATCACGTTGGTGACTCAACCACAGCTCAACAGTGACTCCAACATTGACTGACTGACAGAAACTGATCGAGCATCATTTCATTTGGTTTCATGATTTAATTAGGGGATGTCCCAGCTTATTAACTAAAGTGAATCACATTTAGGAATGCAAAGGTGAATGCAAAGTTGAATATCATCCAATTACAGCATACATCAAATAAATTTTAAAATTTAAAAAAAATTTGAAATACACCCCAACATCTAACTTAGTGCCTATTAAATTTAAATGTTTTAAATTCTGTAAATTTACCAAAACTTATCGTTATAAATATTTGGAATGTTACACGTAAATTCATCAATTTTGATATATTTTTGAAAATCATTTATACATTTTTGAGATCTACCTTAAACTAAGTATGGAAGTAAATAAATATTTATTGATGTTTATTAGATAATCAGAAGTAAGTTCACAAAAATGTTAAATTAGTTAAATTTGTAATTTTTAAGATTAGCGCTTAGTTTTCAAATTTGTATTTTTACAGTTAAATTTGTATATATTTTAAAATTTTTTTTTTTTTTTTAGTTAAATTAAATTATTATTATTAATTAAATAAATGTTTACCAAAGTTTCATAGATAATCGGCGATTGCTGTATGTGAAAGATAAGCGAAACTAAGTTGAAGTATAACATGGAAATATAAATAATTTGATAAGCCATCGCTCATTGCTGATAGGCACTTAGTTGGCTGGCAAGGCTGCGTTTTTAGATCGACTCAATTTGGCTTTACGTATACGTCTCGTAAATAAAGTATACGTAAGCAAATTCATTTGCCTGACAGACCCACGCACTTGGGTAATTGAATTCAATTGAACTGAGTGCGCAGTTAATAAATAAATAAAAAGAGAGAGTGGGGGCGGGGGCTAAGAAAGAACGCTGAGAATTAACAATCGAACGGTGACTTTGATCCACCAAAAGCTCCACATAAAGTGGAGACCGCAGAGAGAGAGAGAGAGAGAGGAAGCGGGCTACGTCGCGTCGCGTCTCATCGAAATGAAATGGAATGTTACACACAAAGACAGACTACAAATACAGCGACGCGCTGCTGCCGCCGGCAGAGTGTAAAACTCAGACTGGGTCACTGTTACGAGCGTAAGAATAAGCGACCGCAGCGCACAGAAAGAGAACACAGTTCACACATACAGCCACATACACACACATGCTTGCACGACAGAATCGAGTCATAATTAGAAGAGAGAGAGGCAGCGAGAGAGAGAGTGATGGACAGATGAAGAGGCGGCGAGAGAGCGGCGACAGCATTGGGTAAAGAATCGTTCGCTTTTGCATTTGTCAATTTCAGACTTCGCTTTCATTTCGCTTCTTCTGCTTTTCTATGTCTCTGCCTGTATTGTAATTTATAATTTATGCTTTTTTATTTAATTTGTTTTTTTTTTTTTGTTTGTTTTTTACTTTCACACGCAGGCAAAAAAGTTGACAATGAACAACTTCGCCCACGCCTGTATTTGAACCCAATTTGTTGCTGATAAGTTTAAAGTTTTTTTTTCTTCCATTTTTACCCTTTTATTGTAAATGGTTAATTGAAATTTCGAATATTTGAAATTACATGTTGATTAAAAAGTTGATATTTTATTTGCATATCTTGAGTGTTATTGTTAAGTTTAACATTATAAATAGGCAGTACATAAGGTTTTATATATTGTAAAGTTATAGTTAGGTATATAATAAATATAATAATATACATATATATGTTTGTTTATATGCAAACGATTTCCAAGTTCCTGTTGATGCTTTTCTCGTTTCTCGTTTCGTTGTTTTTTGTTTGTTTTTTTATTTATTTCAGTTGGTCAATTTCGATGCGATAAGTTTCCATTTTCGTAAAAATCACTTGAGCAAACATGAAACTGCTTTTTGTATTTTAGGTTTTACGATTTTTCGTATTTTGTGTTTTCATTTTACGAACGATATCGATTGTCGTCTCGAATATATTATATTAATTAACAAAATATCAGTTTTTTAAGTAGTAGTTTTGTAAGTAGTGGAAATCTGTCTGCTTTGTGTCTACGTGCTTTGCATTTAGTTACAGTGGCGACTGCGGCTTGGGTCTGGAAATCTCCAGAAGCGGACCCAAAAAAAAAAAAACAATAACACAAAAATAACTAACAAAGCTCAATACGAATTGTTGTTGTAAAATGTTTCGCACTTAAAAGCTAAAGCAAACCTAAAGCTATGCATAATGTAATTGTGTGTGTGTGAGTGTGATTGTGTGTAGGTGTGTGTTGTGGGTATGCGTGTATATAGCTAAAGTATTGCACTATATAGTATTATGTATGTATAGGAGTATAGTATGTATAAATATGATAAACAATTTACATATATTTCAATTTCAAACATCAAGTTATATCCTCATATGCATATATGTATAACAGTTACACCCAAAAGCCTTTCAAAATGTTTTGCGGGAAACTGCGCAGAGCTTTGACAGAAGAAAAAGAAATAGACAAAAAAAGAAAAACTATTTATAGTTCCTGCTGGCCACGTCACACATTGGAAATATGCTAAAAAAAAATAAAACAGTCACTATAACTGTGCAGAAGGAATCTCCAAGAAAGAGAAGGAATAGAAACAGAAAACACAGAAATGGATGAAGATAAAGTGTGACAACCGCAAGTGTTGTAAAGTGTGCAAAGGAGCTGCATGTGTTTAAGGATACGGATACGGATGCGAATACGGATACGGATACGGATACGGATTCGATATCGATTTCGAACTCGAAACCAATTCTACAGCACGGAATGTGTTTCATTTGCCTAATTGTAACTTATTGCAACTCTTCGCTGCACACTTGCCCCCAACCAATTGCATTGCCCCTTAAGCACTTTTTAAGCCTCTAACATGACCCCCCCTCCCCTCCCTCCCTCCATCCCTCCATCCAGCGCTACCCAAAGAATTCTCAGCACAGCACTCGACTCGGTTCAACAAAAAGGCTGGCTTCCTTCGACTGCGCCTTCGCCTTCGCCTCTGCCTCTGCCTGGCTGGAACACATCCCACATTCCACAGCCCACGTTTCACATTCCACATTCGATCAATATTTAGTTACGTCTATCGCCGGCACGGGTCGTCGCATGGCGAGACTGTTGCTGCTCCTTGTCGCGCAGTTCCTTGATGGCGCCCACTGTGCCGAACATCACCTTGGCCGTCAGCTGTGCATGTGGCAGCGAGCCGCTGCTGCTTTTGCTGCTCGCGTTCGCGTTGGCATCGCGATCCAGGCCCGCATTCGCATTGGCGTAGGCGCTCGTGTAGGACACGTAATTGTTGTTCAGATCGCGACCGCAGCTGCACTGATGCGACATCTTTGCACGTGTTCCACTTATTGAATCGACTGACTGTTCGATCTTCTGCCAGTGTTGTTCAATGTTCGATGTGCGATGTTGGATTTGCTGCCTTTTTAAATAGCCAGCTGGAATCAGAGTTGCCTGTGTGGGTTTTATTTATTTATTTTTTATTTTTTGTTTGCTTGGTGAACGGTGCGCGTGTGCACGAAACAAAACTCAAAAGTAAAGTCGTTTCTGCTCCTCGTCGTCGTCGTTGTTTCTGTCGTCGTCCGATAGTCGCTCACACTTTCACAGACTCACTAGAACTAATTTCGAAAAACTGTGGTGTTGTTTTTGTGGCGTTGCCAGCCAGCCAGCCAGCGACAACGACGACGACGACAGCGACCGCGACGACGACGACGACGATGAGCATTGAGTATCGAAGAGAGCGGACGAGAGCGCGAACGTCAGCCCAGCCGTCAGCTGAGCGCGCCTGAGCCACATGGGAGCCAACTGAGCGCCAAAAAAAAAAAAACAAAAAAAAGAAATACAAATAAATAAATACTCGCTGCTGCTGCTGCGATCGTTGGTGCCGTTTGTTTTTGTTGCTGTTGCTGCTGCTGCTGCTGTTATTGCTGGTGGGCGCTGCAGTGAAATGATAAATTTCTCTACACTTTGCAGTCGATCCACACTGGTTAACGTTTACGCAAAAGCGCATTCCAAAAATTATTGCAGCCAACTGATCGAATCAATTGTTAAATAATAATTTACTTTATTTGCTCGAATTATGAAGTCTGCCAATGAAGTTGTAAAGCTTCCAAGCTGAATGAAAAGTTATTAGACAAGTTGAACAAAAATTCAAAGACCAGACGCAAGTGGAAGAAAAGTAAACAGTTTAAGCTCGAATGAATAGTAAAAGCGCAAAAAATATATTACAAATTACCATAAATATTAATATTACATCTGCTATAAGTTTAAGTGCCTAAATAAATATAAATATTATATGTGCATTTCAGTTACATTTTATTTCATATTTTGTATTTAAATGTAATAAAAAGTGCAGTAATTGTTTCAGTGTGCAACGTTGGAGATCTCGGATTAGGATGCTGCTGCAGAGACGTTGACGACAACGGCGACTGCGACAGCGGCAGCGACGTCGGCCTGTCGAGCTTCGAGCCGTAAGCTGTGAGCTGTGAGTTGTGAGCGAGAGCTTTCTTGATTGCACTGCAGTAGTTCCTAATGGCCGATTCCCGCAAATGCCTGCGCTCTCCCCCTTCCCCCGCCCCCTGCCCAGCCTAGTCGAGCTGGGCATATAATTTGTGCTGCTTGCGTAGACGCTGCGCTTGTGTAATCTTTTCGTCGTCGCTTGCTCTTTTTTTTTCTTTTCTTGTGTGATGTTTTTTATTTGCGTTTTGTTTATAACAATTTGCGAATTCCAAGCGCACGCTCACAACAACAGCAACAACAACAACAACAGAAGAAACTATTAATGCAGGCGCGAGAGGTGAAAATCACTAAGCGCTGCAGCAAACTCACCTGTTGTCTCTCAATTGTTGTTGTTGTTGTCGTTGTCATTTTTGCTGGCATTCATCAAGTTTCATTCACCTTTTGAGCAGCAAAAGCAGCAGCGGCAGCAGCGGCAGCAGCAGCAGCAGCAGCAGCACAAAATATTTATGAATATAAAAACTTTTGTCTACTTATAGTTGTATGTGTGTGTGTGTGTGTGTGTGTGTGTGTGTGGCTGACTCGTTTAGTTTACATAATGGAAATGCAAATAGGCAAATGGGCAAACAAATGCATGGCTCAAATCACAGCTGCATTCCAGCTGCCTTCCACATTCCCCCTTCCGGCTGCCTTCCAAGTTGGCTTTTCCACCTACCTTCCACCTTCTACGCTTCCCCCATCCAGCTGCCACCTGCTGAGCGCCCTGCACTCAAATCTCATCGGTTGGTTTTGTTGATCTTCTTCTTGTTTGGCTGCAGCTGCACCTTGCACGTTGCAATTGCGCATACGCAACGTGGTACAGGGGATGGTGTAGGGGAAGGAGGGGGGCCTACAGCGGAAATGTCACATTGGCAGCAACAACAACAATGTTGAACCTGACCTCATTTGCAGTAGGCAACATTTTCTATGATCGCCAGCCACATTTAGAATGCATGACATAAACGACAACAACAACATTAGCGACAGCGACAGCGACGCCGGCTGCGCTGCTGACAGTGACTGCGACAGCAATAGCGACGCCAGCAGCAGAGCGCATTCGCTTTCGATCAAGTGGTCAAATCACTTTCGTCCGTTTTGCTGGCTGCAGAGTGGAACTACCAGTTTTCCCCAAGAACTTCAAGTTGACCCATATACACACACACACACACACACACACACACACACACATAAGTTCACAATGAAAGAGTCGCAGTCGCGAAGTCGGCTTCTGTGGGTGGAAGCAAGAATGCTGAGAGACGCCAAAGACAGTGAGAGAGAGAGATAGCGAGAGAGTGAAATGCTAGCTGGCTAAGGTGAGAAAGAGAAAAAGCGATAATGAGAGCATATAAACAATGAGAGAAAGAGAGCAAGTGCGAGAGCGAGAGAGAGAGAGAGAGGGAGAGAGAGAGCGAGTGTAAGTGTTGACGCTTTGGAGAGTTCGAAAAGAAAGCGAAAAAGAAATTTCAATGCAGCCAAGCGTAGAATGGATAACACACACACACACACACGCACACACAATGGCAGTGTGTGAATACACACATACACAGACACACACACACAGACACGCACACACATGCATACATGTTCGACGCTCACCTACTTGTGGCCCTGCCATCGCCTCTGTCGTCGATAGTGCGTTCCAAAAAAAGTGTGTCACTGAGAAGAAACCGGCAGCATTGGCAGCCGCATTGGAAGAGAGGCCAGCAGCATTCTTTGCTGACTTTCTGCCTCACACACACACACACAGCCAAACATGTTTATGACACACACACACTCATTTATGCAAGTGTATTTGTGCACATTTAAATATCGCCAGCCTTTGGAGTTCTAATTATAATTCTACTGCTCTTGTATTTGTACTAGTGTGTGTGTGTGTGTGTGTGTGTGTGTGTGTGTGTGTGTGTGAGTGCTTATGCTGACTTTTAGTTGTGGTTGCTGTTTGCTGATATCTAAAGATACTTAAGTTCATCTGGATCTCAAGTGCATATTGCATTGCGCTGCCTTTTTCTCATGCGGCAAATCAATTAAAATCCAAAACTTGTTGTGGGAAAAATCGCCTAAAACCTGCATAAAAATCGTGATTGAATTTTGGTATTTTTTTTGTGAGTGTGTTTTTTTTTGTCATCTAACAAGTACAAAATATGTTTTCTTTGACGTTTATTTTTGGACTTGTGCATTTTTTTTTTGGTGGGAAGTTTGCTGTGTGTCTGTGTGTGTGTGTGTGTGTGTGTGTGTGTGTGTGTATTGCAGTAAGTGTGGGCTAAAACTGGTTGGACGCTAGCTGGCTAGCTGTTTGGCGCAGGTTTGTTGCCCCCACAGCAACAGCAACAGCCACAGTCAGAGAAACAGAAACAGAAACAGGCCTTGCTGCAAATTATGATTTATTGCTGAACTTGTCTTCTGGAACACTAAATTGAAATTACTTGAGTGCCGGCCGCATTGTCATGCAGTTGCTTGTGCACCACAAGAAGCCAACACTTGATATCCTCGACTCGCTGACAGTAATCAGTAACAGTAACAAAAACAATAACAGCTCCACAGCAAGCATATGCCTTGGGACACGGTTAATGATTTTGGCTAACGATCGAATCCACTGGGAAATTTATGAACCTGTTCCGGTCTGCAGCAGCGCGACCTTTGAGATTTACTTTTGCACGCCTCGAACATTTGCGCAGGCAGTGTTCTGAACATGGATATAGATATAGATATGGAGATATAGATATAGATATAGATAGGGATATGGATATGGATATGTCAGGCCATGCCATGTTCGTCATAAGTCATAAGTCAGCTATCAGTGCCAAAGATTTATGATCGCCACCGCCATTCCCTCAAATAAGTGCTTTATTTTTTATTATAATTTTTTTTTTTTAGTTTTTGTCATTATTTGACGTCATTACTTTGTGTAGCTGCTGCAATTGGGTTTTTATTGATTGCCATTAACATAAATATGTATTTCGAAGCACAAATCTCAATACAATTTCAATGCTCATCATGATTTGGTCCCATAATTTCACGCTGTGCACTCACCACACCCACCCCACCCCACCCTCTCCACCATTAGCCATGCCCACCTCTGGCATCAAATGGCATTACGCATACGCCCCAGTTACCATGCGAGACTTGCCGCGTGTCCTCGCTAGTCTGCCCCTCCAATTCCCTCCTGAAGCAATACATATTTTCACAATATTTTGCAATTAGCTGGCGATTTTTGTATTACGCAGTTAAACTATTTACTATTAAGCGCTCAGCAGGTGGCCATCAGACGATGGCTTCTAGTTGGCAATTTGCCCTTGCTGAATGTCCATCAGCAAATGCCAGGACACTTTCCACACAAATTGGCAAATTGCTGGGTGTTCACATCATTTACTATTTAGTAGTTTTTCCATTGAGCAAAGCGAAAACATGAAAACATTAATTTGTACAACTTCAGGGCGGGGAAATGCTCTACTCGTTGTTAAGAAATCACTGTGTTAACTATATTACTTACTACTAAGGATGCACAAAATCAAATCATTTGTCTAGCTATGTTGTATCATGTATGTCATCTTGAACATAGCTCAACTTATGGGTTCGGGATGTCTTCCTCAATACGTTACAAGCTTCACAACAAAATTCGAATACCCAGCTCAGCTGGGATAAACAAAATCTTTGTTTCTTATATAATCTTTCAGGAAATATTTACCGATTTATTGATCTACCTGGTCTAACTAGATACAGCAACGAAAGAGGTCACCAAAAGAATAAATAAAATCTATAAATGACATATTAGTCAATCTTCACATTTATTTTGTTTTATTTATTCATTCTATAGCACTATTGAAAGATCATTGAATTGATTGATGCAATTGTCGTGTGCCAGTTGTTTCCTTTGAAGTTTGAACTACATCTATGCGTCAGTCATATCATGACAATATATGTATATGTCACGCCCACTTTAGAGTCACTACATTTACTTATTGATCATTATATAAAAATATAAGCATTTAAATACACCATTCACAGACAGTACACATTAATAGTGATTAAAAAGTTTATCATAAAGTTTCAAATGTAATTAAAAACCAAAATCAATTACTTTTGATCCCATAAAGTGTGTTTTCTCCTTTAACTAAACTTTTTGAGCATCTAAAATCTATAAAACGGCTATAAAAATTATTACCAACTACAACCAATTAAACCAATAATAATTTTTTTATTATAAAGAAATGAAGACTTGTCGCATAAGTATTATTTTTATTTATTTATCTCATAAATTTCCAAATTAGAAAGAAGCGAATAAGCGCAAAATTAACTTTGTAGACGGCCAAAGGCGTAAACATAATAAAATATCTGCGGCTTATCAGTACGGAATGTATATTCCGGAATATTTGACCATGAGATACAACTCCCCTAACACAATTGGCAATTTGGAAAACTAAAAAATTTGTGAATCCCATTGAAACCTGACATATCATAATAGATATTCATTTTGGTTAAAAGCTTAAGCTGCATCGTTGTGTCTATTTCTGCCAGATTGTCATCGATGGCGTTCCCCAACAGTCAGGATGGCATTTAAAAAACGTTAAGCAGAGGTCGCCAAAGACAGCCGCCGGACTGAGGCTGATACTGAGTGGGAGCATAGTGAAATAAATAACTAAAGGCATGCCGCATAAAATTCCATGGCGTTCGGCTTTTGAAATGTTACAGTGCCAGTTAGAGGATGCGCATTTCAGGCAAAGCAAACGCAGACTCACACACACACATGCACACACTAATACACACTAACACACACTAATACACAGGCAAACAAACAAATAGCATGCATGTCATGTAAACTGTCATCCGACTGCCTTCTAGAAAGCAACGCAAAAGAAAAGGCGCCGCCAACGGCAAACTGAACTCCCTGCATTTGACTAATGCGCTGCTCGGCTAGTTGACAATTTTCAATGAAATTGAGAAATAGTTGGTCGCATATTTACATACATCCATATACGTACACTCAAGAAAAAAAAACACTTGAATTTTTTTAAATCAGAAAGTATATATTTCAAAAGTGGAAGTTAGTTTCTTTCTAAAAACCGGGGCTTTTCATTTCTGAATTCCAGAGTATATTTATGTGAAATTTGGAAATAATATATATATATATATTTTTTTTTATATGTGTACCCAGAATTCTTACATTAGATTTTTGGCAACTTTTAATAAAATTACTAAAAATTAGTTTCTAAATTCATATAGTTCAATTTCTGTTACGATTTTACGAAGATTTGAACTTGAGGTGCTTGGTTCATTACGATTTTCTGAATTTTAGAAAGTATTTTTCCTAAAAATTAATGTTTCCATTTTTAAGGAAAACATTTAAAATATATTTTCCTCTGGTTCCAGGTCAAGCGCACTTTATATACTCAAATTTTAAATACCATTGCAATTTGACTAGTCGGCTGTGGAGTTTGAAATTCAGCCAGAAAATGTTACCAAACCATAAAGAACTTTTAAGAAATATTTTCTAATATTTAGAAATATTTCGGAAAAATAGTAAAAAGAAATTTCTAAGAAAATAGACTCAACACCAGCACAGGCATTACACTCAACGGAACCAAATTGCAAACTCAACACACACACAAATATTATTTAATGCTTTTTCTTTACAAGTCATTAAGTCTTAAAGCTCACATACATGAATTTCTTAAAAGAATCATAATTAGAACTCAAAAATTACACTTGTTTATCAATATCAGATCAAAATTTAAACTATCTTCTCAACGTCAAATCAGACTAATGGTAGGAAACCATACATTAATAAGAAACAGAATTGTACAAAGAGACCTTAACATTAAAGCCCTCATGTACATATAAAAATTAATTTTTAAGCAATCACATATTATTCCACTTTGCGCTGCTCATCCTGGCTCACCAATTTAACATTATCCATTCATTCAAATCAAAGTAATTTCCATTTATCAAAAATTTAAGTTTTTCTTTCAAAATCATCCACATGCAATATGTGTTTTCACTCTAAATGACCGCTTTTATAACGTCATTAGTATCCAATTAAAATTGTTTTCTATTTTTCTTTACATTTAGAAATTAAATTTCAAGTTAATTTTTATGCTGAGTGTATATCCAAGTATGCAGATAGATATAAGTATGTGGGCGCCACTGGACTATGATGCTCTTTTAGTGTTTTGTTCTTGTTGTGGGCGGTTGTTGGTCTAATGAGCTTCATTGCATGCATGGTTTTAGCCGAAGGCATTTGCTCACCTGAAATAATTTTCGCACTTCGATATCCAATAACAAGCCTGTTCTTTTGTCACTGAAAATACCACACAAGAAGCAATTATTTGGCGCCACTTGTTACATGCAGATAATATTGGCAGCCACGGTTGGGCTATGTCGCAAGGACGCTTCGCTTTGTGTTGAGAATCATTCATAGAATTCACCACACTCGCTGGCCATGCCACACATTGTCGTCATCGTTGACGACTGTTGCTTTTCCCGTGGGTGTTGCGCTGATAACAGCGCGCGCGAAAAACGCTCGGCTCGCCCATATAAGAACGATGGCATCTGCGGCTGTGGATTCAAAAGTTAACCGACATTTGATCTGTCAACGTGCTGCTGCAACGGAAAAACAAAATAAGTTGCCTTACTCGGCAAAAAAGGCCAGTTTGAACATTTAGTATTTAGGCCGTGTTTGTGTAAAAAACGCCCTTAAAGCTGGCCCGAAAGTTTATCACAAAACATTTGTCAAAAGTTCATCCGTAAATTGTGTTTTCTGTTTGTGAATTTTTGCGTGGCAGCGCGGCAAACCCTTTTCTCAAATTAAATGTAAGTTGAAAAGTTAAAAAGAAGGTAATCGGATATTTATAATTGATTTTTCAATATATTGGACGACTAGAGAACATTTGATATGTTGTGAATGATTATTTTTAATCAGTAGTTTTCTATATAATTTACTGGATATTATTTGGATTATCCTTGTATATGTCGCGGCTCTTTTGAAGTTGAATGCGACTTTTAATATTTGTAATAAAATTGATATATAAGTTACTAGGACTTTTACGTGTGATATATTTAGTTAATTTTTTTTTATGTCATTCTAAATAGTTTTTTTTTAAGTTATATTCAAAAATTTATTTGAAATGGGTAACGCGATTTAAATTATCTGGCAAAGTTATAAATTTAATAAAGACATAGTTAAAAATTATTCTAAAATTAAATTTTTTGTTCTTTCTCGGATGTATTAGACAATAAGAGTTATAAAAGATTTTACTACCTAAAATAAATATGCGCAAATATTAAAAAAGCAAGCATTTTTATAAAAATAAAATATTAATAAAATCCTTGCAAAGAATTAGTTATCTAAACGCGTAAATATTCATAATACAATGAAGCATTTTAATTTTTATTTTAATTGTCTAGCGATATTTATATTTTTTTCATAATAATAATATATAATAATTGACCAAGGATCTAGCGTATTAACCAACAACAAAATATTGATTTAATCAAACTAGACACACATATATAACTATATCTTAGGATTGCCCACGTTGACAATCTGTGAGCACGATATACATATATAGCTTCTTTCAAAAGCAACTGCTTTGCATGCCCTCATAAGTATGCAATTTTTGGTTCAATGTAATTTTGTTAGCTAAAAGATCTGAAGAAAACACCCTAAATCCAATAGACAATTTCAATCGCCAACAAATTTGATTATATGAAATGCTCGCAGCATCGACTGACATATGTGTAAGGGTCATGGAGGACATGTCAATTGAAATCGTTCTGAATCACAAAGAAAATATATATACAAAAAAAACAAAATCGCAACAATAAGCCTAAAGACAAAAGACAAGCCTCAATCAAATTGCAATTAAATACATAACAGAGAAACCCAAAAAGCTGTATGCCGAATATTGAATAAACAAGTCAAAGGACAACTGGTGATTGATGGCAATGCGTCTGAAAAAGGGGATATAGATAGATAAAGTTGTAGGATGAGGGACCGCTGGCAAAATATGTTTTGATTATTTATTAAAAAAATAATATATGCTAAACGCCGCTGGCTAACATATGTTATGTTTCCTTCCAGAAACAAAAATATACCATACACTTTATTGAGAAATTAAAAGAAAGCCACAAATGCTGACAGCCTTGCCATGGCTGGTTGCTGCTTCAGCAATTGCCTAACCGTCATAACTTAGCGTTAAGTTAGCCACTTCATTACCTGAGCGAAACTTAATTAACCAACCAACAGTGGGTTGCCGGAGCAGCTGGTTTAGCTGACTTTTGTTTTTCAATTTAAAAATGTATGCACAAAATTGCCAGCTAATTTCTAGCTCATTTGAGCAGAATCACCTGCGGCTAACCTGAATTCTACTCCTTGTGTGTGCGTCTCAGAGTGAGATATATATATATATATATATATATATATATACATATATGTATATACTAAATATATTCGAACCACGACTTTTAGGTCAAGCTGCTCAGCTCCTTTGAGCGTACCGTGTGCACCTTTAAGCCAATTGCCATGGTATTGCAACTTTTGTGGCCAGGCTAAAGTTTTTCAACTTAATTAGAGGAACAGCAAAAGAAAACTCTTTTAAATTTCCGCTGCATTTTCGCTGGCGGGCAATCTAATCGCCGCGACGGATATGAGAAAGCCACAGGGTAAGGCCACAAAAGTTATGACCATAAATTCATAAACAAATGATGCCGCTGCGCTAAAGTCTCATTTGCACCGCGGCTAAAAAGGTTTATCGTTGGCAATAATGTGGCGACAAACAAGTTTTCATTATTATCGCTGTGCTGAAAGATGGCGCTGTACAAATACAACAAAGGTAAGTTTTGTTTTGCAGATTTACGATTGTGCTGCTAATGTTCACGTGGCCCATGTTCATGATAAAGTTCAACGAATGTGACGATTTTCCGCCTATTATCAACAACATGCGAGAACCCTTGCTTTTATTGTGGCGCAGGGAAAATGTGCAGCTGCTGTCTTGCCATGATTGTAAATCATGGTCGTGTCGCTTCTGGCCATGACTGTCCTGCGGTTGTCTTGTGTGTATGTGTGTATTTTGTGTAACCTGTTGCATGATATGTTATCATGTCGCTACGGTTATGGCATGTTGCACATGCGAGCTGCAATTTATGGCAGTCAACGCGGCGTGCTTCTGCGTTACTTCTGAAGTGTCATTCCTAAGCGTATGCAACAATTAACATTTTGTTTACACATCATTATGTGAGTCAGCGCGCACAGCTGATTTAAAATGCCATCAATTGGTATTGGGAAGTAAGCCTCGCGGCGCCTTTACGCATTAAACAGAATGGCCAGAAGGCCAAAAGTCGTTGGTTAATTGAAAATTGTGCCGTCTTAAGCGGCCAACTCATTTGACTGTGCAAACAACAAGTGCCTTGTCAAAGAAAACTACAATAACACTTGGCAAATGGGGAAGTGAGTTCTATCTCCTTTTCACGCCTCCCCCCAACTCAGATGCTACGTGCTCTGCGTGATAAGAACATGGGTTGAGCAATCGATGCGTTCACACTTTAAAAAAAAAAAACAGTCGCCCTAAAGTAAAAATTTGTCAGAATTAATTTTTTCTGCTTTCTAGAAGCAATTTCAAATTCTGTCTTTATTTCAAAAAATAATTCTATAAAGGTGAACATTTTCTATATTTATAAATATACTTATTCAACATTTTTTTTTATATTTATATATTCCAGAAATATTTTCAATATTTAAGATATATATTTATTTATAGTATGTTGGCGAATACTTATTATTTTAAAAACATTTCATTAAAAATATGTCTTTTGATTGTCAAAGTTCACTGTCTTGAAAATTTTTTATGAGCTGTTGTCGCAATTTATATTTTATTCTGAGTGCAGGATACGGAATTGCAGTCGGCTAATGCAAAACACAAAGATGATGGCGGCACATTCTCTTCCGTTATGTACTTTCAATTACGAGTTGCACATTAACGCCAATGACATTGCGACACTCGCCTCATCTACAGTGCTACAAAAGTTGATGGCTTTCGGTGGCATCATGACTGGTACTATGACTCAGTCGGGGTCAGAAGACTGCCTCAGATTCGCAATGGAATGGAAGTGTCGCATGTATTATTAGCAGTCTGTTTATTGCCAGCTAATGGCGACAAACTGAAAACAGTGTCAGCTGTCAGCTAGTAAAATTTGCTTAAGTTTTCAACCTGAGTAGCTGGCTAACTTAATTGTCGCATCGTTCGCGGATTAAGCTGTGCATAACACACACTCAGCAAACTTCACTGCCAAGGACCTTGCAGCAGCAGCGGAATCTCTTTTAACGTAGCAACCTTAATTTTTAATGGGTTCAAAACTCAACAAAAACTTCTTTGTACAGCTTGCAAGGACAGCAAAAATTTGTTGGCTGCATTTTTAGCTTAAATGTTCTCGCACCGTTAAATTCACCTCCCAGTGAGTAGTAGACCACATTTCAGAGCGTTCGATATTCAGACCTGTCGCCTACCTGTCAAAGTTGTAAAATTTGTTGCCATTTGACATGTGTATGTGTGTGTGCATACGAGCATGTGGGTGTTGTATGTTGTGTGTTGTGTGCATGCCAAATTCCTATCCACTTGAAGGGTATATCGGTTGTGTGTAAATGAAGGACTTGGAACATTTAAAGTCCACAATTAGATTATGACTTAAGCTAACAAATTTATTCAATCAGTTGTTCAGTTTTAGATAGTTCCTTTCTGAATTTATTTATTTTTAATTAGTAATTAAAAGTAGTAATTAAAAATACAGTTCTTACGTCTACAGCTTTGAAGAAGTAACAAATTTATTCAATCAGATTGCTTTATGCGTGCTCTCATTTTCGCAAAACTATTGCATTTCAGCTAAAATATAATTATGATATATACTCGTATATAATATTTTGTATATCAATGTACGAGTGTGTAATTCAGAATTTGAATTTCACTTACCAACGGCAGTGTGTTTTTTCTTTTCGCAAATACGAATCGTTTTTTGCATATTGTTATGGATTAAATAACATATTTATATATTTTTAAAATTAATATTGATGGGTACATTATTTAGTTTGAAAACTTAAATGCAACAGAAAGCGAGAAATTTAAAAATATTAAAAGCTGTTGTATAATTTAAAAAAAAAAACTGTGAAATCAAAAAAATATATAAGACTTATTTTCTGATAATTTTATTGTTTTTCAATAAGATAGCGTATTCGTGACTGATGTAAATAGATATTTCAATAAATATTGATAGTTATATTTTGTTCTAATTATTTAAATACAACAAAAGACAAAAGTAAATTTGGGTATACTGCAGTCAATAAGTTTTGTTCTTCATACATAAATAAATTATTTGTAAACACTTAAAAATAGGCCGGCAGTTGTCAGTGGCAAGGTTGTTAGACATTTTGGAATGAATTGATGTTTGAGCCGCCTTCTGTTCACCTTGCAGATAAGACAGAAGACACTCGGTCGTGACATGAATACCATGCTGCATGCCCAACTACTGCTGCTGGCACTCTGCTGCCTGGGGTACGTCTGCTGCTCACCGGTTATAGGCCAGGAGTCGCGGAGCCAAGGCACAAACGATGGCGATGGTGACGGGGACTTGCTGCTGAGTGCCGCTGAAGATATGCCCGATAACGGAGGCGACATCGACAAGAGAATGGAGCGCTATGCCTTTGGTCTGGGCCGACGCGCCTATATGTACTCCAATGGAGGAGCTGGCATGAAGCGTCTGCCGGTTTACAACTTTGGGCTCGGCAAGCGTTCGCGTCCGTACTCCTTTGGTCTGGGCAAGCGCAGCGACTATGATTACGATCAGGAAAATGAGATTGATTATAGGGTTCTGCCGCCGGGATATCTTTCTGTTGCTGCTGGTGAGTAGTCAACGAATGCGCACTTGCAATCAATTTGATTTTATTTGTTTTTCGCATTTCCCAGGCAGGGGTCAGGGTCGACAAAACAAGCGGACGACACGCCCACAGCCGTTTAACTTTGGCCTGGGTAGGCGTTAAGACCGACCTGTCCCGAAAAAGAAAACGGACGCACAAATGGCCCACGAATAGATTCCAGTTCCAGCCGTGTACCATTTGAGAGAGGGCAAAACTAACTTTTAACTATTATATCAAATTGTTGTTACTTGGCTCCGACTTACGAAGAAGTCAAACTTAAATAACATCTCGAAACTAATCTAAAACTGAGAACTTTCGACACAAACACAAGATTTAAATTATAATTTTAGTTTTTCAACTGAGGCGCTAAACTGCAGCAAAATTCTAATTTTAAATATATATTATACAAAATCAACGATGAAATTGCAAAAAAGAAAAAATGAATAAAAAAAAATGTGTGAAATTGAAATATTAATAGAAATACAGGAGTATATAAATATTCAATTATAGTACATACATATTCGATCTAATCAAATTTTAATAAATCTATTATATATGTACACATTAAAGGGGCATTATTATATCAATAAATACTTCAATGTATATAACTATATATAAACCTACTTGGTGCACTCTGTCACCCACATCGAGCAGAAACGCAGCAGTGAGAATCATTCGTTGTAACCGAAACAGGAATACCCTAAACATTAGTACCAGCTATATACTATATATACACACATATATATATGTATATATTTGAGTATGTGTAGAATATATAACAAGGCATACTTCAGTCGATGTATCTAATTGTTTAAACAAAGTGATTATTTAAATTTAAAAATATATGTAATTGTTTTGTGAATATGTTTCAATAAACCTATTAACTTGGCACTGCAAAATTGTGCCAGTAAAAATCCAACGAAGTGCATATGTATAAAAACGTATCGTTTCTCTTTATTTCAAAATATTCAAAACACTCACAAATGAATAGCTTATAAAAAAACAAATATTAAAAACGTTTATAACATTCAACTATAGATTTAGAATGAGCTCTCAGTCCAACTCGAGTTTGACGATTTAACTACTTAGACATTAATATTAAGTTTGCTAAGAATCGTGTCGAATGCAAACACCGATGATATAAATGTATATGGACTGCTACGTATGATGCCAAAGTCCGGCTGCAGACTGGGTAGTGCACGCGGCGAAAAGTTAGGCGTCTGCTGTCCGTGGCGACCAATGACAGAAGCCGACGTTTTGCGTGCATTCTGTTTCATCTTCTCCTTGCGGGCCACCAGTTTTTTCGTTTCACGCACCATGTAAATTGCCTCCGTATCCGTCATATAGTCGTGTATGATCTGTGGCGAGATATTAGTTATAGGGTGGAGAGCTGATGCTATGACAGAGTCAATAGCTTACCCTTCGCTTTTTGGGGCAGTGGGCAAAGACCCAAATCAGTGTGCACAGCGTGTTGAATATTTCGCTGTCCTTGTCGCACCAGCGCATCAGCATCTGGGCAATGGTGACGAGGCCGCCCTCTTGAAAAGTGTTTATCGTGCTGCTGTTGTAGCGTGCCAAATTGAGAATAATGCGGCTGCAACGCTCGATCAGCTGTTTGTCCACCTCCGAGCGTATGGCCTGCGCCATGATGCCATAACAAAATGTGGACATGAACTCGGAGCAGCACATAAGCGTGTGGGGCACGGTGCGAGAGATTCGATCTGCAATCAAATTATATTATATATTAATTTAATATAACTGGCTAACAGTCAATTCAATTACCTAGCTGATTGAGTACGGTTAATGCATCTGAGGCAATAAAACGGCCGCGTAAAATACGCACAGCGTCCTGCACCTTGGCGCGCACCGAGTTCATCGCTGTTGCCTGATGGCGTAGATGCAACAGACGCTTCCGTATGGCTATCAGACCCGCATGCCGCTGTCGGCGACGGATGCGATAACCACGCCAGTAGCGTTGGATGACTTTGGCCGCCCGCTTCTGACGCAGATACTCGATCATTTCGGGCGTCATCAGAGCCTGGAAACGCATGCGTGCCAAATAGCCCCGTAGTCGCGACTGGAAATCGACAATGGAGCTCGTGAGCAGCCGGAACTGTTCCTGCTGCTGCAACATCAAACGTTTGCCACGAAACTTTTGCTGCAAATGGATTGTGATCCGTCGCAGTTGCAGAAATTCGCTGCGCTTCTGGCGCATGCTGCGTGTAGCTCGAAATTTACGTTGCATCCAAATGGTGACCGACTGCAGCTGCTGATAGTGTGCCCTTGCCACGAGCATTGTTTGTCGGGCACGAAAACGACGCTGGAGAATGAGGGCAGCCTGTCGCTGATGCTGATACTGCTGGCGCTGCTGCCTCATGAGCAGAGTGGCGCGCACATGTCTCTGCAATAGACGCACCTTTGCCACAGTCTGCCTGAAGATCTGTCGCTGGCGTTGCGCCTCCAAAGTGGCTCGCCACTTGCGCTGCAAGATTATAGAACTGTTGCGCATGCGTTGATAGTTTTGCCGCTGTAGTCGCATCTGCAGAAGGGCACGCCACCTGCGCTGAATGCTAATTGCCGCCTGCCTCTGACGCTGATAAACCTGCCGGGCTGTTTTCATGGCCAGCTTGGCGCGATACCGTTGCTGAATTTGAACGATGAGTGCTCGCTGGTTTTGATATTCCTGGCGCTGTTTTCGCATGGCTAACTGAGCACGATATCTACGCTGCACTTGGATTGTGGCCAGCTTCAGCTGCTGATAGCTGTTTCTTTGCCGGCGCATTTCCAACTGGGCACGATAGCGTCTCTGCACGTTGATGGCTGCCAGACGCAGCTCTACGTACGCTTGCCGTTGACTCTTGCTCAACAGATAGTTGCGCCAGTGCAACTGCAGGCAGGAGACGGCTGTCTGAGTGCCGCGATATTTGGCACGCAGGAATCGCATAGCTTTGTCGGCACGGAAACGTCGTTGGATGTTGATGGTCACACGACGTAGTTGCTGGAACTGTTGACGCTGGGAGTGCATCAGTTGACGGGCTCGCCAGCGTTGCTGTAGGATAACAGTTGCTTGTTTCAGCTGGATGAAATTGTGGCGCTCACGCCGCATCTGCATCCGGGCTCGTTGCTTGCTCTGCAACCAGCTGGAGCAGATCTTTAGCTGGCGATAATGGTGCCGCTGGCGACGCATCTCCAACGTTGCCCGCCAGCGTCTCTGCAGGTTGATAATGCTCTGGCGATCCTTGGCATAATTGCGCTGTGCTCTCAACATCTCGAGACGTGCTCGATAGCGTCGCTGCAACACGACAGCAGCTGCTTTTAGCTGCACGAATTCTTGCCGTTGAAGGCGCATTTGTATCCGAGCACGATACTTGATCTGCAGCAATGTGGTGACTCTCTTCAAATCACGATAGCATTTCAGCTGGCGACGCATCTCCAACTTGGCTCGCCAACGACGCTGCAAGCTGATGATGCACTCACGTTTCTGCTCATAGCTGCGACGTGCCTGCAACATATGGAGACGTGCACGATAGCGTCGCTGCAGCACTAGCGTCGACTGTCGCAGCAGCAGGAACTGATTGCGCGTGTGTTGCATCTGCCACTTGCTACGGACGTAGCGTTGCACAAAGACGATGAGCTGCTGTTGACGCAGATAGCGACGACGCTGCTCCTTACCCAAGCGATACGCACGCCAATGCATTTGGATGCAGGCAGCCGCCGCCTGATGCTTCTGATCCCGCTGCAGTCGAGCCGTTTGGGCGGCGGCAAGCAGCTTGCGGGCAAAAATGCGACGACGCCAAATGCGCTGCAGAAATATGGCCGATTGCCGCAGGTGACGGAAGTGCTGGCGACGCTGACGTCCCAGACGCTGGGCACGCCACCAGACCTGAATGGTGACAACGCTGTGATAGATGAGAAAGAGCCGCTTCTGGGCGAAGTAGCGACGTGTGTACTTCTGCAGGACAATGACGGCCTGCAACCGCTGCACTCTGTACAACTTGCAATACTTGCGCATCTGGTGACCCCGGAAGGCGGCCTGAATGCGAATGGCGGCCCGCTCTCGAATGCGACGCCGCATGAAGACGTACAGCCAGCGACGGCGCCACCACTGCTGCAGCACACAGGCGGCAGCATGGAATTTGGGCGAACGGAACTTGTAGCAGAGCTGCCAGAGCAGCGAGAGTGTTTTCTCCCGATAGCCATCCACAATGTCGGCAGCCGAGATGTCGCCACTGAGCTCAAATTGAGCATCACGCAATGCGCCCAAAGCGAGCTTGACGTTGAAGATGCGCTGCAGCCGGGAGATGGCTGGCACGCGTAGCTGCTGGGTGAGATTATCGCGAAGCAGAATCACCTCCATGACACGGGTGAGGCGGACGCCGTCGCGCAGATCGACGGCCAGATTGCTGAACGCATAGTCGAACTCATCGAGGAAGGTCTGCTTGTGCTGGAGCACATAGCCCAGGCGACGCAGCTCTCGCGTTATGTCGCCCAGATTGGCCAGCAGTTCGGAGGAGAAGCGTTGCAGGATCTCTTTGGTCTCCTTGTGGGGCGACTTCTTGACAAACAGACAGGGATTGTGCTTGATGATGCGTCGCTGCTTGGCCAGATCGAGGAACAGCAGCAGAAACAGGATCTTCTGCAGTGTGTGCTTCTTGATCGTCTCCGCATACTCCTCGGTCAGCGTGTAGGCCTTGCTGAACTTCTGCTCCTCGGACCTGTTGCGAAACAGTCGATTCAGGATGAATGTGCTCAGGCCAACAATATCGCGATTCGATTGCAGATGCAACTTTTCGCCAAAGACCACCTCTAGGCCGAGACGCAGCCAGAGCGGATTGAAGCACAGCAGCAGCTCCAGAATTGTGCGCTGCATGACCACATCCAGGTGTAGATTTCGATCGCTGCGTATGCGCAGCGCCTGTTTCTGGACATAGACGGCCACCTTGGAGCAGGGCAGACGCATCTCTTCGCTGAAGAAGAGCTGAACGGCGGCGCGTCGAAGTGATTCGAGGCGAAACTTGGTCAAATAATTCATCGATTGCTCCTCCTTGGTGGGTGCCAGGGACAGTTCCTTGTTGCGCACCTCGTTGAACAGTTTGCCCACATCGATTTTGCTATTGGTGTCTGCATCCAGGTCTGCGGGTATGCTCACCAGAGCATTCAGCCATTTCCTAAAGTCCACCTGATGCCGCTCCACAGCCTGTTCATCCAGATACATCGTGGATGCCAAAAAGGGATCCGCTGTTGTGGTCGCAGCAAACGGATCGGGATTGATGCACGTTTGCATATACAGATCCGAGTCGTACAGTTTCGTCGCCGGCTGCTCTCGCATCTTGCGCGGCGTCGCCGGTTTCTTCAGCAGCGCCATCGTCTGTGCCAATTTAAACTTCTTGGGCTGGGCGCGTGGCCATACCTTGGCGGCCCGTGCTGAGGCATTGGCTGGCGCCAAATTGCTGGCATCGAAACGCTGACGTTTGGGCGGTGAGATGGTCAGCGTCTCGTTGCGATGCAATGACTCATTGCTGGGCGCATCGGAGAAGCTTAGCTCATGCGAGCGTCGCTTTTGCCCACTGATGGCCTGCTTCACGTCCTCCTGCGGCTTGCTGTTGGCCTGTTTGCCGCCCACTTCGTGCAAATTGAAGCGACTGGATTGCGCCAGAATTTCGCATTGATTGAAGAGCATATCTGGGTGGGAAACAGTGCTCGCCTCACTGCTGCACGAACTATTGGGGGATGGAACTGTTAGCTTCTTGGAATAACTGGGCTGCTGCGGTGCAGTAGCCGCCTGTTGCTGAAAGTAGCGATTCTGCTCAATGGAACGCAGTGGCAACAGCATCTCATTCAGATTTGGCATTGAGCCCTGTATGCCAAGTTTCGATTGAGGCGACAACAGTGACAGATTCTTCATGGATTCCGAGTACTTGCGCAACGGTGAGCCGATCACGTTTATATCCCGCTTCAGATCGTGCACCTTGCCGCTTGGCAGCTTGGTAGGTGATTCCGTCAGAAATTGCGGTGGACTGACATCCTCCTCGCGTATGCAGGCCAAGGCACGCGTCTGTGTGCCATGAACAATGGTTGTTGTCTTATTTAGGACTTGAGTTGGCGTTTGCAGCAACTGATCTGTGCGCGAATAATCCAAAGTGTCCACGGAGATTTCTATGACATCAGCTCGCTTTACATCGAAAGTTTCGTTTACGGTCCGCAAATTCTGTTCATCGTCAAGCGCGGAACCGAGGCGACGTGGTTGCAGTTCGACATTGGCAATGCGAGTGTGAGTTGATTTAATGCTAAGCGTTGGTGTTGGCCACGCAGCCAAGTTATCCGGCAGTGGAGTCGCTGCGGCTGCACCAATCTTCTCGGTCATCGGCGTGAATTGCATGTTGTCAATCAAATTGAAAACGTTTGCTGGCGTCATTGGACTAACATTCTCCTTGCACTGGCGCTCCTTTGGCGATAAAAATGACTTGACTTCGAATGCATCTCGAGTCGGAGGTGCCGCCTTAAATGCATTACGCTCGCTAAGCGGCGCTTTTGTTTCTGCAGTTGACCAACGGTTGACGGCACGTACTGCTACTGACTGCTTAATGACAGTCGATGAGGAAGATGATGAGGCTGCTGCAGCACTGGACATGGACATGCGTCTCTTGTGATGATTCGCAGTTGCAGCGAGCGTTTTGTGTGTTTTGCTGCTGTTGCCAGTCGGCGACTTCAGATGCAGCGTCTTGCCCACCGTGGGAAATTTGCGGGTAGTCTTCAGGTAGAAAAAAGTGAGGATCACAAAATAGGGGTTGAATATGGATCAGTTAAGAGCTTACCCTTGCCGGCTGGTTGCACTTAGATTTGAGTATTATCATGACATCTTTGCGAAAGTTGCGGTTATCCACCAGCTGCAGTGTTTCCTTGCAAGCAATCTCCAGCTGTGGATTCCACACCAGCTCCATGCTGACCTCATCGAATGCGGGCACCGTTTTCTCCATCCACTCGAGACTGAGATTGTGCTCCTCTCTGATGGCCTTGGTCACCTTGACCTATATTAAAAAAAAAAAAGGAATTGGTTTAGCGCGGCATTGATCAAATAAGTAGTAGTTGCCAGGCCGACGCATAGGCGATCCATATCTGCGTTTGGGCGGCCAACTAACCTCAATGTCGTCGTCGCTGGGATTAAGGACGCGCACAATGCGCTTCGCCGTTTTTGTAATGGGCACATCCTCGAATTGCACAATTGCTTTGGCCGAAAACGGGGCCATGACGACGACGGCCGGTTCACGTCCCTCGATGCGCTTTTTTTGCTTGAGGCGCGACGGCGTCACCGTTACCTAAAAAATACATTCAAATTAAATTCATTTATTTTTACTTTTTTTGTGCTTTTTGCGTGAACCCACCTCAAAGGCGCTCATCTTGTTGCTAGCGTTTGTATAATTAACACCGTGTGCAAATAACAAAAATAAACAACAATAAAAACGCTTGCACTAATAAACAAATCAAAATTGAACACAATTAACAATAATTAGCGCGCGACGCGACTGTCAAAATGTAGACTCGAAAAAAAAGCGCCACTGACGCTGTTGCCATTTTGAAAACAGCTTGCTAGAGTTGCTTCGTAACTGAATCGGCTTGGTATTATTTAGCACATTTCAAGTGCTGCTGAACACTGGCAACGCTCTTGCATCACTGTGATTGGCAAATTGCACATAAGGTGGTCAATTCAAAATGCAACATTTTTGTTTTTCTCCAAATTTATTTACAATGCCAACAATAAAAAACTATAAAGCATAATTACACGTTACATTAGATTGCTGGGTGGCAAAATACGTGAAAGCTGCATTTGCTGGTCATCACCGGCCGCCGCCGTCTCTGCATACATATTCTTAAGATAACCAGGAAAAGGAGTTACTGCATCGAAATCTTCGCCAGCATCATCATCTGGCGGGTCGACGGCCATGAAAGAGATGGCGAATCCGCGCAACGAGTTGCTCTCGTCCGTTTGGAACTTTAAGAGCAGCGAGTCCGAGTTGGAAACAATAATCAACGATTTCCGTTTGCCACAAAATCGGCCGTGAATTGTATTCATGGCGTTGCCCTCCTCGGTGACTTCAAGAAAATCATAATCACATCGTTCTGAGTACTCAACTTCGAAGCGCAAAAACTTGATCTTCACACTGCTATCCGGATCTGCCTCGATGCGCCAATCGCAGTACATGTTGTGATTGTAGTTGATACTGCCATAACGCGGATGTGAGTAGAAGATCTGAGAGTGATTCGTGGCACGCAGATAGCCACCGCACTCGGACACGAATCTCGCCTTAAAACCCTTGCGCTGCAGGCCTGCATCCGTTTTGAGCACCATGAACATCTCGTTGGTGGAGGCAATCACCGCATAGGGTTCCCGGCCGCCACAATAGATGCCCAGCGTAGAGCTATTCTCAGAACGACCGTCGTAAATGGCCACATAATCATAGATACACTCCTGATGGCTCTCCACGTCAAAGTCATGGAAGGTCAACTGGATGCGATGTCCCAGCACAGTGTGAAAGTGCCAGTAGCAATAAATGTTGCGCGCATAATCGTTGGGATAGTTGGGACTCTGGAGCACCCCATACGAAGAGGTTATTTCGAATTTGCACTTGGTCTCCGTGCAGTTGAGCCCGTTCTTATCCAGTGTATAACCATTCCGGCAGCTGCACAAATAAGCGCCGTACGTGTTCCTGCATTTGTGCTGACATCCTCCATTATTCACCGCACACTCGTCCTCATCTGGGGGTCACAGAAAGCATTAGATATGGATTTAAGCAAAAAATTAGATGGAAATATATTTTTTTCAACATTTTTGTTTCGGTTTTGCAATCGACAGTTTTCACTCCAACCTAACCAACTAAATATATTTGCCTAGATTAGACTCACCTATGGTAAACTGGGCAACAAAGCCGGTGCGTTGCACTGTTCGATCCGAGTGGAATTCGAGGCGGAGGATGTTCTGCTCCGAGTTGACAATGGGGGGCAGCTCATTGCCACAGAAAATGCCAATCTTTTTGAGGCGATTATCGTGCATCTTTGAGTAGATGACCAGATAATCATAGCTGCATTTGGTGTACTGCAGTTTGGTGCCCTCCAGATCAAAGTGTGAAAAGTTGAGGAAGACGGCATGATGTGCTGCAGCCACAACCTCCCATACACATTCTTTGGCATTTGGATATAGATCGGGATACGAGGGCGAGTAGAGAGTGCCATTTGATTTTGTAGCATCTACAATGCCACCACACGCGTCTGCAAAGCCAATGATTTAAAAATATTAAAATCATGAATAGGTAATAAAATTTAGTGGCGGTAATTGAAGACAAATTTTGCCCGACTTTTAAAAAACTATACTCTCAACTGACCTTCGCAGGTTTTGCCATTGGCCTGGAGTTCGTAGCCGGCGTGACAGCCACACTGATAGCTGCCCAAGGTATTGATGCAGATGTGCTGGCAGCCGTGCTGCATAAACTTGCACTCGTCCACGTCCAGCATGAGGGCGGCGGAGAAGCCCAGTTTCTGCACGGAGCCATCCGACACGAACTTGATGTACATCTGATTGCTATGTGTCCTAGGTTGGATATCAATTTTATATATATTGTTTATAGATCGATTGGCATGCTAAGCTGATATAACTTACTTGATGTTTGGTGGCAATTTGTCGCCACAGAAGCGTCCAATTAGCTTGGAGTCACTGCGACTGCCATCGCGAATTTCAATATAATCATAGATGCAGCCATCGTGCTTTTCCAGCTCAAAGGACTGAAACTTAAGCGCCACTTGGTGGTGAGTGGGTGCGGTAATGCGCCAAATGCACTCCTTGTTGGCCGTATATTCAAGCGGATAATTGGGTGAATCAATTGACCTAGCCTTGCTCAAGAATACATCTCCACCGCAGACCACTACAAAGAGTATATTTAATATTCGAGGTTTGGATTTATTTATTATTCTATTTAGTACTCACCCTCGAAACGTGACTTGAATCCTCTGTAGCCGAGTGCAGCATTGCGATTGACATAGCTGATGAGCATGCGACTCGTTTCGGTGGTGATCACCTCCCCGCTTATGCTGCCGCAAAGGCGACGCACTAGCGGCGATCGGTGCCAGTAGCCATCGCGAATCTCCAGATAGTCTTGGCTGCAATTCTGTGTGTGTAGCAGTTGCAGCTCCTGCAGATGCAGAATGATCCGTTCGCCATTTGTGGCCGTTATGCGCCACTCGCAGACGGTGAGCGAAGCAGCTGCTCCGCCACTGAGCGCCTCCTCTTCGGCATCTCCACTGCCTTCGAACTCGGTGAGCAATCCATTGCCCGCATAGGCATAATGGGGAGCAACAATCTGGCCGGAGTTCTGCTGATAAGTGCGTCCACAGGCCGCACACTTGTAGAGCAGATTCGCCTGTAGGATGTCGCCGCGGCTGAGACGACGTCGCTGTCCCAACTCGATGTGCATGCCGGCCGGTATGCCGATGGGCGTGATTGTGTCCAGATACGGGCTCTTCGAGAAGGAGTTCTTAGCATAGTGCATTATGGAGTTGTAGTCGTAGGGCAGCAGCGGCTCATCGAACTCCTCCGGCGAGAGTACATCAAAGTTATATGCCTGACCACGCATTATGTTCGCCTTGTCGATAATGATGTGCTTGTCCCGATCTACGCGAGCGTGCTCATGATGAAACCCGATCGTGTGGCCCAGCTCATGGATGATGATGCCAAACTTTTCACAGTTGCGCCCAATGGAGATGGGTTGTCTTCCACTGCCATTCTTGCCCAGAAACGAGCAGCATCTTATGAAAACAGAAATAATAATAATTATGATTTATGGGCGAGCTAGGATCTAAGACTTACCCGCAGCTCTTTATCGTAAAGTAAATGTAGTTGGAGTGCAGCTTGGGATCACGCTCCACAAACTTGATGCACGTGAAGTTCTCCCAGTGGCGCATTGCCTGCTTGAAGAGCGCCTTGTGGGCGCCACTGAAGATGGCATCTATCTCGTAGGGTATCACTCCATAGTCCCAGGTGCGCTCCTTGCGCACGGTGACTCCTCGACGAAATCGACTGCTTAGCTGTGGCAGCAGCACATCCGTTGATTCATCCGTCCAGAGCAGTTGAGCTGCCGTTGCTGTATTCGGAGTCAAAGTCAAAGCAGGTTTCACCGGCGATTTATGTCGCTTTTGTTGTTCCCGCTTCCGGCGTTGACTGTTGCAATGGAGAAAATGGGGGAAAGTTAAACTCCTGCATCTTCTAATTTATATGCCTCATTGTTCTGATTGTGTCCATCGGCGTAGTCAGTGGCAAATACGGACAATGAGGGGTCAGACGGACAGTTGAAATGCTTTGTAAAATTACTTTTCTTTTTAAATCGACTTGGCCTCGAGTTTAATGTGATTAAACATTTAAATCAACGTGATATCAAAATGTATTCAATCAATTTGCAAACACGTTTTAACTAACTGGAGTAAAAAATATTACAAAAGTAGTTGATATTGATTTAAATTCTTGCACTGATTGTAACATATAATATTCTGTGAATAATATTTTTGACTACGCCTTTGTCTGCCCTGTCTGCAGTCGCATAACTTCAGCGGGGAAATGTCTCAATGGTCGCTTGTAGAGTTTAATGGCAGCTTCAAGTTGCTGGCAAAATTGAAATGGATGTCTAATTGTGCCACATTGTGGAGCACGTGCTTGAGCTTTCTTAATGCAGCACACACTTCAAACTTACCCCAAAAAATGACGCTCGTTAAGCTCTTCTACAACTGGTTCAATATTCGACAGTTTCGTCCTTTTGTGTCGCATTCTTGACTCAAATGGCCTACTGCCAAAAATGCGACTGTCTTTTCTTGTCTCATCAGAGTTCGCTTCTGCCGTCTGCAATTAATTAAATTAGAATATGATTTTGTTGACTTTACTTTCTTATATGCACACCTGAATGGCATCGAGCATGCCATAGAAATCTTCGGGCTGTTCCTTAAAATCGAAATTACATTCATCCACATCCACAGCCACTGATCTGTGCAATCCCATGCCCTGTGCCAGCTCTGGCAACAATAACCATGCCAATGATACCGCCAAAATCAGAAACAAATTCACTTTCAGTGGCATGGCGCACGCTTTAAATATGTTTCCCTTTCTAAGATTCTTCTCTGTCTCTCGCTCTATCTCTCTCTCTCTCTCTGTTCTTTTCTTAAGATGCGACAAACGACCGTGCTGGTCCAGCTCAAAGATATAACTGAATTCCCAAATGCGGCGATTGCCGAATTATACTTCATTCGACACTCACATTCCTTACACATTCTTAAGGGTTCTTGCTTCACGGCCCCGGAATCAACAGGTATAAGAGATCAAAATAGCAAAAAAAATAATAAGAGAGAGACAGCAGCAAGGGGTAAGAGCAGGAAAGAGAATCGCAGGCAGACAACACAGACACAACGCCTGATCTGTCGTCATCAGCAACAACAACAAAAACAACCAGATTAAATCTGGCAGAGCATCCAGTTTGGAATGATGACGACGTCCGCGACTGGAACTGTAACCGAGCCCTCCACATTGGCATTTCGAGTTGGCCATTGTCTGGTTTGTCTGCTGTTGGTTGTTCATTGCATTCAATGGGTTTTGATTTGGGTATCCCTACACCTTGACATTCTGTGCTGTGCCGTCTACCTGGAATTGAGAGGCTGTGGGTTTAGCCTCAGGGCAACAGCCACAAGCCAACCAACTAACTCGGGATCAGGTGTTGTCTTGGGTATTTAGGGCAGGTCATTAACGACAAACCATAAATCCGGCAAATGCTATTGCGCTTGTGCCTTATTGTCGTTTTACAATGGGCAATGTGCAAAAGGGGGTAATAAAAAGGTTCCGAAACAACTCCCGACAGATCCTATATACCCTAATTAAGTACTCAAAATGCTGTTGATTTCTTTTTGTGTTTTCTTTATTAGTTTTTAAACATACTAATTTGTAGTTAATATATTTAATTACGTATTACGTTGATTTAAAGGTTTTGCAAAAATTATACATACTATACATACATATTATTTTGTTTTTTTATTTTGGGGAGTTCAAGTGTGTGATTTTGGCAACCTATGCGCTTAGGCTAAATTGAAAATATAGAAAATGCTCTGTAGGAATAGAAAATATTGTTCGTAAAATGCCATAGTAATTGTTGGAAAAATTATAATCGAAATTCATTAGGTAAAAATCGGGGACCGTAAACATTACAAGTTAAGTTATTTACTTGCTAATAGAATAATGATTATTCTTTGCTTTATAACTGAAAACATAATGATATAAAAAATCAAAATTAAACTCAAATTCCGTTTATGATTTTTCAAATATAGCTGTGTCGGCTTGATTTCGTTTCCAAAGATATTATAATCAATCATTAATCATAATTAAAGGTTGAGCTTGACTTTTGAGTAAAAAGTAATCATTATTTTTTCAATTAATAAAAAAAAAATATTATTAATTATATTTGTTTATGGTCCCTGGCAGAAACTGTTTACACAAATTGCACATTAAGTTTAAAATTTTTAAACACTAGAATAGGTATACATACATACATACGTAGTTACACATATAGATCGGTGTAGTACTGGGGCCGTAGGCGTTAAGGAAACGTCAATAAATATTATATGGCAATTGTTCATGAATTTCATATACATATTTAATCATTGATAGTACACATTATTTAGGATCCTAAGCCGATCAAATCATTTGTATGGCTTGAGAGAGTTCTTACACTTTTCTTCATTTTGTTTTATTTTTTTTTGTTTTTTTTTTTTTATAGCGATATGCTTGACATTCTACTATAACCTAACGATTTGTTCTGAATATCTAGGTATACTTAATATTCGAATATGGTCGAAATGAAATCTATGATTATGTAAAGAGAGCAAAAATGTGTTGCTATATGTACGCGACGATATGCCTAAATAATTAAATAAATTCCATTTTACTCGTAATATATATATATATATTGTCATAATGTTTTATTTTTGTGCATTGCCAGTGCATTGTCTGTCTGTCTAATTCATCCAGGATGAGTAACTGATGGGTTGGATATGGTGACGACGATAATGAGCATTGGCCAGCTGATTCTCGCTAAAGTCACTATAGTCGTCCACCTCCTCGGAATCCGGCTTGTAGATGCTTTTGAGTGAGCCTGGAAATGGTGTAACCATCTCCGAGCTATACGAATTTTCCACATCCTCATCACTGTTCTCAAACGGATCGACGGCCACATACGATGCAGAGAATCCCTTCATCGGAATCGAGTCGTCCGTTTTAAAACGCACAAGCAGCGAATCGGTCATCGAGATGATGTCCTGTGGCAGCTGCAAGTGCAATAATAAAACGATAGACATAGAAATGAAGCAACGAGAATCGAGAAACAACAAGAACATTTGAACCGTACCACATTGCCGCAGTATTGGCCATACATGGGCCCGCTGGTGTCCTCCATACCCGAGAACACCTGCACATAGTCGTAGGTGCAATTCTCGCTGCTCTCAATGTCGAAGGTGAGGAAGAGCAGCTGCACATTGCTGTTGGGCGGCGCTTGAATCGTCCACTCGCAGTCCATGTTGTCGTCGTAATCCTGATTGCTAAATCGCGGATGCGAATAGAACTGCTGCACATGATTTGTGGCACGCAGATAGCCACCGCAGGCTGCAAAAATGGGAAATATATTTAGTCACAGGTATCGATTGACCTACTTCTCCATATATACAGCATAAATTATACACCTCCTAGAAGTCATTTTTATTAAAATAATAAATTCATCATTTGAGTCATATGTCCATGGCAAACTTAGGAAGACTCACCTTTTATGCAGGAATGCTTTCACAGCATCAAAAAAAAATAAAATTTATGTGAATTGAAAGCCAAATAAATATAAAATGACTTGGTTGATTTTAATGCGAAATACGTATGTTCTCAAAACCACAACAGTAAGATAAATAAAACATTCAGAAAAAAACTACAAGCCAAACAAAAGCACAAAAATAAAGATAAAATCTCTATAAAACAATATGAAAACGTTTTTAATTTTTTAATTTATTATCGATACAAATTTATCTTGCATTTTAAAAATAAAAAGTTTTTAATTTTTCTCTCTATCAATTCCATATTCTAATTCGTTTTATATTTATTTTTAAAATGCAATACTTTTTTTTTCGACGTTAGTATCGACTGCTAATATTAAACATTAAATAACGTTAGTATCGACTGCTAATATTAAACATTAAATAAATAATCAATGCAAAATAACCCAACAAAATTTCACTCAAGAGCACTATTTTCTAGTTCAATAAATTCTTACTCAATCAAATTCAAATTCTCTCTCTATACACTATATAAACACGCTCTCAAAATTTCATTTATGTATATAAAAAAAAATTAAAATTATCAGATCAATATTCAATTATTAAATATGCGTAGAGAAAGGACCTGATTGACTTCTAAGTATCAACAATTAAAGACAGACTTACAAGTCGAATGCACTGCCATAAATCCATTCATTTGCTTGTTCTTATCCGTCTTCAGCACCATATAGAGCTGATTGGTGCTGGATGATATGGGGTAAGGTATCTTTTCGCCACAGAAACGTCCCAGCAAGGAGCTGAGCTCCGATTCACCATCGTAAATGGCCACATTATCATAGGAGCATTCCTGGCAAATAAAACATACATTGCTATTATTTAATGTCCTCTCTTTGAATAATTCAACTTTAATTCACCTGATGTGACTCCACATTGAACTCATTGAAAATGAGTTTGATGCGATGTCCTGGCGTTGTAGAGAAGTGCCAAACACAGTCCGCATTTGGAGGATAGCTGTCCGGATAGTTGGGACTGTAGATGGTGCCGAAGGCGCCGGTTATCTCGTTCTTGCACTCACCCTCCTTGCAGTCACGTCCATTCTCATGCAAGGAGTAGCCATTGTGACAGAAGCACATATAAGATCCAATTGTATTACGGCACTCATGCTGGCAACCTCCATTATTGACAGCACACTCGTCGATATCCGTAAAGAATACGGCAGCAAAGCCCGTACGCTGTATTGACTTGTCCGAGTGGAACTCAACGCGCAGCGCGTTACTGTCCGATGTGGCTGTGGGCGGAATGGCGCTGCCACAGAATGTGCCGATGCGCTTCAGACGATTCTCGCTGAGTTTGGAGTAAACAGTCACCGAATCATAACCGCAATCGGATTGCTGATGGGCCGTCCCCTCCAGATCGAAATGCGTGAAGTTCAATGATATTTTATGCTTCGGTGGTGCAACAATCTCCCAAATGCACTCCTTCAACACCGGATAGAATTCGGGGTACGATGGGGAGGTAATGGTGCCATTCGGATACTCGATGACGCCGCCGCAGGCATCTAAACGCACACAGTTGGGTCATTAGGACGACACTCAATGAGCGACTATCTTTATCTGTGTCTGTGGCTGTATCTGATTCTGTCCATCAGCAGCAACAACCAGAACACTAGAACTACTTACCTTCGCAATGCTTCTTATCGCTGTGCAGCTCGTAGCCAATGTGGCAGCTACATTCGTAGCCGCCGAGCGTGTTGATGCACTCGTGCTCACAGCCATGATTCTGTGTCTCGCACTCGTCCACCTCCTTCATAAATACGGCTGAGAAGCCCGCCTTCTGCACCGATGTGTCCGACACAAATTTTACGTACATCGAATTGCCACTTGACCTGAAAGTCACGATGAACAAAGAATAGTCGGACTTGAGTCGGTTTGAGTGGATATGAGTGTGTGTGCATGTACACTGAGAAAAAAGTTTAACCTACAACTTAAATAATCGACCTGAAAACCAAAAAGTTATTCTGGTTTCTAGAAATAATTTCTAAATATTTAAAAAACATTCCGTCAAATTAGGAAGACCTGCTCTCAATCGACATTCCCAAGAATATTGTGATTTTTTTCTTCATTTTAACAAACTCTAACTTGGTTTTAAGAAATTGGTTTCCTAGTTCAAATCGGAATAAATTAATTAAAAGAATAAATTATCATTCAAAGCAACTCCGACTGTTTCAAGAATTCTTGTCTAAACATATAAAAAATCGGAATCATTGTTATAACTTGGTGTTTACAAAAGGAAAACCCTTATTTTTAAAAGAACCACAACTATTCCATGCAATTCATTTCGTTTTCTGAAAAATGAAGCTTTGGCTGTGCTGATTTCTAAATATGAGGTGTATTTTTTTGTTCTCTGTGTGCATGTGTGGGGCTGTGTGTTGGGGTGTGTGTGGTCCAGCCTCACAGGCTGGGCCCTTGTCATCGTCGGCACTCACTTCATGTTTGGGGGCGCTTTGTAGCCACAGAAAACGCCAATTAGCGGCGCATCCTGTGCGGGCCCGTCCCGCACCTCGACGTAGTCATAGACACAGCTATCATGGTTCTCGACCTCAAACGACTGGAATTTCAGCGCCACTTGAAAACCCTTTGGCACTGTAATTTTCCACACGCATTCCTTGTTGGGCAAATAGTCCAGCGGATAGTTGGGTGACTCCAAGCGTCCCTCCGCATCATCCACGGACAAATCGCCGCCGCAAACAACTAGGCAAGAGTATTACATGTCTATCAATTTGTCACGATTCATTTCGCTGCATTCTCTCTACTTACCATCGAATTCGGCCTTGAAGCCGCGATACCCATCGGCACGATGGTTATTCACATAGGTCAGGAGCATGCGACTGGACTGGGTGGTGATCACATCGTTGGCCACCTTGCCACAGAATCGACCAATGAGTGGTGACTTGAAGTAGTAGCCATCGCGTACCTCTAAATAATCAGTCTCGCAATTGTTTGATTTGAAGATATTCTATGGATGGATCGGTAAGAATTTAATTTTTTTTAAACATTTATTTTGTTCGTGGAAAACCATTTGATCCCAGCTTAAGTTGATAAGCATATTTCTTCTGTCACTAAGCGAGGCTTTGGTGTCATAGAATTCATTAGGTCAAAAGAAATGATCTCTAAAGCTAAACCTTTGTATTTTACTAGTCCGTCCTATGAATATGGATTCTGTATATGGTCTCCCAGCTATAATGCTTATCAGGCTAAAATAGAATCTATAGACAAATCATTTCGTTTATTTGACCTTTGGGGCTTTAATTGGAATAGCTAGTCAACTTTTACTAGTGGTGCAATCTTCATACACAAACTAAGAAGAGGTGAAATTGATTGTTCCGAATGAATCACCCAAGTTGGTTTTACAGTTCCGATTATGAGTCCAAGGAATTTTCTTCCTCTTTCTCCTCAAACTTGTACTACGAAATTATGATATCCATAACCCATTTTGGTTATTAAACTCTATAGGACAATGATCAATATCGCCAGTGTTCATTGTTCTATTTAATCTTTTGTTAGCGATCTTCGGTTGGCCGGGAGGTGGTTCGCATTTTGCCTTAACAAGCACATACTTGTTTTAATGTAAATATATAAGGACAATTTCACTTACCATATTCTCCAATCGCAATACAACCCGTTCGCCGTGCGTTGCTGTTATACGCCACTCGCAGTGTTCCGTATCATTACTGAGCGCGCCCGCCGTGTAGTAGACGGGGCTGGAGAAGATGCCCGTGCTCTCCTGAAAGGTGCGACCGCACTTGGGGCACTTGTACAGCAGATTGGCCTGTGCAATGTCACCCTGACTGAGACGCAACCGTTGACCAATCTCCGGTCTTTTGCGACCCTTCACTTCTATGGGCAATATGGTGTCCAGATAGGTGCCCTTGGAGAACGTGTTGCGCGCATAATGCATAATCGAATCGTAATCGTAGGCCATGCCCAGTGAGTCAACCTCATCGTCGGACAGCATGTTGAAATTGTAGTCTTGACCCTTCATAATGTTATTGCGCTCTATTACCACATGGTTCTTCCGATCAGGACGCGTGTGCTCGTGCCAGAAGCCAACCACGTGCCCCAGCTCATGTACCACAATGCCAAACTTGTCACAGTTGCGTCCAATTGAAATGGCCTGTGCACCATTGCCACGCTTACCAACAAACGAACAGCAGCTGGATATACAGGATATTATGACAAATAAAGTATTATTGTTATTTGATAAACTTTCACAAATATATTTATAAAATGATTAACAGAAGACTTTATACGATGCATAAAAGTTTTGCTGCAGAACACAGAAAATCGAAGAATTTTGAATAAAAACTAAGATGAATAAAAAGTGACTGAACTTATATATTATTATTACTGTCAATACCCATTTTCTTTATATGAAAAATATATTTTATATATTGTATATAAGTAAAAGTTACAAAAAAATGAATAAAAACTAATATTAATAAGAAATTATTGAACTTATTTTATTATTAATATTATTCTTTTCTTTTTTTTATTTATAAATAGTAAGAGATATTTTATTTTATATTATATTTGCAATCATATTGCCGTAACTAAAGCATACTTTTTAAGTAAAATAATTGCAAAATAAATGCTATTTTCTTATTACTGAAGATTCAGGGAGGTTATACAAAAACCAAGTTCCAAATTTACTTCCCTAAGGAGGAACTAGTTTGCTAGTGCATTTACTTTAATTATTATTATTATATTATTTATATAAACATAGAACCGTTAATATTAATAAATAAATACATTTTGCTTATTTATTTATTATATTTAAATACATTTTGTGTAGACTCACCCGCAGCTGCGTATGGTAAATACAATATAGTTTGGGTGTATTTCGGAGTCGCGCTCCACAAACTTGATGCAGGTAGAGTTCTCCCAGTGGCGCATGGCCTGCTTGAAGAGAGCTTTGTGCAGGCCGCTGAAGTTGCCATCGATCTCATAGGGAATGACACCGTAATCCCAAATACGCTCTTTTTTTGCGGTCACGGCACGTGCCACTCGATGATGCTGTTCCTGCTGCTTCAGGTTACTGCGGGGGGAAAGGGAAGGCAGTTTGACTTGTGGTCATAAAAAAAATCTTCGTGCAACAGTTGGGGGCAGGTCGCATAAAAGTTGTGCATGGTGTATGCTTAATTTTAATTGCCAACAGTTATACCCAAAATGCTCGTGAAACTTTTTGAGCCGCGAATTTCTATTAAAATTCATAACTTTTCAACTGCATGCTGGAACACATTTATTTTGAGCGGTTGGATGTGTGGGGGTGTGTGAGTGTGTGTAAGTGTGTTGTTCATAAAATGGGTGTTGTTTGTGCAAAGTTTATGGCCAAACGTCTGAATTGAATGGCCAGTAATGTACAACAGCCAGGAAACGGCCACGGAACCGGATGTGGTGCCTGTGGCTATCAGGATGAAGTGGTAGCTGTTAACTTACTCTGTATCTGCCACACCCGTTGCAAGCTTGCCATCATCAAATGGCGCTGGCGTCGAGTACCCATTTAAAGGCGACGGAGTGCTACGCCCACGACCCCGTCGACGATGCTGACGATGCTTCTTATGATGATGTTGCCTGTGTTGTCCCTGGTGCGGATGCGGGCCTTGAGGGCGATTGAGCTCTTCGCGCAACCGCTGCACTTTGCTGACATACTCCTCCCACTGACTGTTGCTGCAATAACAATTTACAATTTACACCTAGAGTCTAGACTAGACATACTTTCGATACCGAAGACAGCTCATACAATTATATTTCAGAAATAGTCTTTAACAAGAAATAACATTTATCTTAGATTCATATCCCTGTAGACTGTAGTTAATCTGCTGACACCTCAATTTTTCTTCGGAACGAATTAATATTAAGTTATTTTACATCACAATTAGTGACTTGTATCTGCGATCGAGATTATTGTGTCGCAATCGCTTCCTTCAAGGCGTTGCAAAGTTTAAAATCAAAAATAGCATAAACGAGGGTTCAATTTCGAAATTATATTTTCAAATTTAACAAACTGCAATAATAATCTATAAACTGAAATTTAAATGCTGTTCAACTTGACTTATTTTTAGCAAATAACGCTAAATTGCATGGTATATGTGCCCACTAACTGTGCTTCTTCTAGGTTTGTCGCTAAAAATATTAACTTTTCACATCTTGAATTTCAATTTAATCGTGCCCCGATGCCGCCAACAGGACGACGACGAAGAAATTGTGCTCGCAAAACTCGTAAGTGAAATTTCAATCGAATCAAATTGCACAGCAACGCGAATAACGAACTGAAATACATTGGGGTCGCTTATCAGAAGCACGTGAGTCCCTTAGATAGGAGGATGGAGTTGGATTTAGAGCAAATGCGACATCATCGGCCAATTGCAACCAAGCGTGCAACGTTTAGATTTAATAATCGAGCAAAAGATAGCAAAAGAGCAAGAAATATTTTGAGTCCACTCTGAATTGAATGCTTGTTTAAGTTGATAACTATTCCAATACTATCAATACAGTCCGTATACCTTTTATTAATAGTAAACACTATACAAATTTGTAAATTAATTTATAAAATTCAGAAATATAATTTTTGTATTTTCTTTATTTTCCATCAGCGCTTTAGGGTGCTCTAAATTCCCAGACGCCTGTTTTGAAGATGGAAAATGTGGAGCAGAATTTTGAGAGACTGTAGACGCCAGATTACTCACCGATGTTTGGGGCCCCGTCGATGTCTTCTTCGAACCACGCCTTGGGAATGCAAGAAGTCCACATCCTCGTCCAGATGCATGCCATTGCCACCGGCATTGCTATATACATTGGGCATCGTCGATCTCTGCGTGGGCAGCGAGGTGGGCACAATGTGTTGGCGTCGCTCTGCGACAAAATTGTTGCCCGAATCGTCCTCAATATCCTTATTGTTCGATTGTATTTTCCGAGCATCTACATTGCGGAGCAGCGCTTGTGATTTGTTGTACTGCAGCATAGCAGGTGCAACATTCAACTCCTCAATGCGACGATGCTCGATAACCGTAGATTCTAGAGCCGGCAGTACCTCATTCTTGTAGTTGGGAGGATGGGCGATGTCGGATAAGGCCTGCGCGCTAGGCTTTAACGGCTCATTGGCGCTCTGAAAAATAGAGAGTGATGATAGAAGGGTCACATTCGGAAATCCGTGTAGGCTTAGACTGCGGTAACTTACTATGGTGGCATCATTATTGTGAATGCCACTTGCTTTGGTCAGCGTCTGGCCAGTCATGATGGCTCCCCCGCTGGGCAGTTTGGTCTTCTTGCGTATTATGTCCGTTAGCCCCTCCTCCTCCACCTGCAGACCCTCGTTGTACACTTCCTGCTTGAGCTTCTCGAGGTCCAGTTGAAAAGTCGCATTGTATTTTGCCGGCACTGATACTGCATCCGCTAACATAAGCTCGTCCTCCTTTTTCGGCAGCGGTTCCTCACTCGTTGCCCCGTCGTCAGTTGGAGTGTGTGCCACCACCGGCCCTGTATCGTCATTGGGGAGCGCAATATCGCCCATGAAGCCGCCTGCAAGATAAATTGTGTGGCATTTAAAGACATTTCGTTTTAAATTAGAGGAACCAGTCAGAATTTCAGTAGAATAACTAAGATATTGTTTTAATTATAAGCGACAAGAGCAAAAGCGCATGAATTGGTATTTTAATTGAAATTTCATGTGGTAACGTTTATCTGGCTCTCTACACTCAGAAAATAATTCAAATTCTACAAATTCGACAAAAGAAGAAAGTCTTATTTTTCAGAGAGCGAATTTATAAAAATAAAGCTGGTGTCCCTTTAAGTGTTTTCATTTCTTTATTTTAAGGGAAATATATTAATTTTTTTAAAATAAAATATCGAAATTTTCTTTGTACGAATGTTTTTTTTTTCTTATAACGAATGTTTTTAATAATAAGAATTAATTTTATATTTTAGAGAAATATATTTATTGTTGTCACAAAATATTAAATATAAACATCATATTAGAGAGAAGCATTTCGAATTTTCAATTTCATTTCAATTATTTTATAATCAAAACAAAAAGTAAAAAATCAGTTAAATGTTCTAAATTTCAAGTCGACTTTTTTTCCGAGTGTAACCATAATGTCCAGATTCTGCTCGTCATTTATAATTTATACAAACAACGTGTGTTGTGTTGGGATGCGTTCTCTGATATGGAGTGAGGCAGGACCATAGCAGACTGTCTGTTATTTTCCTAGCGGTCCAGATAGACACTGCATATCCATTTATTTAGTATATCAGTGTGGCCAACTGTTCAGCCCGGTCCCATCAGGCAGTTTGTTTGCTTTAACCGGCGAGCAACATGCGAGCATATCCATGTTGTGGATACAGACGCGGTCAGCAGTCAGGCAATGTTCAAAGGCCAACAGCGTCCAGCGCACAATGATAACAGTTAATACGGTAAATATGAAAAAGTTGCCACATCAGGCTCGGGCATGTTAAATAAAATTAATTAAGTGTGTTTGTTATATACGCATGCCATAAAAGACATAAAGAAAAGCCAATTATTCCCGTCTGCAGTTGATATGAACGTCATGTACTCATTATAAGTTGAATTAATACCCTCTACCCATTAAACATGGCTCAAGAGTATAGAATGAAGCTAAAGTTATTAAGTTCTTGAGTTTTCTATCGGTAAGTGCAAGAAACTTACAATTTTGAAAACAACTTCTCGATTTATCGATAACTTCCTGAGCTTCCTTAATATTAATAAACAAATTACAATAAAAAAAAGTCTTTATATAGAGGAGTTCTTAAATATTAAACATAAATGGATAACTACCAATAATTTTTTTCACTACAAAGTGAAGTTAATAGCATAACTTTTTAGAGAAAAAATAAATTATAAATTTTTAATTTCTGTCAATATTGAAGAAATTTATTCAGGGAAATGTTGAAGAACTTTATTAGGGGGTATTTACCCCCTATTGTCTTTGCTTGTGGTTAAACTTCTGCATTCAGCTGTAGTCACTTTCCTGCCTTGCTCGTAAAGGTCCTCAAATCGCTTTTCATACCATTTGTAAACTACTGTTAACAGTACATGGAAAATAATTAAGTTGACTTTATTTCTTAATCCCTTTTTCATAATTATGATTGGTTTGAAAATTTTTTTTAAAGCCGCTTAGCAAAGTTTTCCGCTTTATGCTTGAAAGTTAACACTGGTTTATTCGAGTAATATTAAGTATTTTTCGAAAGTAATGTGTAAATTTACATAAAATTATACACAAACATTTGTTAATTGTTGTAAAATTAATATGAAATAAGTTATATTCAAATCATGTACGCATAAGGTTAAATTTATACTTAAGTAAAATGTAGATCTGAGTGTGGTAAATATATGAGAACTTATACACTCAATAAAATATAATTGAACTTAATTGCTTTTTCGCATTAGTTTTATTAAGTTAGCTGTAAAGGTATTTTAATATTGTTTTTGAATTGACAACGCATTAAATAGATGTCTTCAACCTCAAAAGGTTGGTCAGTCTTGATGAATAATCCGTCTTTTAACTGAAGATATTACATAGATCGAAGTTGATTGGATCGGATGACTATATCATGTAGATATATCAACAAGGTTATTTAATTCAGTTGGTCTAAGATAACCGTTCTATCTTCTTAGTATTAGATTATTATATTATTATGTTTTCTTATTATCTAAAATTAAAAAGAGCATGTGTCTTTAATTTAATTTCCCGTCGTGTATTTGATGCACATTATATGGTTGGAAAAACACATCTGGATAATCCTCTCTCTGCTTGTTATAGAAATTTTTAGATCTTTTTATTTCTTTCATTCCTTTTTTTTGCAACTTTTACTGCTTTAAGGCTATTTATACTGTATACATAGTGAAATCGGATTAAGGATGAGCGGTATTAAAGTTAACGCTTTTTGACTTTTTGAGACCGCTTAGCGTGCCCCACTTTTGAATTTGCAGAACAGTCGCACAGTCGAAGTCTATGATGCAGGGGCAGCAGGCAATATGATTATTGCAAATGCAGCCGCAAATCCAATAAGCGTGGAGCTGCCATGGGAGCATGCCACCTCTCAAACAACTAGGTCAGCACATTGGTGAGAAGAGTGCAGAAAACAAGAGATACGCATGAATATTGCCCATAACTAAAAACTGAATTATTATTTTGAATGATTGCCAACCTTCAGCGTACATAATGATAAATTGATTATTTGCATTTGAAACCCACTTCTAAATTTGACTTCTGTCAGATGAGTATGCTATCAAATATTTAAGATGTTGTTTCGAGATATGGATTGATTGCATATTATTATGTAATTGGTTTGTTGCTAAACTGTCGGCTTTTGCAATTATTACAGTTATGTTAGCAATCCTCACACAAATGACCAAGTTATGATACAATTAATGCTAATCAAATGTTTGAATCATTTAATCTGCAGTCAGGACTAAGAATAGCATACTTGGGCAAATGATGATTTAAAATGCAATTGGGTTTTAATAAATAAGTACATAAATTTTACATTGAGGAGCAAGATACCACAATGTAAATAGCAAAGACAAGCCCAAATGCACTCAGAAAAAAAGCTTTTATGCAAAATATAATTTCTAAATATAGGAAAAAAGTTTTTTTTTAATTTAAAAAGGCGTTTATTCTATTTTCCTGATATGTATTTCTTCATAACAGAGAATATTTCTGAAAGTGCAAAGGGTTCTTTTTAGCAAAAAAACCAATTCAGAAAATTGTAATGAAATCTGCTTTCTGACCTGTTAGTTAAAGTTTTGCTGTTTTGCTTCAGAGGTCGAGTAGCTCAGTGGAAAGTTACTATCTACAATGTTTTTATATATATGAAATCTTAACTTTCTAAAAAGCTTACGTTAGAATTATATGTGTGTAAAAAAGCAGCTTGGAAATTAGGCATTTTTTTTACATCTAGAATTATCAAAAGGAAAGTGCTGGTTCTTAGAAAGACACAACATTCTGATAAATAAATAAAATTTCTGAATAATAAAATGAGTTTCACTTGGCGCAAAAATTAAGCCGATTTTCTAAACTTCAGAGCGACTATTTCAAAGTGTATTGACTATAAATTTAAATAGTTCTAGTAGTAGAATAGTGAAAGCCATGCATAAAATTGCAATCTTTGTGCATTTAAGCAACAAATCAAATTTCAGTAAACTCAACTTTCTATAGTATTTTCAATTGAAAGTGAACAAGTTCATATATTTTCTAGTCGAATGTTATTACAAGTTTGAATGGTATTTGTTATTTAATATAGTGGTACTCTGGTACTGGTACACTGGTTGCACTGGTAGCGTTAGGAATTTAAATAATTCAGTCTCAACATGTGCTATAAATATATTTTTTATATAAATTTTAAATATAAATAACAAATGATCGAATAACAAATGTGTGAATATATGAATATGAATATAAAGGTAGCCTTTACTTTAGCACCACATTTGTTTTCAACAAAATTCATACACAGCATGGGAAATAAAAATTCATGCACAGCCACGCTAGCGTCGTATGACATGGCGTATGATTGATACGGAGATTTTGATGAATTCGCTGTGGCTATAAAGTCGACAGAAAAAAACCTAGTAAAATATCTTTGAAAGGATGGATGAAAAACTAAAAAAAAATGGACTCGTTTGCAGTTGGCATTTAAAACAGCTAACCAAAACGAATGTGGCATGGAAAGAGGATGTGGAAGCAGCGCAAAAATAGCAGCAGTTAAAAGCCAATGCACTTTGAAGCACAGCCGGCGAGAAAACTTAGCACATAATGCGTCACAAATCCGACAGACGGCCCTGGCAATCTTCAACTAAGAGTGCTAGTTGCGGCCATCGTCCTCGCAAGGATAGGCTGCCCACACAAACGCAACGAGTGAAATGCCAACGGCAAAAATAAAGAGAAAGCGGCAGAGAGAGCGGAAGAGAGAAAGCTGATGATGAAGTGGAAAGCAAGAAAGGCAAACGTGCGTAGCTCAGAGTCCGTGTACAATTTCATTACATTTAAGTTAAATGCCCTTAGCTGGTGCTTTATCCGTCCGTCCAGACATGCTGGACGCGTTAACGCCTCGACGTTTTCGTCTGGCAGACAAACAGTTCGCACAAGTGAAAGTAATTAAATTTTTGAACACCATCCCAACCCCCTTAGCCTGCTCAGCCACACGCCCCCAATCCCACATCATTCACACTAACGAACTGACGTAGCGACGTGCCGCATTGTGCTGCAAGCTGGGGCACTGGCTACTAGTGGGTCCAGTTTGCAAAAACCCTTTTTTATGGCGACCACAAACATGTTAGCATATTTGCCAAGTTGCAGTTTTGGGCTGATGTTTCATGATCCCCTCTTCAGCACATGCGTAACGCCAGTTTATGAGTCTTTGACGCGATAAGCACAGAATTTAATTAAAAATAAACTAGCTGCTCCCTGGCCCAACTGCCACACAACTGATTATGTGATTTTGCTGGCTGGCTGACGATACGCACCATGCAACGAAAGCAACAGCAACAACAGCAAAAAAGAAAA